CCACGCAAAAATTCAACCGCGATCTCTATAAATTGCTAACCCACAACTTCCGATGGGTATTCATTGTCTTGCCTAACCCCAGAAGGTTAGTATACTAGCTGGTGTCTCTCTTTTGTTTGTTTGTTTGTTTGTTTTTTCAAAGGCTAATTGCCAACCTTGCTTCATTGTGCGCCGCAGTGTTGGGTTAGAACGTTCGATCATAAGTTCGATTGGTTCGACTAACTTAATCGAACTCTGACGCAAATTTTTTGGTTCGATTGTTTTCCGTTATTGGGTTCGAATACCGAACAGTTCGAGTACCTTACACCGGAAAATAATGTACACGTACTTACTCGTGAACTTTGTGATTTAATGTTGCGAATTTTTGCGAATAAAGCTCTTAAGCTGCCTTCATGATCTTATTACTCAGGTCAAGCACTTAACTAATTTTGTGCATTTTTTACTAACAGAGAAATGCTATACGTAACTAATCAGCCGATCAATTTTCGTGAACTTTGTTTCCCTGATAAACTCGTGTTGCAAACCGTCAGTTGAAAAATTAGCCTCCTTAGCGGTTTGTCACGCGTTCCTGCCCCACTGGCAGGAACGCGTGATGAACCCCTACTAAGTGAAAAAGTTTTAATTGTCTCCTGTTACAACGTCTGCGTGGGAGGCTATTGAAAAATACGACTGATTCTCACGACGTTCGTGTCGTGACTGGGTTTTTCGGTTTTACAGCGTACACTCATGCTGACTGGACCGCTGTAATAATAATAATAATAATAATAATAATAATAATAATAATAATAATAATAATAATAATAATAATAATAATAATAATAATAAACCAATCTTTATTTCAGTATCTGAACAATAGGTAATATTTACAATTTTAAACATCGTGTTGTTTACAAATTAAAAGCGAAATATATGTCCACGATAGAAAAACTATTTACAATTGTGAATAATTAAAAAAAAAATAGTTCGCTCAGTTTTGTAAAATCAAGCAACTGTTCAAGGCAAGTGTGAAAAAAAAACTATAAAATAAAATAAAATAAGAATAAACAAATAAATAAAATAAAAATAAACAATGCGAATTGGGACCTCGCTTTCGTCGCGCCTCTTTCATCATTATTTTACGGTATCGTCGCGGTTTTTTTGCAACGATGTCATCACTTGCATATCAAGAATAGGTGTGACGGATCGGAAACGAGGAAATCAAAACAGCAATTAGAGTTAATAAGCAAGCCAGACAAAACATGACAGAAACTTTGAACCTACATCACATTTTTTCTCGGTAGAGCGCTTTTTTTAATAGGACTAACAATGCGATCGTCGATTTAAAGTTTAAGATCATCGTTTCATCAATAGCGATCGTCGCAACTTCGATGCAGGAATTACCCATGTCATAATCAAGTAATAATATCATCGCGGTTTTTTTTTTTGCAACGATGTCGTCACTTGCATATCAAGAATAGGTGTGACGGATCGGAAACGAGGAAATCAAAACAGCAATTAGAGTTAATAAGTAAGCCAGACAAAACATGACAGAAACTTTGAACCTACATCACATTTTTTCTCGGTAGAGCGCTTTTTTTTAATAGGACTAACAATGCGATCGTCGATTTAAAGTTTAAGATCATCGTTTCATCAGGGGCACCCAACGGCAATTCTCGGGAAAATATCTGTTCGGAAGACGATTTGAGAACTAGAATTTTCGGAACATTTGTTGTAAAATTTCTTGCTTGCCTGCCTCTCCTAGGATTTTCGAACATCTACAAAGTGGTATAATTACCCATTTTAAACGGATATTTACCCTATAAAAGGTCACCTAGAATTTTCGGGAGCCTTTTCCTGGCTGAAATTTTCGAAAAGGTAAATTTTGATCCCTATAATTTTCGGATCACTAGACTTTCAACTAGGAAATCCGAAAAGATGAAAAGTTTTTAGGGGATAAAAATATGCCTATATCTACCGTTTAAATACTAAAATACGTTCAACAATGCTATGTTAAGTGGTTTTGAACTATATCCTCGTTGGGTGCCCCTGTTTCATCAATAGCGATCGTCGCAACTTCGATGCAGGAATTACCCATGTCTTAATCAAGTAATAATATCAGTTATTTCTGACCTGAATACAACGCTTGATTTTAGTGAGAAAAAGCTCAACGGTGCCTTACATGGTCCGGCTGGTAATTTACGAAGGAAAACAAAATGATTACTTAGAAATGTGCTTTTTTTATGCAGTGCTAGGTTGGGCATACACTGTATATCACGCAGAGGAATTAGCTGAGTTTAGTATTTCATTTTCATAACGTTATAAGTATTTCTCCTCATAATTTCCGTTTTCATAACATCAAAACCATCGGCATCTGGCAAACTTGGTACATTTACTACGACGGAATTCGTCAAACTTTCTTTAAAAAAATTCTGACAGAAATACTCTCGCGTGATTAGCGGTTAAGGTGCATAAAGTGTTGAAAAAAATGACAAAGTGGTATGTTAATGTAAAATATCCAAAACAATATATTTTCTTTTAAAAAAGGCATCACTTTGACAACTAATGCTGCATCTGCCCTCGCCAACCGGAAACTTGTTTAGGAAAAGCTTGAACATCTCTTACAAATGAAAATTGACGGAGACCCCAACTTTGCGACCCCCCTTTGCCCTTGCGCAATATTGACATACTTCGGGGCTAATCAATCCGGGTTTTGCGTGGTAAAAATATATTTCAAGAACCGTGCTGAATTGATCTGATGTCATTGATGAGTTTCAAAATAGCGGAAATATCTCGAATGGTGTAGGCAATTTTATGCAGAACATGTCGCACAGGGCTTATGGTTGACGTAACGGGCGTAGATAGAAATTGGCTTCTGATTGGCTGCGGTTAACACACCTATGTTCCATGGTTCCCTCTAGAATTGCATGTAGATGTTGCCCCTCGAGCCATAAGTAACGCACTGTGGTCTCCATTGTTAAATCCAAAGAAGTTTAATTTATTCGAAGAAATAATTGTCGAAGTTATTTATTTCTTACATATCTCGTAAAGTTCAGTTTTTAAACAAAGGAAACGAAGAAGCGAAGACTCGTCTCCGCCGCATTGTTGACAATTTTTTCAACATGGCGTCGCAGCTGGATTGTAGATGCGTTTGGCGCGGTTTAGTTTGGAGCGCCCTCTTTTATGTTTCATTTCTCTTAACGGCTCCAGGTATGTTAAATTTCCCTCTAACTTCAAGTATTTTTCAATGAGTTCATTTAAACTTGGGGAAATTTGATGAAGTGACGATGACCAAACCGAGATTTAGCGGCCTTCAAAATAAGCTTAATGTTACTTACTAGTATGTCATTGTGCCAGCGTTTTAGGGGCGAAACATAATTCTTTTTGTCTCTCACTGAGTTACCGTTGAGCTTGTTGTACTTTTTGGTGCGGGGAATACTTTAAGGAATTGAGCTAGGCTGGCAAAACAAACTTGGATGGTCGCATAGTGTAGCTACATGTCCACTGTGGATTTAGACGTCCACAGCAAAGACGAGTGAATATTCTCAGTCTGGGCCATGACTCCCCGAAAACATCAAGTTTTAACAACTTTTACTTGGGCCGAAAATTTATATTTCAAGCCTCTTTCAGTTCATCTTTAGATAGACATTAAAATGGTAAAAGGAAAATAATATATATTCTTTTCGTTGATGTTTTGATGTCCGTGACCCTTGGCTTTTTCTATTTTGTTATTTTGTACGCACATGTAGCTTTGGCTTAAGCTTGCTTCGAATTGATCCAGCTTACATTTGAAGCATAGTTTTGAGTTAGCAGTACCTGCTTGCACGAATATGTTTTTGGCGCCCTTGCTAACCTACTGTTCTTGTGCGGATTTAAAGACTGTTAGTTTGTTCTCCACTTGTTTCTCAAAAACCTTACCTTTTGTCATCATGCTTATAATAAAAACATATCCTGTCCACTGTCTATAATTCCTAGGAAAGCTGTTTTCTACTGTTTGTTTTATTAGGTAGTCACTAATAATGGTGTCCTTTTATCGAAACTAGTCTATTAAAGGCCCAGTTCATCAGTCCTGCTTCTGTCCTGCCAAACTTATGGGAGCATAGCCTGCGAAAACATCCGTTTCTCCTCGCCCTTTGCTGCTGGGGAGGTTTTGCGCAGAGGAACGTCTGCGACTCAGCGACAGAAATTCCAAAATGATGACGTAAAATCTGTCCGGAATCTGGTCAGAAGTGCTGACTGGTCGACAGAGTAGTTACATTGTTGTAGTTATTGTTTACGAATGACAGACAAAAGACAAAAGGCCACAAAGGTCAAATGTAAATGCAAAGAATCTCTTACAAAACAGTCAATATTTGTGGAGGATAGTCTTCTCTAGAAGAAGCATTAAATTTTGAGTTTTGCTGGAGCTAGTTGGCAGATGAACACAACACTTTTCCAAATATTGACCACAAGACACATAAAATTGGACAAATTTACATTTGGAACCCTATGACTACCGGATTTACAGTGTATTATCTAAATATTGATTTGTGTCATCAGTATGGAATTTCTGTCGTTGAGTGGCAGACGTTCCTCCGTATGAAACGTCGCCAGGGGCGAAGAGCGAGGAGAAATGGATGTTTTTGCAGGCTAATAGGGGCACTTGTCGGGCATTTGTCATTTTGTTTTGGAAAAGTTGCAAATGCCCCACAGTGGGGCCTGATGTTCATACAAGAACCCAATGGTGGGGCTTAACAAGATGGTGCAAAATGCCCCACCATGGTACAACACCAAAATTGACTATCTTATCCTATTGACTATCTTAAGTTGTCAGTCTCGGCCAGATCCTCGAAACTTGATTCACGCTTCTCGAAACCTTAGTCTCCCTTTTGACCCGTCACACAATGCTAAGGAGCATTGTGTGATGAGATAAAACCAGAAGAATACTTGAGACTCGAACAAATCCCAAAAACCGAGTCTTGAGTTTCGAGAGACCAGCATTTTTTATATTCACTACTCGAAAGGATTTCAAGAGACAGATTTGGGTTGCTTTATTTTCTGTAGGTGTAGGAGCTCTGAAGTTTCTCCAGGATCCTCCATCAATCCAGGGATCTCATGTTGGCCAGAGTGTTGACTACAACTGCGCAACAGATGACCCAAATGCCACAGTGTTACTTCTAAAGTCTACAGATTTTGGGTTTTCTTTTAATGTGTTTCCAGTCACACCAAACAAACTTCTTTTGACGAAACAAGTGTTTACCATAGTAAACATTGTTCTTTCGGATGGAGCACAGTATAAATGCAAGGCAACGGACCAGTCAGGTCAAACTATTCAATGGCCAAGTGGTTCATTGTTATTTGTACAAGCAGGTCTGTATGAATATAATTTCCGAGTAAATTGGTGCTCATTTAAATCAAGTACAGCTGTAGTTAAACCCGCCGGGGGGTACTCCCTATGCAGAGAGGCCCCACCTAAAAAGGGTACCTTTTTCAATGATAAATGAAAATAAAATAAAATAGTTTTTCATGCATATTATCTAAAGTCACATAAAAGCTAATCTAAAAAGACATGGTCCGATATTGATATTGTGACCAGCTGGTCACCAATGCAACTGAAAATTTAGCGTTGGCAGTCAGATTTTCAAGGCTAGTTGCCAGCAGGTGACTGACTTTCAGGTCCTTGTTTATGTTTTAAAGCAATGCTCAAGGAATTAATTTAGTGTTACATAATAACAAAAAAAAAACTCCTCAATTGATTTTGCCAGAAGAAACTTAGCCCTTTTGTCAAAATTTTCAATCTCTGTAGAAAATAATTTATAGTAAAAATGAACATTCCTGTTGAATGACTTCCACAACAGTTGTAATCCATGCACTGTGGTCGACATCAGCCGCCATTTGACACTGCATTGCATGAATATGCGCTTACCTTTGAGCATTGATGTCCTGGTGCTCTACAAATTTTCGAGAATGGTTTACAGTCAGACGGTCTTTATACACCGCTGAACATACATACATGTACACGATGTACCTTAGTCAAAATGTAAAAGGCAGTGACTGTTTACAAGCTAATGAAATCAATCACCACTGGGTGTTTTGAAGCAAAAAGTGCCTTGAACACTTTTTATTTCAAAGTGGTGGCATTTTACTGATAAAATATATGGTTTTTACACATACATTTGCATACAATTATCTTTTAATGCCTTTCAACCAGCAAAATGAACCAACAAGTAAGGTAAATTAGTAGCATTTTACAAGTGCTTGAGAATAAGCAAACTAAAGAAGATTAACTTTCCCTTTTATTTGTTGCCTTTGTTGGTGTTGAATCATGTCAAAGAAAGTATTTTTCCTTGCAACGGACATGTACAGTAATTATTTTGTTAAAAAGTGATGAACTATTACAGTGTATTTAATTGTCAACTTTCAACACATCAAGTTACATTAAGAGCAAATTAAATATTTGGCTTTGACTACTGAATGTCGATGATCAAAAAAGGAATTCACAATATCTGCTGAAACCACTCAGAATTCTGGCAAGACTCTTGTCTTTCATGAACAAGACTTTGCTGATCCAAAGCTCTTGTTCTGTGGCAAAGGTCTGTCAAGTTATTTGTAAATTTGAGGCGATTTCCATAGACAAGTAAAAGGTGAGTTCACATGAAAAAGTGGACGGCTGGCTTATTGAAAACCCTGTTTAAGCAGACCCTTAACCAAGGGAACATCAGACATAATTTAATACACATTTAAACTGTTCTTCCAATATCATTTTCTGTAAAATGAACCCATGTTAAGTAGATGCCTCTCAGATGCTTAGTGACATTCTAATGGGTGCCCCAAGCTCCCCTCATCTTAGTTGACAGGGAGGGCTTGACACCATTTTTCATGACAATGCAGGCATGCACCCTCCCAATTTTGTCAATGTATACTTCACTGCATTCACAAGGAATGTTATATGCTGCTCCATCTTGAATTGTAAAACTTCTGTAACTATAGCTGTAAACATAACATAAATAACTTCAGATCTGAGTTGAGTTGCCCTGTTATATTATCAGACTTTTTGTTAAATACTGGAATAAGATATGAAAATTTTGCAGAGACTATAATACATGTACAGCTGTATGTATTGAAGACAGCATGTAAAGGTCTACGTGTACATATTTTTTGCAGCTCAGTTACCCAGGCATTTTGTGTTGATACCAAACAAATCAATCTATGTGCTGCAAGGGCAGAGTGGAGAAGTCACATGTGAAGCTGAGGGTCCTTCAGTTTCTACCCTGAAGTGGGAAAAGGAACAGGATGATAAATCATATGCAGCCGTCCCCAACAGTCAAGTTAACGTCACTAAAGATGCAAAGTATGTGAGAGCAACCCTGAAGATTACAAATGCCCAGTTTGCGGACGCTGGTACATACAAGTGCACGGTATCAGTTCCACCAGATAAATCGGATTATAAGCTGACAAAGATAGAAGTCAAGGGTATGTTTGTACTCTATTTCTTTGTAAAGGTTACTTTTACTGTTAGCATCTCATCATTTCTGCAATACATGGCCCAGTGGACAGCACATCAGACTCACAATGCGGTTGTTGCCGGTCCATGTCCTGCTCTGACCACTTGTTTTTGGTCTTGCCAAGATCAATTTCTTGGCTTGTTATTATCCAGCTGGTTGCCCCCTGCCAGTTGGGGTTTTCTATCCTGTTATTTTCTTTTTGCATTATTTTGCTTCTAATTATTGAGAGTGCACTGCCGTAAATTAGCTGGACTTCCACTGTTAAAACAATCCAAAATACAGTATTACACTGTACATCAACTATGTGCATGGACAGTAAGTATATCACTAATGCAATGGACAAAAAGTGGTGAATGCCCATGGCCACATGATGGTCTGACAATGGCTGAGTTCTGGCACTTGACGTGGATCACTGTTCTGCTCTGTTCAAAACAACAGTTTTATAATATTACATGTATGTCAGACAAGACGAGTGCGACTCACCTTTGGAATCCTTCAGTCGACATGACGAATAAAAGTAACTTTAAGAAATGCTTGCTCGAGAGATACTTAAACATTAATGCAAGTCGCGAGCATTTTAGCATTTCAAGGACATTTTAATGTAGGTTTTTTCTTTTTTATCTTGATTGCAGTGTACTAATTTAGGTAGCTATTTTTAACCATTTTTTATGTACCCTTTAACTTCATTTTATGATATACTATTACATTTTAAAATTATTTGTAAATAGTCTTGTTATCTTTTTGGGCCCACAATGTAGACTACTGGGTTTACCAGTAATTGAGACAGCCATTAAAGTTTTATTATCATTGTTATAATATTATTAAATTAAGTGTTATTGTATATGCTGCAATTAATTGGTACTGATTATTAATTCATGTAAAATCTGTTTCATTCATACATTTAGCTCTTACAGCACCTTCAATACGTCCCTATACGGGACAAACAGAAGTGCTAGAGGGATCCACCAAGGAAATCAAGTGTGTAACAGAGGGGGCTCCTAAACCAACGGTAGATTGGTACAGAAATGGCAAGAAAATGAATGTCACAAACTGCCATTCAAACCCTCAGAGTTGTGATAAAGTTGACTATGAGGTTTATGAAGAAGGAGATGGTTCTTCTGGACTTCATACTATTTACACAGTTCAAGTTCTCAAAATAAGAAGTGCACTATATCCAAGGGATGTTGGTGATTTTAAATGTGTTGCATCGAATGGAGTTTTACCAGATGCTGAGTTAAGAGTGAGCTTGGATGTCCAAGGTACTTAAGCAAAGGAATACCTTTGTACTTTATGTAACCAGTAATTTGCATAATACATGTGCAATTTTTTTACCCCATTTACAATTAATGATATGCTCAGAACCAACATCTAGAGCCTTAGTTCCTTTGTACAAGTGTACCAATTGTGATCCTATGTAAGTAATTTTAACTGTTAAAGACATCTTTGATGCACAACTCATTGGGAACACCTGTGAACTATTCAATCAAATCAGGCCAGAATTGATGTTAATCCTTCTCTGTACATAACTGCTCTCTTTTGAACATTTGGAAACATTGTTACCTTCCTATGCATTAATTTTTTTTACCTAAATGTTTCATGCAGGAGTGAAACCTGGTGAAAGCATAGAAAAACAACTGTAAGCACTTATGTTTTTCGTACACTATAGCACTTACAGTGTAGAGTACAAAGTTGTATTCTGAGTGCAAACCTGTTTTCTAAGTTGAGAAAGGCAAGGAACTAATGTGAAGAGGGGGGTGGGGGGCAGTGGGGGGTGTGAGAGGCTTATTTGCCGGGGGATGCTTATTACCTTACAGTTACAGTCAAACCAAGTCAAGCGTACCCCCCAAGATTCTATCAGTGAATTGATTATTTGAAAAATGAATCCGTTAGTCGTTCCCATAAATGGTGTCAAATTCAAAGCGGCATTTCTGCATGTGTAATGAGCAGTGAATATTTTACGAGAACTTCTCGGTGTTCGGTGTCAGATTGGAAATCTTTGAATGGATTAAGCTTCTTAGAAGACATTTACATCAATTTCAGGAAAATGGAGCTGGTAGAAATTTCATAACTGCCTCGCGTGTGAATTCACGGCTCATTACACATACAAGAATGCAGAGATCAATCTGAAATCTACAACTAGCAACGGATTCAACTTTTGAATAATAAATTCATTAATGCATTCTTGGGAGGTACGCTTGACCTGGTTTGACTGTAAAATGTAATAAACCTTGTCTTCCTTTCAAACAAAGAAATCTGTACAGCTGTAAACAGAGCACTAAAACATATCTCCAAGAAAAAAAAACCAAAGTATGGTCTTACTGATGGCATTAAGGTCCTAAAAATTCTGGTTTTGAAATGCTCTTTCTCTCCTTCTTTGTACTGGATATTAAGTTTCATTTTTTTCTTGGAGAAGGATTGCTTGGTAAGAAACTGTTGACAACAAGATCCAACTTAGTAGATTATACATGTAAGTTAAATCAGAGGTTGATGAAGGATTATAAACATCAGAATACACAGTTAAAATTTTACAATCTTATTTGCAATATAAGATGTGCAGTCTACCCCATGAGCATCGCATCATCATGGCAACTCATTTAAGGATATCATAAATCCACTATTAAGCTCCCCAGGGGGCTTATTTTTTTCAAACACTTTTGAGGAGGGGCTTAATAGAGACCGGGGGGGGCTTATTTAATTTAACGAAATGCATCAACAGGAGCAAGGTTTCTCAAGGACGGACTTGTGGTTACCGGGCGCTATACTGCCTTTTCTAACAATAAGAAAATGGTAACAATTCTCCACAGAGACCTAGAGCATAAAGTTGAAAAAGTTAGATCAGCACATGAAGTTGGAGGTCATGTGGCTGAAGACCAAAAACAATATGAATTTCCAGCGTGAATGAACCATAACTGATCAGTCCACGTTAATTGTTTGTGAAGAATAGGGATGGAGGGTGGAGGGGAAGGGGGGGGGGAGGGGGGGGACTTAATAACTTTTCTCTGACCTCTGAAAGGGGGAGGGCTTATTAGAGAGGGGGCACTTAATAGAGTATTTATGGTACTTTATTCGGGATAGTGACATGAACTAGGCCTCAACTAACAATCTTAATTAAATGCAGTTAAGCCGACACTGAAAGAGAGATTAGATGCAGTTGCTGTGGTAGAAGACACAGAAGCTAAAGTGTCCTGTACAGTGACCAAGAGCAACCCATTGCCAACATTCAGTTGGCAGTATGCTTTCAAAAACTTGGAATGTGATATTCAACAATCTACTGGTACCTGTGTCCCTAAGGAAAACAAGTGGATTACTGTTCCTAGTCAGCTGGTGTCTCCCAGCAGCTCAACACCAACAAATGAAAGCATTGTGAATGTTGCCAAAGACCAACAAAATGCATTCTACCGCTGCCAAGCATCCAATTCCTTGGGAAATGATTCGCAAATCTTGAGATTTGTCAGACTTGGTAAGAACATCACTTAGTAAAAACAGTACTTTTTTGAGGTATTGAATTGTACAAAAGTGTAATAATGTGCTTTATACTAGTACAGAAAAGAGAACAGATTTTCTAGGGATGACCTGCACCTTTTCCAAACAAGTTTTGTGATTGGCTGGGAAAACAATAGGGATGGTGACATAACAATACCCCTATCCCAGAAAACAATAGGTAGTGCGAGTTATAGGGACCAATGAAAGAAGAGGTTTGGATTCGTGCAGGTCAATTGATGTTCTACTCATAGATCAAGCCATAGTTAATTGAGTGGAATGGTTATGAAACCCGTCAGACTCCTTTGTTATATGTTTTTGTGGACCTGAAAGTGCACAACATTCAAAAGAATTCCTATCATTTTGATTGTATTGACCAATAAAAAGGTTGCATTAATTTATTCCGTAACAATTTGCCAACAGAAAACAAAGGATTGTGCACTTTCAGGGTGCTTCCAACATAAACTGCAGCACTGTTGTTTTTATCATTGATGTTTGCCGCTTTTCATAGGTTGCAAATGCACAGATTAATGCTCACCTGAGGACATTTTTAGCTGCCTGTATTTTGTGCACATCTAGTTGGGCTTGGAACTGAGACACTCTGTGAGATAATAATTATTATAAATTGGAAAATGTGTGTTTCCAGGCGTATCCATAAAACCATGCCGAAAAAAATAGGCCAAAGTTTTAAAGAAAGTCTTTAAGAAGGTAAGCTCGTTAAGAACTTGTGCAGATCTTGGAGGATGTTATCCACCTCGACCTCCAGCCCGGATGGAGAACATCCTCCTTGATCTGCATAATTCTTCATATCTTACCATTTTTAGCTGTATGTATTTTGTGCACATCTAGTTGGGATTGGAACTGAGACACCCTATTTGATAATATCAATTGAAAAATGTGTGGTTCCAGGCATATCCATAAAACCGTGCCGAAAAAATAGGCCAAAGTTTTAAAGAACGTCTTTAAGAAGGCAAGCCTGTTAAGAACTTTTGCAGATCTTGGAGGATGTTATCCACTCGACCTCCAGCCCGGGTGGATAGCATCCTCTTTGATCTGCATAATTCTTCATATCTTACCATCCTCATTTTTTTAAATAATTACATGTATTGCTAATTACCTATGATTGATCAACAGTGAAACCAGATGCCAAGGTTGAGATTTACACTGGCAAAACTAAGACTGAGGTGAACGAGAAGTCTACCTTACAGGTCTTCTGCATTGACCGGATTGATGGTGACTGGGGCCTCCTTTTCTCAAAAGATGGGGAAAAAATAGAACTAAGTGATCCACGTGTTAATGTCACCATTTTTGAAAATCAACCGAAAGAAACTGAAAGGTTGTTTAAACTGACGATAAAGAATGTTACAATGAATGATACAGGAGAGTATGGATGCACCCTTTCTCTTTTGTTTCCAACGCTCCTTGATGCCATCAATATTACGGTGAAAGGTGAGTGAGCTAAGAGTGGAGATCATTAGAGTACTTTAACTAACATTTTTATCGGTAGGCCCTCTGATAGGTGCAAAAATTATTGGTAACTCATGTGAATTTCCTGGAAGTCATATTAATAGATTTATGCAGGAAAAAGCTGTGTTACGGTCCCAGTTACTTGATTTTTATCACGCTCTATGATTTCAAATCTCGTGGAAAACAATTGTTCGGTTTTGTGCCCAGAGTTCAAGGGAAACTGTCTGTCACAATTTTTTGGTTCCGTGAAAATTCATGGGAACCCACTCCTAGATGTTTTCACTTTTTTGGAGTCATTTTCTATTTCCTGGAGCTGTAATTCATAAACCGTTAATGTGCGATGCACTTTGGAAACAATTCAAGATGATGGGCAATAGACAAATAAAAATTGATAGATGCTGAAGATTTAGTTTTTATGATATTTGGTATAATTTATAAGCCAAGTCATAACCAAAGAATTGATCTACTACAGTGGAACACTGTTAATTATGGTCACCTACATGTATGGAGCAAAAAAATATTGGCCATATTAATGGGTGACCAACAAGAGTTTTTTTTACAAGAAAATGTATGGCTGTTTTGCCAGGCGTAACAAGGTGACCGTATGACTGAGGTTGGCCATAAGGCAGCATTGTACTGTAGTTAAGAATCTGAGTGGAAAAATACATGTAGTGCATTTCTGTAATTTCTGTACACAAACATGCAAATGTACACTAAAGAAAACGTACAATTATGGTTCGTTTAATACAGAAGTACATAGTAGAAGATTGAACATCAAACTGTATGCAGCTGTGTTTTGTTGAGTTGATCCGTAATTTCGTGTGTTGATGGAGGGAACTTGCAGCTATAGTAGCTGCAGTGGTTTAAGATCTGCTGTCAAGAATTTTTGTGGTAATAACGTGGCTGCATTTCCGAAGTTGTTGCATGTGTACATACACACATACAATGAATGATGGCATTGTCAGTGGTAGCTCTAAATAATTTGAAGGCAGGTTTCTTTGCGATAGCCATATACATTTGTATTGGCGTTAATATTTCTCGATTTGTGAAGCCAGATGGTTTGAAGAAGGTTATGGCATTGATAATTATTACCAAATGATTTGTGCAAATATTAGAAAAAACACACTGCAGAACTTACATCCTTCATCATCATTGATAGCTTTTGTAAGTTTTACGGCTGGTCCTGTTTTTATTAGCCTCCCCGCAGACGTCCTTTGGGGTTCGTTTGTCCCTCCGTGGGGGAGAAATGAATGCGTGACAAACGAACCCCAAAGGACGTCTGCGGGGAGGCTATGTTTTTATGGGCTTACTGGTATAATAAACCATAGGTTTTTGACCTATCAGATCGTGCATATCCAACTATCTCAGTTACTATAATTATGACATAGTAATTATATGAAATTAAATTTGCCTAGTAATAACCATCCATAGTTTCACACAACTGTACATTAGAGAATTCTATGTCATGTTTTTTAAAGCAAAACAATGTTAAATTAGTGTTTGTGTTTGTTGCTATTAATTTTGTTTCGTGTAATAATCATGTTGAATCATGTATTAATATTTATTTATGTCTCCATAGCTCTGAAAGCACCAAACATCACCAAAGATATACCTAATGTGACAGTTCTTCAAGAACCTCAGGGTGGTAATTTGGAGTTGTTTTGTGATGTTACTGGCAACCCAAAACCTACCATCACGTGGTACTTCTACAAGGATGGCAAAGGTGATCCCTTGGTGGTCAACAAGGAAAAACATAACCTGGGCGGGAACAAGGATGACTGCAGGAGTCGGAGAAAGGGTTATTACTTCTTGCAGCCTGATGATGCTCGTGCACTTGTGATTTGCACTCCAGAATTTGAACATCACCAAGGAAAGTATTCGTGTCATGCTAAGAATACAGCAGGAGAGCAGAGCAAGTCTGCATTTGTCAATGTGGAGAGTAAGTAGTTAATTGTTATGAATAGGTACAACAAGCTGGTGTGGTTAACTTTATTAATATTTACTTTAACCACATTAAAAATTTATTAAAATGATAGCAATACTTTATTATGAAATAATGATTAAACAGTCGACTTCTGGTAACTTGAGCTTTCAAGGGAAGTATAAATCAGTTATTGCAAGTTCAAGCTATCGGGAGCTCCAAGCAAAACCTGAATTTGTATTAGTACTTTATTCATGTATGGATTTGAAGACTTTGCAATCCCTTGCATCTTACTGATGGCTTGTCCCACACTGAGCTTAGATCAAGCTCTACTTGCATATTACTTGGTAAATATATTTCTGGTGGTCAAGGCAAATCCAAGTCTCGCATCTAGTAGGATACAGTCGCACCTTCACTGCCACCTCTTCACAACAACCTCTCTACATTAACGGACTTTCCATACAGTGGAACCCCACCTTACGACCATCTCATTATTACGACCCTATTCTTTTTACCCAAACATTAGAATCACGGAGTTATTTTATTATTTTGAAGACCCCATTAACACCACCACCTTGTTATCACGACCAGGATTTTATGGCCCAACGGTGGTTGCATTAACAGGGTTCTACTGTACATCGTGTCGAGTCTTGTTTAATGCATTGTCGCCCAGGAATTTTTACTGTTTCGAGTGATTTTCTATAAAATAAATCAAGTCAAGGACTAAAATTTTAATATTACTGTGAATGTTGACTTTTGGTTTTGCAGTGTTGATTTCTGTAAAAATGCCGAAGGCAAAAAACGTGATTTTTGTCGTTTTTCTATGACTTTAAAGGGTGCTCATTTCTGTTCTTGTCCAAATTCAAAAGGTGATATGTAAAAAGCACTGACTTTTTTGTGTTTATTTGATATCCCCATTTAAAGGACATTATACTCAATGTTCACAACTGACAGTTAAGACAATGTTTGCATGATTGAGAAAGTTGCAATGTTTTAAAGCAGTGTAGTCTTGTACGGCCAGTGTTAGCGGGCAGCTGGCACGGCCGTCAGTGGGTTAAACCTCTGTACAACATCCATCTCCTTACAATGACCACTTTCTTCTGTCCCCAAAGTGGCCATGGATGAGAAGTTTAACTGTATACCAATTACAAATTGTTGCTGGCCACCCCACCAATATAATATTATTATGTCAGTGGGCTCACTTTTGCTCGGCGGTAATAAATGTTTCCAAAAAACAGTAGCTGTTTGTTTGTTCTAGTATCTATCTATCTATTTTTCTATCTATCTGTCTGTCTGTCTGTCTGTCTGTTTGTCTGTCTGTCTGTCTGTCTGTCTGTCTGTCTGTCTGTCTATCCATCTATCTATCTATCTATCTATCTATCTATCTATCTATCTATCTATATAATTCAATGTGGAGTAAACATAAAGTTTTTGTTGTCATTGTTGATTCTTTTTCTTTTTGACAGTGGCACCAGTCATAGTTGAACCTAAGAAAGATGAAGTACCTCTTTCACTCAAGATTGGTGATCCACTGAACATAAGCTGTGTGGCGAAAGGGAACCCTGCTCCTAATGTCACATGGTTACATAATAACACAGGAAGGGCGGTCTCACCAACTTCAACCAACTCCCAGCAATTAATCATTAACTCGATAGAAGAGAAGGATTTTGGTTTTTACACCTGCATTGCCAGTAATAAATTGAAACGTACAATGGTTTCTATTGAAACCAAGGAAGGTAAATTTATTTCACATGTTGATACATAGTGCATGCTTGGCTTTGAATGCTGGAGGCCAGGGTTTACTCTGCCTTTCACAAGCATGATCCCTGGCTACTTTCATTTGAAACATAAGGGAAGTAGAATGAAATGAAAATCTTAGATGTTCAATTCCATGTAACACAACAACAACGCAGCCAAGTTACAAGGTGTCATTAATACATAATTTTTTTATTGCTGGATGATTGACATCACCAGCTGCCCAATATATTTTTGCTATTGTTATTGGACAACTGACTGAAATCTTTTAAATTTGGTCAGTGTAATTCATACGGTAAAAAACTTGCATTGTGTTTAGACTTTTAATCATAACTATAACAAAATTGTCAAATGTGATTGGCTATCAACTGCCCTGATTTCAGCCTTAATTGGACAGTTTGATAGGACAGTACGCGTCATGCGTAAGTAATTGGACAGTACGCGCCATCACGCGCGCGCTTAAATGGCTTGTTTTTTCACTGCTAGCAAAACAAAATTTCGAATTTCTTGTGTTTTGATTTAAAAAATGGCCTATTGTATCACAAATTTTGTTAAAGTTATGATTAATTGGTAACAGAACTTTGTGTCGTCCAATTCGGTCTGTAATCATACTGGTGATTAAACAAATCGGACTCCCGCTACGCAGTCGTCCGATTTTGTTAATCACTCGTATGATTACAGACCGAATTGGACTCCACTCAGTCCTGTTACCATTACATATTAATTCTGATTTTGTATGGTTATGGAAAGTTAGTTGGATGATTTCAGGGGGGAGACAGGGTCCAATCATTAGCCCCATTGCAAAATCCTGTAGTCAGTGGCCCCGGCCTATTGTACACAACTCTTATTTAACGCTGGGAGAAGGAATGGCTAACCGATAAGAAAACTGGACACCCTTCCCGGGCCCCTAGTTCCAGTGCCTCCCTGATTGCTTGTGGGAATTGTTCTCGGTAGTTGTGAGGTCAAATCATCGCACCCATGCTTGTAAAACAGTTGATAGGTTTGCCTCCTACTAGTTGGATTTTCAACGTTTTTATGTGGAAAGTTCCATTTGAAGTATTATTTTGTCTCATTATCTCTGAAAAGCCCCATAACAGTTTTTTGTTTTCATTGATGAGAAACATCTTGAAATGAATGATGAATTTTTTCTACTTCTCCAGAGGGATCAGTTGATTATACTGGTGGTGGTGGACTAAGTACTGGTACGCTGGTGGGCATTGCTATTGGTGTGAGTGTGTTTGTTCTCATCGTGCTAGTGGTGTGCTGTTGTCTTTACCATCGGCAGAAGAAGCAGATAGATGAGTATAAGCAGCTTTATTTCCTGCAGACATCATCAGACTACAAGGTACATTCCTCTCTATAATATTGTCCATGTACTTTCACTTTGTTCTCAGGTTTGGCTACTAAGCTTGCGCGGTATTTGGCGTGAAACACCGTTTATTGTATTTATTGAACAGTTCATTCGTTTGAAAAAGACAGTCTTCCTGAAGGAGCCAAATCCCCAAATGTCCTGTGTGCAATATACCAGTGCCTTTTTCATGAAAGTCACAGTTGTGTAGTATGTACGTGTACCCTCTTTAGAGAAAATGCTTCAATCCTAACCCACCTACCTACCTACCCACCTACCTGCCTGCCTATCAACCTACTTACCCACCAACCTACCTACCCTCCTACCCTCCTACCTGCATGCCCATCAACCCACCTACTCACCTACCTGCCTACCTACCTACTTGCCTACTTACCTACGTACCCGCCCACCCACCAACCTTCCTACCTACCTACCTACTTACCTTCCGACCTACCTACCTACCTACCTATTTATCTACCTGCCTGCCAATATTTAGCTGGAGCGTTTTCACGAGCTGACCACCATTTTTCTTGTAAGACGTGCTCTAGGACATTAACAGGCATATTTTGTATCAGCCTTATGCGAGAACAATGTGTCATGTTTTAGATTGACCCAGATCGCAGTCTGCTGGAACAGTGTAATAATCTACCTTATGACCCAGACTGGGAATTTCCTGAAGAAAGACTCATCCTTGGAAATGTGCTTGGTGCTGGAGCTTTTGGACAAGTTGTTAAAGCAGAAGCCATTGGTATCTTGGCGCTCAATCCTCGAGACAAGAGCGCAGAATCTTTTAAGCGACGCTCAAAGATCCGTCGGTCTTCACGAGCAAAGGACCTGAAAAAGGAAGATGGTGGCTCGGGATGGAAGAATGTTAAAGTCCCTGTCGCAGTCAAAACCTTAAAAGGTTGATGATTCTTTTTGCGTACTCCTCGAACGAAACAAGGAAAAAACGTAAAATAGGAAAATAGAAAGTGAAAACAGGAAGGGTTTCAGCTCCTACGAGTGGGGATTTTTAACCATGTTGTGTACCATTTGTTCAGTTACATTACTTGTTTCATTATCGTTGAAAAGCCCCATAGGGGGAGAGAATAATTAAAGTGTTATTATTGTTGTTGTTGTTGTTGTTGTTGTTGTTATTATTATTATTATTATTATTATTATTATTATTATTATTATTATTAAAGTAATTGAAATTTTAACGAATATTTCCACACAACATGGTTTGTTCTTAATTCGTTTTGTTTTGTTGTTGTAGAGGGTGCCACACAGGCAGAGTACAAGGATTTGGCTTCAGAACTCAAGATACTCATTCATCTTGGACAGCACAAGAACATTATCAATCTTCTCGGAGCCTGTACAAAGGGAAAACGCCTAATGGTGATCATGGAGTTTGCTCCACATGGCAGCTTACTGAGCTTTCTTAGAGGGAGAAGAGATACATTTGACGCGAGTTGGACTAAAACCATGAACGAGCCAGAGAAGGAGTTCACTTTAGTAGATTTAGTGATGATAGGTTTCCAAGTTGGTCGAGGAATGTCATTTTTGGCGTCCAAAAGGGTAAGAGATGTAACGTAGTAACAAATATTGCTATATAGCTAGAATTTTTCGCCGACAGTGCTAGCTAGTATTGCGTGGCTTCTTCGAGGTCACTTATCTTTCACTGCGCCTTTATTATTTTTTTTTCGCCTTCTTGTTTTCAGTGGATGTTTCCTCAAATGAGGATGACCCGCTGGTCTCTGGTTTTAAGGCCGGTTACCCAATACTATTTGTCAGCGCGATTTCTCGTCTCAATGTTTTTTTTTTTTCGCGGTATAGTTTATAGGGCTGATCTTTTTGTCCGAAGTAAAATGCCTCGATAGAAATTGACCTTAAGCTAAACCGTTTGTGAAATCTTTCCCAGGGGCAGCCCAACAAATAAAATCTGATCGCACTCCGTGTGTGAGCACTTCTCGTACCTGAACACTCCCTGTAATCCTCACTGAAACGTCGCCCGCGGCAATGAGCGAGGTGAGACGGTTATATTCGCCGGCTGCGCTTGTAAGGGGCCTTCTACCGAAAATACAAGGCAAAGCACCATAGTTAGAACCCTTCCCAAAGGACTGTCGCTCTTAAACAATCCGACCACATTATAGGATCGTGGTTTCAAGATTTCCGTTGTTTTCATCCTCCAAGTAACGACGTGATACTTGTTCCAATCTCCTACGAGTGTCAGTTGGATAATGCAACTCCGCGGATCCTTAATAAGACAACGAGTTTTCTCCGCCCACCACGTCGTTCTTATTCTACGATCGCCTCATGTAGATTCGAGGTATTTTAATTCACGAATGGCTTTGCGCGTATTGTAACTTGAGAATCAATTACGCAGATTTGTCAGATCGGCTCTTGGTAGCACTGTATCATGGTCTACCCTGTTCTGGGCGTTCAGACTGTAGGTACGACGCTCGGAAATGTGAGAACAAAAAAATAGCGAGCCACTCTCCACGATCTGAGCCCCTGTAACAGGCTGTTATGTTCCCCCTCTCGTAAGTGACCGTTCATAATCGACCGAGTCTTGGCGCTTTTGTTTCTCCCTGACGGAGGTTCAACTGTATTTGAATTGTTTCTAAACCTTACCTTGGGTTGCACTTTTTTCTTCAGTGCGTTCATCGCGACTTGGCTGCAAGGAACATTTTAGTGGGGGATGATTATGTTATGAAGATAGCTGACTTTGGTCTGGCAAGAGACATTTATAAAGATGATCAGTATGTCAAGAATACGCAAGGCTTGCTTCCCGTAAAGTGGATGGCTCCCGAGTCGTTGTTTGACAGAGTTTATACTGAGAAAACTGATGTGTAAGTACACAAGGTTTTAATTCCATTTTAGGTAATTTCTCCACCTCCATTAATTTTTATAAATTGTGAAAATTCGAGAGAAGCCCGCGAACACCCGCTCTGTCTTTAGACCAGCGCTCTACTAACTGAACTACAGTGGAACCTCGATAAAACGAACCTTTATATGACGAAGTCTTCGGTATAACGAACGATTTGCTTTGCCCCAGTAATAGTAAGATATATCAGAAAGAACCTTGTTATATCGAAACCTCGTTATAGCGAACAAATTTTGCCAGTCCCTTGGCCCTTCCTTATATCGAGGTTCCGCTTTAATCCTACCGTGGTTGAAAAATTCAAGGAAAAAACAAACAAACAAACAAGCACAGAAACAAATCCTCCCATGAATCGACGAGCAAATGTAAGGATCAATTTTTCGTGAGGACGTAAAATAATAGTAAAAATTATCTGCTTTTGTTAAAAAAATTCCCTTTTGAAGCTTTTTTTTTGTCCTTTAAAGTCTTACTTAACAATTTTGGGCTGAAAAGACAGGTATTGATCTTGGTCATGGTTATTCTTATCAACAGATGGTCATTTGGAATCCTCTTGTGGGAAACGTTTACCCTTGGGGGTACCCCTTACCCTGGCCTCCCGACAGACCAACTTTTAGACTATCTTAGTGATGGCAAGAGAATGGACATGCCAGCCAAGTGCCCTCTGGAAGTTTACACTGTCATGAGAGATTGCTGGATTCATGAACCTGAACAAAGACCCCATTTTACAACCTTGACAGAAAGACTTGCTAATATATTGGAGAAGCATACGACAACGGTATGTATTAATATACCGATGGACTTACCTTGTTTCCGGGGGGGGGTTAGGGGGGATATTAAGCTAAGTTTTATACGATGAGGCTCCGCGTCGAGGCCAGCCCCGTACCTTTTATATACCTACACCATTTTTGGCAGAAAAGGAACCCCGTTCGTATACTTTCTATTGACAGATGGTACACATTCTATATACCTAGTGTACAACTTTGTATCCCTTTTAACTGCTGTAAATTTTCTCTTTTTTAATGAATGTTAGGTGAATGAATCACATAACCAGAACATTTTCTTAACTTTTTCACAGATTTTCATACCCACACATATACCTGAAACCTGAAAACGGTGACCGTTTCCGGTGGATCCTCCCCCATCAAACTCCTTTGTCTAAACGACGGATGGACTTGACTGAACGACTGTGTGACTCGACTACTGATGACTGACTGAACGACTGACTCAGGGCCTCCTCAAATAAGCCCGGTTGACCGGGCTGGCGCGGTGTTCGAGATCTCGCCTTACCTCTAAATCCTTTGTAAAATTTTCGATGTGTTCATATGAGAGGGCCGGCTGGCGTGGTTCCCGAGATCTTGGTAAGCTAGCCCGCGAACCGCAGACGTATTTCCAGTCGTCGCTTCTCGGTGAGACTAAAGCCGAAAAAACCGGATCCTCGCGCAAGCTATCGGTAAGCGGGCTGGAAATTTTGCCATATGAACACTTCATCCCGGTTACCGGGATGAACGGCGGGATGAATTCTGGCGGTCCGGAGGGCATCGTTCTGGATTGCCTACTGTATTTTCCACATCATAAACATTCCATTTAACTGCACAGTGCAGTTCTCGGAAACCGGGCTGAAATTTCTCATATGAACACAAGGCGAAATTCGTCCCGGCAACCCAGCCAGCCCGGTCAACCAGGCTCATGTGAAGAGGCCCTGAATTACTGAACGACTGACTGACTGACTGACTGAATTAATGACTGACTGACTGAACACACTGACTGAATGACTGACTGACTGACTTGCCGACGCTGTTAAGTTCACCTGCCAAAATCAATATTGGTTTATGTAGAATGCAAACAGCTTCCCTTGCTCCTTAAGATTTCAGAACTTAGAGAAGCACCAACTGTACCAGCAGCAACTTATACGGCAACAATAAGAGCACAGGACCGTCTTTGTATAACCCTTCAAACGTCCTAACGCCAACCTCTGCAACGGCTGCTGGACTTCCTGTGCCACAGTAGTTCCTCTCTTGATTTTTTATTTGTTTGTCTTATAGGATAACCCTTATTTAGCACTCCAAATGGACGAGGAGGTTCAACCTAGCTCAGGTTACTATCTTCAGCCAGTTGATAATGCAGGCGTTCGGGATTCCAAACGATACGTGCAATCCCCACTGCAGACTCCCGCAAGTGACACAGAAGAACCCCCACAATTTGGAGACTTGGAAGGAGATGGAAAGAGGTGTGTTTTCTATGCTATACCCCTACATGAGAAATTTCTGCAATTTGATTGGCTTACAGCAGTGGTATTTCAGCTTAATTTGAAATACGTATATGTGAAAATTACAAACCTTTTGCATTTAGTAGTATAAACGAATAATAGCATAATTTTTACGTGATATTTGGCATAAATACCACTCGTGATATTTCAAAATTGTCTCCAATTTCACTCGCCTAACGGCTCGTGAAATTACGTATAACAATTTTGACATATCACTCGTGGTATTTATGTCAAATACCACTACTAATCATGCTATTGCCTATACATATTTCTGTTAGGTAACTATTTATCTCCACAATTCGCGTATTTCGTGTGTCTCTCGGGATACCTTCTGTTTAAAACGCATAGGGATAACAAATGAGAATTTGAATTTTGATGTTAGGGTTAAAAGGGTTAAGGTTTGTGTGAATTTCAGCTTTAGCTTATCGTTTCTAGTCTAGTCTGGGCTGGATTATATTATCCTCTAATTCAAATTTTAAAACGTATATAATCGTCTCAAATGCAGCGTAGTTAAATGAATTTACAGCCGAACGAACGGTAACATTGGTAAATCTTTTAGCCGAACGAACGGTAACTTTGGTAAACCTAGGGGAGGGGCCGTGGGAACCGGGTCTGAATCCGCAGGGATGAGAAAAGATATATTGGATGAGCACGCCCTCCATCCCTCCATCGCAACCCACCCCATCACCTTCTTGAAGATCTAAATCTGTCACTGGTTAAAAATTGTAGATATCTTCATTTCAGGTATGATTCTCCATTGCCCACTTTGCCACCAGGCCTGCCGGCCTTGAGCGACGATGAAATTCCTAAGGAACCACTGCCTCCCCTCCCCCCTCCCTACGAAAACGACGTTATGGACAAAGGGAGGTTCCCTGAAAGGGCAGACAGTGCTGGAGGGGAGAGTGGAATTGACATGGACGGAGCAGATGATGGTTATGTGGAAGATACACGAGCTGATACGCCATTCCTCCCCCCTCCTGGCAATAAGCCGGTCGCTATTGACATGGAGAAAGCACCTGAACCAAAAGTGCTGTTTAAGGGCAACAGGAACAAGATCGAGACTTCACTGTGAGTTTTGAAAGTCCGATATAGTCCCAATGTTGACGGCAGTGCTGGAACTCCCATGGTGCTCTAAAGACGACTGTAGGGGAACGACGCTACTTGTCAAGGGATTTTTCATTCGGCCGTCAGGATAGACGGAATTATTACTAACAGGAAAATTAAAAGGAAATGTGCATTGGACAACGCGAAACGCAAAAGTAGTTAACTTATTCAGGATAAGCAATGCATAATTCAGCACAGTAATGCATAATATGAATGTATATCGAAGGGGCGAGGCAAGGCACTAACTAGGCGAGGTAATTAGATAAACAGTTTATCGGCTCTATCACGCTTACGGATCTAAATGTCATTTTATGTGTTGAAAACTTAAGAGGAAAACAACTACAAAATACCAATATTTCTTTCATAATGTTTGAAACTTTCGCGTGTCGCATGACGTTGTCGATGTCTTATGGCCCAGATGAGCTACATAGCTATTTAGCTTAATTTGCTACTTAAAAAACGAGAAAGAAACTGCAAAGAAATTTGAAACGAGGAAAAAAATTGCCTTCGGGCCCGAAAAGTTTTCGCGCCTTTTGAGAAACGGGCATCTGGGCCAAGTTAACTTCAGCAAAGAATTGTGGGATTGTTACTGGGGACAAGAAAAAATGGCCGGCGCGTCCCCAGTAACATTCCCAGAGGTCTTTGCAAAAGCTAACTCGCCCCAGTTTCCCTCTCGTTTCTTAAGTGATGAATTGATTCGCAAATTATTACCGACGGTAGTCAGAGCAAAACGCACAAGTTGAGGGTCCAATTTATCCAAATTATAATTTCTAGTTGTACAATTATTTACCACTCTTTCCACCGCTCCCTCTCTAGTGTCTAGGCTTCTGTATATACAATTTCCCGTCTTGTTGACGAGTATAATACTGTTAACTTGTTTTAAAATATTTAAGGGTTAGAGGCTGGCGGGGGTGTTTTGCTTGTAAATAATCGCTCGCACTGACTGTAGCATTTTTAGTATTCCCAACTGAGACCTTTGAATAGCAAAAGCAACTGTTTTTACTCTAACTACAATGTGAGGAGCAACAAGAAGTCAAAGACATGTTTAAATAGCTTCGTAAAGAATCAAAATCAAAGAAAGGATGAGATCATACACAACGTTCAATTTACTCTTCAACAGTCATAAAGCGATCCGATGGGGTCTTGAAAGTCTTTCTTCATTGGCTGTAACACGGCCCAATCAGCTTCCGGAATCTCACACACATCAGGAAGTGTGAGTATTAAATATATAGTTATGAATTTCAGGCAGGTATTTTTAACTGAATTTTGCAGAATATTCTGAAGTAATGCAAACAATACCGTATGCATAATGCATTGTAGAAGGGCAGTTTTTATAGAATAGAGGATAATTAATTGTTCACTTACGCTTGGATTCGTAAGAACGATATTATAGGGAAAATATAAAAGGAAAACAGCAAATATCTACTGACCAAACAAAGAAACAAATTTAATTTGTTTCTTTAAAATGCTTAAGAGCTTGAATTTAACTCTATTTTTAAATATCGATTTAATTTGTTATTGTTTATAGCATATCTTGTTATAACGTGGAGCCGACTGTGAATAAATTTGTGTTTAGATAAAATATTTGAGTTTCTGATTGAACCTAATCTGGCAGAGCCTTCGTTACTCTTGTCCAGCGGAACGTGCATGATTCATTGGTGCTATAACAAAAAGAAACGAATACACACGAGCAAGTGAAAGCAGCCATCGAATGACTTCATAACGGGCTGTTGCTCATTTAATCTCACTCAAGATTACTTTTACCCAGTGAAGGAAGCTAAGCTGAAGGCTGTGCGTAAGGTCCGCAACAAGGATCTTGTGCTTTCCGTATGGGTCACGATTTTTTTTGCTTGGATGGCACTTCTCGGACAGTTTCATCATATTGAAATTAAAGCTGCTTTCACATTGAAAACAACTTGAATGGTCCTCGGGCTGTTGCTTGATCTCTTACCCATCTTAAGGGACTCACGCGAAAGACAAACAAAGCCAGACTCTCCCAACAGCGTGGGCGGCGCATCTCAGCCACCTTGAAGTACCTAGAGAAGTTTAGTCAGCAATTCCGATCAAGGAGGTAGCAGTCTTGCAGAGGTTTAAGTTCTTCTCTTGAGCTACGTTCCGTGAGGTCACTGAGAGAGTTTGATATGGTCAGGAGCACCAGCAGCAGGCGCGTAGGTGGTGTTCGCCGTGTATCGCGATGTGTTGATATAGAATTTCAAAAGACTGAAAATAATGTCTTACTCTGTCAGTGTTCTGAACGCCTGGACCAGGCTATGACAGTGTACAATATTAGAATTTACGCCTTGTCTATACGGTGAAGTTCTGCGGAACAAGCTGCATGCTCAGTGTCATCACTAATAAGCGGCTGAAATCGTCAAACTCCTCTTGTTACTGTGCAAGACAAAAGCATCTTTAGAAGCAGACTCGTCAACTGGATCATGTAGGTATGACAACCGAAGACCAGCGCTGGCGAGTAGACGCAGCCCCACAACGAGATCCTGTTCCCTGAGGTATATTTCAGTCGTGAAGAGGCTGATACGATTATGGTAGCCTGAGTATCAGGCCTTCCTAAGGGGCTAGGGGAGAGGAGATTTTAAATTGGGGAGGGGGGAGGGGAAGAATAAGTTTCTCTCCTTCAGCTCTCTCCCTTTTTCGCTTCCATCTTTCCCCTTTTCCCCCAGAAACGCCTGATACTCAGGTTACGCGTGTGGTTCTTCATGCCTGGCACGCGCCTGGAATCACGTGCTTGATGCACCCTGCGCGGACACTGATTTCTTCAATTGTCTAAAGGCTTGCTCATAGCTAAACTTGACTTTGAAAAGTGCTAAGTGAAAAAGGAAAGAGGCACGACATCCAGAATAATTAAAATCATGCAACTCGGCCCAGGCATTTTCATCCTTTGACTCCGCAAAGGGCCCTTATCGGCTTAAACTCTAGGCGATCACAGGCTGTGATGACACCTCTGCCTTCTTTGGTAAAGGAAAGTGGAAAGCAGCATTGCTTCCCCAACACAATGAAGGGTACGTCCGAGCTATGATGAGTATCGGGGAGGAGTGATGAGAATACGTCGACACCTTTCAATTAAAGATACGGAAGCACTCGTGCTATGTGGCAACTATACTAAAAGAAGTGTCATATTGCGGATGTGCTGAATACGAGATCCACCACGGTAAACTGACAGGAAAGTCAAACTAGAGAGTTTGCCCCCATGAGAGTCATCTTTACAAGATCGCAAAAGCAATTATCAATTCGTAGTATGAAGGGCCACTGTTATGCTCCCCTCATCGGCACGTTGAATAGAGTATGCATATAGCTCTGACGTCGTGCCGTTTGTGCAGCTTGTATGGGGGAGCGTTGCGTGACATCCAAAAAACGGCTGCGAGGGAGACTAGTACCTAAGCCGGTTCCTGAAGAAAATGACTCTCCTCTACGTGCAGGAAAGCATAAACTACAATTACCTTCTACTCTAAGAATGTAAAGTATGGACACAGATAAGTACTTCTGCGGGTAAAGCAGAAAGATAGTTGTTACTTTTGTCGTCTTTTTTATTGTGTCTTGTTTCAGGTTCGATAGCAGTTGAATGCACTAATGCCAAAGGCAAATGGCAGTCACTGTGACGTTTTATATGACGTCATCTTATCTAGACTAACTGTAACAATCCTAAAGTAATATCTCTGGCATGATTTCAAAACAAAAATCGCGTATTTTTTAAGAGGAAATCGAAGGTTTCTTTTTAAATCCAAGATGGCGGCCAAAAAAAGGGTATGAAGGGCGAATTTAAAATTTGGTTTACAAAGTGAAAGCTACCGCTCTGTCCTTGTTTTGTTTGTTCTCTTTAAGTGAGCCATAAGACCCTCCTAGCTAATGGACTGTTATGTCACCGTAACACATCTACTTTATTACTCTTCAACGTTTTACACATCAAGAAGAGTTAAGAGATATAAAAATATAATGTTTCTTTATACGCTGGCTTGATTATTTCAGAATATACTAATTAATTTTACAAGCACTCACGTTACGCATGCATACTGCGTACGAACTATAGTTAATTCAATTGGATGAAATATCTCTTTGGTGTTTTTTCTAATTGCAGACTGAATTTGAAATGCCATTTAAATTACTACGTGACGATTGAGCTGACAGTGTTGAGATTTTTTGCCTAATACTTCAATAAATTAAAATCGTGTTGTCTCCTGACGTATTGTCGTCATGAGTAAATACGACATCCTTGCGGATTTACGTTTTGTTTTTTGTTTTCCGTGTTAAATATATAGCGCACGCAGCACCAGTCACAACTGCTCACGGTTTTACTGGTTTATATACGGTTCAGTTTCTAGCTTCGATTACACTAAAAACGAGCTGAGTGAATTAAATGAATAGCCTGACGGAAAAGACGCAACAAAATCAGTTTCAAACTGTGCGCCTGAAAGAATTTTAATTAGTCATCAAAGAGATTATTTCAATGTGACGTCGTTTTTGAACGCTTCTTGGGTCTTTTCCAGCTATGATGCAAGTAAAGCTTTCTTTGTCAGATTTAGCGGGCACATGGGATATCAGTGAAAATGTTGACGAATTTTTAAGAGCCAAGTTGGCCATCAGGCTTCAATGCAAGTTAGACATAATACTGGCTCGTGTGTATTGTTGTACATACCACTGTTGTAAACAACAAACGAAATTATTAGTAAGAAAAAAAAAACAAACAAAAAAACGCCATACATACTTGATAATGCTTTTTTGAGTTTTCGGATATCGGATAACCCTGACCTTTGAAGCATGGCTGCCACTTCCTGTCACCGCTTAGAACGCGTTTAAGGTGTTTCGAGGGGGGGGGGGGCGGGGGGAGGGGGAAGGGGGGATGAAAATGAAACTCAACCTTATCCTCACATGTATGATATACTTTAGGGTCAAGTTTGCAGCTAAAATGAGCAGTGACAAAATCGCGGAAATCCATACGTCACGCCTGACGTAGCAGACGCAGATAGAAACGTGCTTACTATTGGCCGCGGTTAACAAGCGCATGTTCCGCAAATTAAATCAAAATTAAAACAGACATAATACACTTCCTTTTCATGAACCTCGAAGGAAAAGTAACACACTTTATTTTATTCTTTATTGTGAAATCCATAGGAGTACAACTGATCAGAAGGAAAAATTCTCCAGGTTATTTTCTTGTTAAATATATTGCACAGAATATATTGAAAACAAAGGAAACTACGAAGCAATTAGCAGGTACACTGTTCATCATGAAATCACAGCAGCACTGCAGATGCGTTTGGAGCGGTTTAGTTTGGAGCGCATTCTTCTGTACTTCATTTCTCCTAACGGCTCCAGGTATGTAAAATTCTCGTTTGAATTCAAGAAGTATACTTTTGAGTTCGTTTGGACTTATAAATTTGATGGGGGTAACGATAATAAATAACCCACAACATAACGACTATTTACACTGGGAGCCCCTGTTATACACACATTAAGGTGCAATGATATCGCGTAGAATACTTAACTAAAATCATGATATATAATTGCTCATTATAGTGGGTATTTTTACACCAAGTGTAAGTATAAAACTATTGGACCAAGTGTAAGACTTTACGTTAGTCTCTGGTTTGTATTCGCAACACCACGAAACCGGAAGTCAGAAGTAAGACAATCACGCATGAATGAACAATGAATTTATTTAGCATTCTTGTCCCTATCTTTTACTGATTCATTGGGATAACCACACAGCAAACAAACACAAGTAAAGTAAATAAGATAAGGTGTATTTCATTCAAAATTCTAACGAGTATTTTTTTCTTGAATTTTTTACTTGAATTCCTTACAAATCTTTCATGTTCACGGCCATTTTGAGGATTACGAAATATGAAACCACATGCATTTAAAAACTCTCATACTGAACCTGGGTCGCCTCACCCCTGTAGTTCCTATCCTCCACAACGGAGGCATTTCCTGCTTTCGTACTGAAGCCTTTACCCTGTATATGATGGTCTAAACGTCCAAAGTTTCCGCCAAATGTATTGGAAATTACGTGACTTTATGTCTATTTTACGTTGAACTGATGATGAGTTATGATTGATTGCTGATCCGCCGATTTCGTTGATTGACAGTTTTATAGATTGATTTAAGTTGCTTTATGCTTTCGTGATTCCAGTTTAGCTTAGATTTTGGAACCAATTAGGACATTGTGTAATCTTTTCTTGCAGAATAATTGTTTATTAAAGAAATCTCAAAGGCTTGATGCGATTGTTTCCTTCTCGACCATATGAAGAGGAAATTTACAACGACTTAAATTATACCATTTTATGGAGATGTAAACTGAAGTCACCGCAAAACGGGGACTTAAAAAATAGTATAATCCATTTATCTCGAAACATAATACACATGACTTACAGGACCTTTATTTTCTTAAAGGTGTTTACGAACGAAGACAGTAAATGTGAGGGGCAAAAACAGTATTAATATGAATGAACCAAAGGGTTTTACTTAATGTAAGGGTCAATTATTGTGCCTTGAGATGTGTTGCTTGAAAAGAGAGAGTTCGTGCACATGTGATCAGAAGTAAACGAGGGCGCATAGTGCGTTACTTTCAGTCTATTTAATATCCAAGGACTGTGAATAGTGTTTCCATATTGTTTAGCTGGCACAAAAACTTCGGAGGAGTTATAAAGCGGCATAGTTATCTGCCATGAAGAAAAGTTAGTCATGGGTGAGACAAACAGCGACCTCGAACGAATTTTTAACTCGTATCGGTATCAGGTAAAAAATGTGTTGGCGATCGTTTCATCTATTTACATTGTTTAAAGTGCGTGCTGATGAAAGCAACATACGAGCAAAGATTTTATTCCTTTGGTATATATTCCTTTAAGTTAGAGACAAATACCAAGAGGAAAATTTTAAAGCTGAATATTTTTTATCTTGTGGAAAAAATAGTGCGTTTTCATTTAGACTGTAGACCGCAATTTAGTATCGTCTATTTAAAGTCTGAGGGTTGCAGTCAGTGAGGCCCCTGCATCGGGATCAATGGACAGTTCGCTGTCTGTTTTAGTAAACTTCTGGTTTTCTTACAATACAATATTCCTGTCTAGTGTAAATCAGCCCAGTTTTGTTATTTCCGGTTACGTCAAATTATAGTCACGTTATACTGTCACGCTATATTTTGGGGGACAGAGGGACTGGGGGAGGGGTGCGTGGAAATAATGCAAATCGTTTCCTGCTTAAAATTAATGGCTAACTTGTTTATTTTTATTCATAATGGTGGAATTTAAAAGTTATTATACAGCCCCCACTTAAGGTACTCATATTTTTTGTTACGAAAGTCTTTCAAAAGGGTACGATGTTCTGAATGAGTTTATGTTTCAGTCTCACATGAGATTTTGTTTCACGCAATGGTCGGCGACAAGATTTTATGGTAGCCTGAGTGTGTATAGCCGCCCCCTCCCCTCAGAAAAAATAGCCCCTAGGCAGCCCAGTTAACTAAAATTCGCTGCTTGGGTCAACGTTTGCTGGGTATGTGCTGCTGGCCTCTCAAAACTCTTACCCCAATATAGGGTAAGAAAATTTGGTTATTTATGCACCCAAGAAATTTTGGTTGTGACGTAATTGTCCGTCCGTCCGTACTTACGTACGTACGTACGTTCGCCCATTCATGTAAACTTGGGTGGAATTTGCATTTCAAGCACGCCTCGCGTTTCGGGGGCAAATCGCATGGCCGCCTGAACTTTTAGAGAGAAAAAAAACAACTACAAAATAGCTGAGTCTTTCTTTGACCTTCTTTCGACTAAATGTTGATGTCTACATTAGGTGGATAACATGCAGGGAAAGAACTAGAGCGAGAAATAAAAAAAAAAAACAACGGAGAACAATTTCGTCGGAAGAAGCACATTAAAATTTTACAGCGGCTGTGAGAAAATGAGAAATGCTAGCGGCCACCAAGGTGAAAATGAGCGGCAGTGAAAAAACAAAGTGGACAGGAACACAAACATTTCCTCCATAAAGAGAGTGACTAGGAAGTTTCACGTTTTAGTCTTGCGAAACAACGCCAAGGAAATGTACAAACAGGTGTGCTGCACGTGCAAAGTTGTTGTTGTTTTTTTTGCTAATTAGACCTATTGTTGTTGTTTTTTTACCGTTGTCCTTGTCTTCACCGTTTCTCCAGTGTTTCCTTAGTATTACACGATTTATATTTTCTTTGATTAAACTATAAGTAATATGGAGGGCTTCGCTTTTAGCCCTGGCTAAATCTATTAATTAGTAAAATCCAACTTGTGGTCCATTTTCAATGCTCCGTTCTGATTTGTTGAGTTACCACTAGGCTATATGTTATAGCCTACTAGTAGAGAAAAGCGCCCGCTTTTTGGCGGAAAAAAAGGATTTAATTCTAGCTTTAACTAGCTAAAGTTGTTTTGTCTCGATATTTTTGACCAACTAGTTGGATTTTACTAAAACAATTATTCCTCTCGTTCTTATGGCCTCTGAGTCAGCAGCCCATTCGGCCTTCGGCCTCATGGGCTATTGACTCAGAGCCCATTCGGGCTCGAGGAATAATGATTAAATATTAGTCTATTCTGTGACCAATTATAGACCCTATCTGAGTCAATTTGAGGCAAATATGTTTTTCGCGATTCTAACTTGGCCACTTTCGGTTTCAACCTCGTTCCGAGGGTCCTCACCTACTCGGTCCCCGTGTGTGTGTGTGTGTGTGTGTGGAGGGGTGGGGAAGTGGGGTGCGAGTAGGATGGGACCCCGGCAAAGAGTTTGTTTCTGTTCATGCATCACCTTATAATTATAAGGTGATGCATGAACAGAAATATAAAGCATTTTAACCAGGTCGGTCATAACGAAAACACATTTTTCAAATTCCTAGATGCAAAATTTATTTTTTTTAACCCCAGGATCCCGAAAATGTGCGACCCCATACCAGATATTCTTGAAAATATAGTCAATCCATATGTAAAATGCGATCCATTCAGCGGCACATCCCCATTAGCCTATTACTAGGAAGTACCCTCCCCGGGAGGGATCGTAAAGTCCCTTGCTAGTAAATCCAATGAACGCAGCGAGTAGTAAAACGCCCTTGATGGGTACGTGGCAACGCCTGGTTTTGATTTAGTCCCATTTTGAGCGTGGCTAGCAAAATTCAATCTACATTAGTTGTACGCTTTATGTTGTTTTTGACATTTATTTTACATTTTTCCTGAAATAGATGATTTTCACCATTGCAAAAGGCATGTAATTCATGTCAAGCAGGGACAAATTGTGTTTAATTGACTGCTATTGTTGAAGGTCCTATTGTCGGCGAAAAGTTTCTTTTTACACCACTCTTTCGTGTTATCATCAAGCAAATTTTCTTACTGATCTCCATACAATGCAATATATAGACAAACAAGCGGCTTGGACATAATTGTGCCAAGAGCAACTTGATTCCAGGGCATGAAACGACTTTCAAGAGATTTTGGCTCTCTAATTTAGCGATTGAATCATCTAGTGATCTATGGCGGATCACAGCATCAGTCCCACTAACTTTCACGAAGACATACTGACAACTGGCACACCAGCGCAAGACTAGGTGATGATCATGATCTGCGCAGTGTTGAGGCGGTAGGCATAAGATAGTCAGAAATTTTGGATCGGTAGTCGGACCAATCTTTAAAAAGCTTAAATGCTATTTGTCCGTTTACCTCAAATTTCAGAGTCTTCTGCATGTTTTCAAAACATGTTCTGATTGGATAACTTTGTTTTCCAAGTGCTCTATCTGGTATGGTTTTCGTTCCGGTGCAAACGCTATCCGGCATAGTCGTGAACATGACCTAAATCGAGCCCAAAGCGTCGATCGCATTCTTAGCATTTCAAACAATTTTGACGGCGTTAGTTGTGCGGCAATGACAGCAAATAAACCTGCTAAAAAACGACCCTCACATTCACAGTTTTTGTTTTGTTTATTTTCTCTTTTCCATCATCGTTGTGGTTGCGCTGAGCTCGCTACTAGGGTTACCACGCAGTTCTTAGAGCGGTTTTCACTTGACTGTCGAAAGGGATTGGTTTTGGGTTTGGTTTTGGTTTTACTACGCCCTTTGTTGGCTAGTGTATTTACTTTGGTTTTGGTTTTACGACAGTCAAGTGAAAACCGCTCTAATATGGGACGATTTTGCCTGAAAGCTCGACGATTAGATGAAAAACGCGCGGACGAAATCGACGTTCGTAAGTACCCATTCAGTGGCTCTGTCATGAGGATTTTGCCTTTTTTGGTCAATTTTGTGCTACAATTTAAACTTGGTGTCTCTAGCCTTGTAAAAAATGCTCCGGTAGAGTAGTTATGAAGAAGATAACAAGCAAATTTCATCTGGGAGCACTAACCATAGTAATTCAGTTGTGGGGTGATTTTTTCAGGCGTAGCATTACAACTGAACGTGAAAAAGCTGGCCCAACGTTTTGAAGTTTCAATCCATATTCATCCTTGCCACAGACCTGCCAACTCTCACGATTCTACCGTGAGTCTCACGATTTTTTAACGTTTCTCATGGCCTTTCGACAGGCCTCCCAATCTCACGGTTTTTGGGGAAACGCCATAGCGGTACGGGCCGGGGGGGCGAGGGGGGCTGCAGCCCCCCCAAAGTTTGGGCAACTCAGATTTTTTGGGCAGCAAGAGAAAACTTGGGCAAAGCCAGTTTTTAAAGACGTTTCCATGTTTTTTTATTATTATTATATTTTGAAGACACAAATATTTTCTATTTTAACCAGAAGTCGGCGTAATAATTCAGTTACGTTCACACGAGAGAGTGGTTGCCTAGCACGTGATGAGTTTCTGGTTATAAGGGAAGGGTATCATATGCTGATTTTTTTTGTTGTTGTTGGGCACTGTACTTAACTCTACTAGCTGGAGTGGGCTATTTCCAGTCATGAATTGATTAGAATAAACTTCCGCATAACTTTCTAGAATCACCTCCGCTCCTAGAACAGTGTGTGGCAGAACACGCATCAGCAATGGGTCTGAAAGTGAAGTGGCTGACTAATTCTCAGTTTGAATTACGAGAAGAATCATAATTTTCTTGAAAAAATCTATCGAGGGTTTAAAAATTATTCACTAATTTGTTTAAGTAGACCGAAATGTTTACGAAACTCCTAACAAGATCGAGCGCTTATCAAATCCTTCCTTATTAGCAATTGGCAGGAGCTATCTCCATGATCTTTCATACACGTTTCTAATAAGATTGAAACTCCGTTTTCTAAACATCAAGATTTTCCTTATTTATCTTATTTCTAACAATAAAAACTTCATCCCAAAATATCTCGATAACGCTCTTACAGGTCCGTTTTAACTTCACGAACATCGAGGCGACTATTAGAGGAAAGAGCTTCCCTGAACGATTTTGTAAGAACAGTTCCCAGTGAGAAATATTGCTGCAAGTATAATAGGTAATGGCGTCATTTCGTTGCTATGACAGCTCCGATGTCAGTGCAATCCTGATCATCACAAATTTCCCTCTTTATCTAATACAACTGTGGTGGCAATTTTTTCCAAATGCTTGTTTGTGGCGACGTAGTTTATGCTCAAACTTGGCAGGTATTGACTCTGAAAAACTGTATCGAGCCACTTTCATATGCCAGTACGGCCTATTTTGTTGCATGGCCCTAGTTTCCTTTCGACTGTTTTGTAAAAATTTGGGAAACTTGCAAGAATTTTTTGGGCAAATGGGAAACGCTTTGGCTTTGAAGTTGCTTATCCGGAATCGAACGACCCCTTGCTGTAACTTTCGTCCCAGTTATCCCCTCATCCCAATCCTCAAAGTCATCGAAGAAAAAAAAAAGGGGCATCTTGTTACAAGAGTGACCATGTTTAAATAAAGAGTTTATTCACCCGCGGCCCAATGGAAAAAAGTTTCGTTTAATTTGGAACGGGAAAAATTGAATCTCACTACTTTTTGTAGAATCTCCAGATTTTTTTTCTTGGGTCTCTAGGTTTTCCGTTATCAGAGGTTGGCAAGTCTGTTGCCATCCGTTGCAACAGACGGCATAGGAAATAATTTCAATAAAATTATATTGCCTAAATATAGTTTTAAATAACAAAACTGGTCCTTTATATTCGGAATTCAATTGATGCGGACAAAAGTTTTAGCTTTATAGAAAGATATTAACCCGGGAGGAGGGGGGTACTCCCTTACACAAGCCATATGGGTATGTGCCGCCCCAAAGGGTAGGGTTTTTTGCGCCGTTTTGGTCTGAAAATGGGTATAGACTTTGCCCATTTTGGTCTGGAATTGGATCTGGTTTTCGAGGAAACTACGGGAGTGTACGAACGTTTATATAAGTAGGAGTAAGAAAGAAAGAGAAATACGCGAACTCGAAATGAATTTTAAGAAATCTTTTATTATGTTGCTGCTCTTATTTATATAAGTAATGATGACATCATTTCTTAGAGGCCAAGTCTGAAAACGGTCTGAAAATGACATTTTTTGGTCTGAAATAGGGTAAGGATTTGGAGAACCGGGCGGCACACCCCTACCAAGATTCCCAGGAGTCCTCCCCCGGGGATAATGATGAATAGGGTGATGTAGCCCCTTTCAAGTCTCAGATACTTCTAATCTTGTTCTTACATGGTGGTGAAAATTCAAGACGTATTTGTACTTGTATGTTTAATTTTCTCTAGGTGTGAGAGCTCTAAAGTTCCTCCAAGATCCTCCATCATTCCCGCATACTTTTGTTGGTTTGACTTTTGACTTCAACTGCACAACAGATGACCCCAATGCTACAGTGTCACTTCTGTTCAAGGCTACTCAGGTTACTTGGCGTGTGTTACAGGTCTCACCAAACAAACTTCTTTTGAGGAAACAAGTGTTCACCAAAATCAACCTTGTTCTTTCGGATGGAGGATACTATAAATGCAAGGCAACAGACCAGTCAGGTCAAACTATTGAATGGCCAGAACTGATGCAGTTATTTGTACAAACAGGTCTGTGAGAAGGTTCTAAGTAATGACACTCTATCCACGGTACAAGTATAGGGTAAAAGGTTTTTTTTTTTCAATAACCAAACGATCCCTTTTTGGATTTGTTATATTTCAATGTTTTTGAAGGTGTTACTCATCACTGTTAATCAATAGTGAACAGAAAACTTTGACACCCTTTCAAACCCCTTGGCACTTTCCGCTCCCGACTGCTCAGGAGATGAAGATGATTTTTTTAACCCAGAAGTTATTGTCATGTAACTTCTTACAATATCAGTACCTTGCTCAGCAGACATGTGATGAGAATAATTATTAGCAAATGTATCATCAGCCAAAGGATTTTAGTTTTCATATAACCTATAACCCAAAATTCTCTTAACTAGAGACCAAGGAAATGTATAGCAGCCAGACAGGAGAATTTTCAGTTTGATGTTTATCTGTGGCTAATGCCATTTCTGACTTTATGTTTAATTGAGCAGTACTGCTATAAGGAGAAATAAATTGGTTCTCACTCTTAAGGTTCATCTCCATCTTGAATTGAATTGTAAGTACAGCTGTTGTAAACATAACATACACTGTAAATAAATTCAGATCTGATTTGAGTTGCCCTGTTATTATTTTCAGACTTTTTGTTAAATACTGGAATAAGTTATGAAAATTTTGTAGAGACTAGAGTGCATGTACATGTATGTATTGAAGACAGCATGTAAAGGTCTGCACATTTTTTTTGCAGCTCAGTTGCCCAGGCATTTTGTTTTGAAACCAAACAAATCAATCATTGTGCTGAAAGGGCAGAGTGGGGAAGTCACATGTGAAGCTGAAAACCCTTCAGTTTCTAAGCTAAAGTGGGAAAAGGAACAGGATGATAAATCATATGCAGCCGTTCCCAACAGCCAAGTTAACACGTTTGAAGATGCAAATTATGTGAGAGTGACCCTAAAGATTACAAATGCCCAGTTCGTGGACACTGGTATATACAAATGCACAGTATCAGTTCCACCTGATAAATCACATTATAAGCGGATAAAGATAGATGTCAAGGGTATGTTTGTCCTTTATATCATTGTAAAGGTTACTTTTACTGTTAGTATCTCATCATTTCTGCAATACAATGGCCCAGTGGCCAGCACATCAGACACTCACAATGCAGTTGTCCCCAGTCCATGTCCTGCCCTGACCACTTGCTGGATTTGTTTTTGGTCTTCCCAAGATCAATTCCTTGGCTTGTTATTATCCAGCTGGTTGCCCCCTGCCTGGTTATTTTCTATTTGCATTATTATTTTGTTTCTAATTATTAAGAGTGCAGTCCCTGTAAACTAGCCGGACTTCCACAGTGAAAACTAACGAAAATAGAGTTTAACACTTTACATCAACAATTTACATGACTGTACAGTATATCACTAATGCAACGGACAAAAAAGTGGTGAATGCCCACATGATGCTCTGACGATGGATGAGTTCTGGCACTTGACGTGGACGACAGTTAATGCTCTGTATAAAACAATACTTTTACAATATTTCGTGAGACAAGATGAGTGCGACTCGCCTTTGGAATCATTTAGAGGACATGACAAATGAAAGTAACTTTAAGAAACATTTGCTCAAGAGATGCTTAAGGGTGATTCCATGTTGTGGACGTTACATTCAGATACTAAAATTAACATTTCAGATCCCAATTTAAATGTCAAAATGTTCAACCATTATTTTTTTAGCACGGTGACTTGTCTAAAAATGAAGCTGTGAAATTATTATTTACTTTATTTAATATGTTCTATTATAATATTATATTCCTGCTGACCTATATTGTATCATGCAATACCAGTCAGATTTTTTTCTGCTATACTGACTCCTTAAAATGATTCCAAAATTACTTTTATTACATCTCAAGTAAATATTGTGAGAAAAAGACCCTCAGTTAAGTGAGGAGATTTTTTTTTGCGAAACTGCATGAATCATTCTAACTGAAATTATCATTTCTTGTCTTTCGGTCTGACTTAAATACAGATAAAATGTAAATTTGCACTAAAATTGCTCATTGTTCACTACATTAAGATTATTACATTACAAATTCTACTTAAAAAATAATACTCATTCAAGCTGTATGAATAGAAAATCAGAAGAAACAATGATGCTCAGTTGTTTTCCTCAAAAAGCATACTTACAAACAGTTCTGGGCATGCTTAACAGTACAAAACCCCTGACCAGCTACTCAATTTCTCCTTTTCTAATCCTCTAAATGAAAATTCATTGTAGTTGATTGTAAACAAGGTCAACTGCAATGCCCAAGACAATGCATTGTAAGGTCAAGAAAATTTAGAAAAAAGTTGAAAGAGTATTCTAAGTTGTATGAAGTCTATATGTCCGCAATGAAATGTCTCCAACACTTTTCAACCTATAATTTCTGAGTAGAGAAAGCCGACCCAGGAAATATTTTGAGATTAAAATAAAGTATACATCAGACTAACTGAGCAGCATCAATAGCACATGAAAATACAGTGAACTGTGTAGAGGAACTGGAAAAGGCACCTTAATGTTGCAGACATACGTAATGTCCCCAGCACAAATTCAACGTCTATTTTCTTAGGCAAGTGCTAGTTGCTGGATACAATAATTTATGACCTAATGATACTGTAAGGCAAAGGTTATACACACATACTTTTATGTTTATTATCATGTTTTCTTAGATGTAAAAACTTTGTTTAAAATTTCCTTCCAAAAATTGCAAATATGATGAGATTGAAATTATCCGGAATTCATGCCTTGTCACATTGAGCACATGGACAAGATGCACGAGATCTCAGTAATTTCAGTAAATTCAAACACCCCATTATCTCAACTTTTTGTTGGTATAAGTTTTATTGCACAAAATTTTATTTTAAAAAATTCAAAATTTCATTGTCTCGTGTTGAATTGCCCTTAAACATTAATGCAAGTCGCAAACATTCTAGTATTTCAAGGACATTTTAAGGTACTTTTTTTCTTTTTTTATCTCGATTGTACTGTACTAAATTAGGTAGCTATTTTTGACCATTTGTTTACCCTTAAACGTTTTTTTATGATATCTTTTATATTTTAAAATTATTTGTAAATAGTCTTGTTATCTTTTTGGGCCCACAATGTAGACTACTGGATCTACCAGTAATTGAGACAGCCATTAAACTGAAGTTTTATTGTTATTGTTATAATTGTTAAATTAAGTGTTACTGCCAGTATGCTGCAGTTAATTGCCACTGAGTATTAATCCATGTAAAATCTGTTTCATTCATACATTTAGCTCTTTCAGCACCTTCAATACAAGCCTATACGGGACAAACAGAAGTACCAGAGGGATCCACCAAGTATATCAAGTGTGAAACAGAGGGATCTCCTAAACCAACGGTAGATTGGTACAGAAATGGCAAGAAAATGAATGTCACAAACTGCCATTCAAACCCCCAGAGTTGTGATAAAGTTGACTATGAGGTTTATGAAGAAGGAGATGGTTCTTCTGGACTTCATACTATTCACACAGTTAAAGTTCTCAAAATAAGAAGTGCACTATATCCAAGAGATGTTGGTGATTTTAAATGTGTTGCATCAAATGGAGTTTCACCAGATGCTGAGTTAATTGTCAGCTTGGATGTTCAAGGTATTTAAGCAAAGAAATAACTTTGTAGCGGAGCACGGCACGCGCGCTTTAGCGTAACCCCATAGCTAAGATGATTTGGTTAATATCTAGTATCCTTTCAATAAATTTTGGAAGTAACGGGCGCTTTCCATTTACGAAAAAAACCCGGAAATTTCGGTGGTAGCAAAAGTGGAATTTCCGATCGGTAAAAAGTTGTTCCATTTGGTCGTAAACCCCGGTACGTGGCCGGGTGCCCGACCGTGGACCTGGAACTGGTACAAACTACAAGAAACGTCAATGGAACACGACATTCCGTTCGGAAATTCCAACCGGGAAAACGGGACCACCTTTTTAGATTTTCCACTTTTTCTGGGAATTTTCCAGTGGGACGAACCGACGAAACGTGTTCCATTTACCGCCGAACCGGAAATTCCGGAAATTTTGACTAAATGGAAAGCGCCCAACGTTTACCGCCCGTCCGTCCGTCCGTCCGTCTGTTTGCACCACAGGGAAACCTATATGAAATCTCACTCTTTCTAGCTTGTATCACATGGCCATACTGTGAGCTCAGGTTTCGTCGACCCATCTAGGCTACGTTTTTTTTTTCTTTCTCTTTTCTGCTGACAGGTTAATGTTTTCAACTGATCGCAGGCTCAATTCTAAGTGGATTTATTTCCAAAGGTTACACATTTATTGTTTGCCATAAGCCTTGACAAGGAGCCATATGGGCTCCTGCCTTGGCTTAATGTATATTATGAGTTTGTGAAACGAATTTACATAAACCCGTTCCAAAGTGACTTGAAGACGAAAACCATATAGAACCAAAATGACAGTATACCACTCCTGTAATCAGTTTGAACGCATAGACAATTTTGATGCACAACACGTTCTGAGTACCTGTAACGGCTTTTCCGTCCTTGATGGATGACGCGGCCAGGTGAGAAGGTCTGAAAAATTATATAAGCATAGGAATCTACTGTTAAAATTCTAGAAACGTATTTTCAGCATGAATGTTTTATGGCAAGATGCGTAGTATGTCTGTATCCTGGTGCTTGTTTAAAGCCTTTAACATTGTATATGGACCTTTCGTTTCTTTGCTAACCCTGTAAAGTAATCGATTTTATTATTTACGGACAGTTTCACCCAGAATTGAGAAGAGGGGATCGGAAGTATCCATAGAAGAAGGCAAAGAAGCTACTATATCTTGTCGAGTGACCAAGAGCAACCCACTGCCAACATTCAGTTGGCAGTATGCGGTCATAACGTCCCTAAAGGAACATCGGTGGAATACTGTTCCTGGTCGGCTGATACTTACCAAAAGCTCAACACCGTCAAGTGAAAGCATTGTGAAAGTTGAAAAAGACCAACAAGATGCAGAATACCGTTGTCAAGCACACAACTCCTTGGGAAGTGATTTTTATACCTTTAGATTGGCCAGACTTGGTAAGAATATCCCTCATAAAGCATTTACTTTTATTGTCTAATAGCCTGCAAGCAAGATCCTCTCAGGGGGCCGAAGAGTCGTGAACTCTTTTTCGATTTGAAGCCAATCTGTAAAACACTATTAAATTTAGTTTAAAGTTTATTTATGAACATGTTAGCTGAATAAAGTAACGCAAGACTTAATTTGCATTTTGAAAACAAAAAACTTTTTCACTGGTTTCATCGATAAAGTCAAACAGACAAAGATTTAACTGTTAAACGCTTCCAAACCGCATTTTGTCACCTTACTCGTGTTTTTCGGCAACAGCTTGTTTCATTATTTGTAAAATTTCTTTGTTTGCTACGGCCGCAAACCGGGGAGCCATTTTGCTTGTAACTTACGCGAGTTTACGTCGTTCGCTCGGAAGATGTGGAGGTGAATCAGTGAATAGCACTTGTTAGTATTCACCAAATCAGTGGATAGCAATTTTCGCGCGTTCTGGTTGGCTCCCGTACACGGATTATCCTTGGATATTCACTGTTTTGGGACGGGACTAAAATGGCTTTTCGTTTCCCGACAGCAGCTGCTCTAAAAGATACCAAGAAAGGGACAAAATTTGGCTTGTCGGCGTCTACTGATCTGTAGAAAAAAAATTTCTTACTGAATTTGCAACAAAATCATAAAAAATGATCCCGAAATACTGTCAATTGCAACGTAAACAAACTCTAACTAAATGACGTCTTTACAAAAAGTTCCTTTTTGATTTTTATCCAACTGATTTGGTAAATACTAAAACAATTATCCCCCTCAGGGTCGGTTCATAGCGCTAGATATATACCTCGACGCTTCGCGTCTCGGTATATATTACCACTATTCACCTCCCCTACGGGGTATAGTTTTATAATTTCCGAATTTGAGTAGCCAATCAGAGCGCGCGAAAAACACTCTCTTGGTTCGCCACCTCAAAGGGGCATTTTGCAGGAGAGACGTTTACGCCTTTGATAACGACAGAAAGTCTATACTAAGAAGAGGTAAAATCTGCCCGGAGTCTGTCCAGGAGCTCTGCTTGATTGACCTAGTAATATTCGTGGATTTATTTTCTTCTTTGAAACAAGTATTTCAGTTTTGCTACAACCCTTTGGCACAATAACTCTGGGTCAAGACCTTACCATGATAGACCGAGAAAAACAAACTCGAACAAATTTAAGTTTGGAAACCCATGATTTCTAGATTAATTATGGAAACATTGATCTTTTGATTAGCCTAAAATGTCTTGAAGCAGTCATTAGATCAGGAGTAACTGAGAGCCTTATCCATGCACAGCATTCATAGTAATTATTACAATGATTGACTCATTTTATTTGTTTTCATCAACAGCAAAGAAACTCACAATTGACACTGTTAAAACTCTGACTGGGGTGAACGAAAAGTCTACCTTACACGTGTATTGTATTGCCACTGATCAGAGTTATGGGTTGCTCGATATTGTCTTCTTAAAAGATGGGGAAAAAATCCAACTGAGTAATCCGCGTGTCAATGTCACATTTGAACAGCTACCGACAAATAAAAAGCAGTTCGATCTCACAATAAAAAATGTGTCACTGAAAGATACAGGACACTATGGATGCACGACCGCTAAGTCATTTCCAAAGCTTCTTAGCAGCATAAATATTACAGTGAAAGGTGAGTGGGCTATTTTAACATTGATTAGACATCACTAGGAAAAACGTGTGGGGACTCCTGTTGTAAATACTGTTTTTATAGTAGCTAGATCTTCTGCCATTGGTTGGGTGCAATTAGAGACGAGTACGAGTACGAGTACGAGATTTTCTCAGTACTAAGTAGTGCTCGTGAATCAGCGTCATTTTGGCGGGAAAACTTGGTAGCCGTCGTTAGTCTATTACGAGATTTAGCGAAAATGTCAAAGTGGGGAAAACAAGTTATCAAATGTTAATAGAAGTTTTATCATTTTGCCATCGGGAGAGGGCGTGAGCTCCCTCACTAAACGTAACAGTGCTAACTTGTCTAGTGAAAAATGGTGAAATGAAGCTTTCCGGGGAGTCTATATTTTGAGAAGACGCGAAAAAACTTCAAGTCAAATCTCGTACTCGTAGTCTTCCTCGTCCTTAAATCTAAAGGTCTCTAATATTATTGATAACTCCTGCAGAATTTACCGAAAGTCAAATAAAGTGACAAAAGGTTGTATTATGCAGCCAATTATTCGTTTTTGTACAGACTCGACTTTAAGGCTGTGAGAGGTAGCCTGATCCTCCATTAAGTTTCTCGAAGCGTGTCTGGGTTTTAGCTCCGCGGCGATATTCTAGTGTACATGTGAGGCGATACTATCCGCGTAACTCCATTAGCCAGTGCTCCAGAAGACCAGCTGTTGAACGGTGGTTTGTATGACTTTAAACTCTTTGCTATAGGCGGAATCGCTCCAAATGGTATAGTGTAGCGGTGTCACCTCGTTAGTCGGTCAGCTTACATGTTTCTTCAGGGGCACCCAACGGGAAATTTTGAGAAAAAGACCTAAAAACAACAACAAAGCGTGAATAAAGTTTTCTGAGACTATTTTAAGCATTTTGGGAGATTGCTGGAAAAAAATTATCTGTTCCTCACTCCCAGCAAGACTGATGGAAGAGTTCCCAGCCAGCAACCTTACAACCTGCAACCTGACTTACTGGGAAGTTTCATAGGGCACAATTCAGATCTTGAGTGGTAAGCAACCCATACAAGTAACCCGTAGCAGCTATTCTAGACTTCAAATCCCCTCTGACACCCTGAATTATCTTTTTCCCAGCAACACTTTCCTTCCAAGGACTATTATTTTTTTCACATCTCCCAGCCAGCAAAAATTTGCATGAAGAACAGATATTTTGAGGAACAGATCCATTGGGTGCCCCTGTTTATTTCTGGGTCTGGACATGGCACTTAGACCAGCGGGACTACCATCGGCAAAATTGGTGTACTTCTTAGAGATCAAAGTATTCATTTGACAGTCTTGGTGGATTAAGTGCAGTTTCAGGTCCCGGTTCCTGAATGAGCTGATTAGCGCCAATCCAGAAATTTGAATATAATTCCGTTTTTGTATTTTACCTTCCTATTTATTGATTAGGAAGAGATATATTTCGTGTTATCTTTACTGTTTCTGGGAGTAAAAGCTCAACAGTATTTTGTTAGCTCGAGTAGAATGTTCTTAGACAAGAAAACCTCGCTTGTAAAAATTTGGCTTAATCCTAGATTAAACTTAATAATCTTTCGAGGAATCGGGCCCAGATGTTCAAAATTGTGGCAGATTAAATAGACTGCAAAACAGCCATTTTTTTTTTCTCAAAATCAGTAAAGAAATCGCCCCAGTCTCGCTCTCTGTTTTCAGTCTCGTTCCAGACCTTTTGTTTGACTGCTCGTGCGTACTTGAATACGCAAAAATACGGACTGTTTTGCAGTCTACAGATTAAAGCAAGTTTATTGCTTTCAATATTGTCTCAGCTTGTATGAAGGTGTGACTTGAATCATCTATATTGGTTATGAGGTGATTTATTTAGGTTTCTGGCAAACTGCCCACCTACCCCTTCCCTAAGCAAACATTAACCCGTACTTCTTGCTGAGGGCAAAATGATGGCTTAGGGGAGAGGTAGGTGGGCAGTTTCCCAGAACCTAAATTGATCCATCTTGTCAAAGTCCAGACAGTTCTTTCACCAACTTTTAGTGTTCAATGTAAAAGTACGAATTCATGGAACTATGGGCAAAAGCATTGGGAATACCGTAAAATTTCGAAAATAAACCCATCTTTGTATAACCCTGTCCAAATATAAGCCCCCCAATCTCATAACGCAAAAAAACCCGCCGTTAAATCGCCCCTCCAAATATAAGCCACCGAGAACCATATAAAGTGCCCTCAATTGCAAAAGTAAAACAAAAGCAAAAACGATAATTTTCCTTCTCTGAAGCAACCCCAATCAGTTTTGGAAACTCAAATTTCCCTACATGAATAAGTCCTCAGACACCAAGTCTCTCAAAACAGACGCTTTGAAAATTTAAGCCACAGGAACATTTTCAGAAATTTTGCTGTATTTTTCAAAAATATAGACCTGCCACTCCTTAACTATGCTGGGTGGATGTGTGGACTATACTGCAGGGAGTTCCAATGTGGCCAGTCAGCTAACCTTAACTGATTGGAGTGAATACTACTCCCGAGGCTGGCAAACAATGAGCGCCCATTCCAGATCAAGTTGTGTCATACCAGTTACTTATTTGTTGATTCATCTTTATATCTTCCCCATAAGAGCCCTTGTCAAAGGGTGGAGCCTTGATCACGCTTTGGGGGCGGCGAGGGATGGAGAGGGGTTGCAGGTCCTCCAGTCCTGGGTGATTCTGCCTCTGGTGGCACAATTAAATTTCCTCACCCCATCACTCAAAGGCAGATTCCCAACCCAAGAAATACATTTAAAATCGCTATTTTAATTAAAAAATTAATATGTATTTTTGCCTTCACAGCTCTGAAAGCACCACACATTTCTGATATACCTGACGTGAGAGTTGTTCAAAAAACACAAGGTGGTAACGCGGAGTTGCATTGTGATGTTACTGGTAACCCAGAACCCTCAATCACGTGGTACTTCTCTAAGAATGGAAAAATAAAAGAAATAAACAGGGAGAAAGATGACCTGGATGGCGATAAGGATAACTGCAAGAGGCGGAAAAGCGGTTATTACTTCTTGCAGCCTGTTAATCCACGTGTGCTTGTGATTTGCAATCCACAATTTGAACATCATGAAGGAAAGTATTGGTGTCGTGCTAATAACACGGAAGGAAGCCAGAATAGGTCTGCATTTGTCAATGTGAAGAGTAAGCAATTGCCTTGAATTTTATTTGGTTAATTTTTTTAAATATCTTACTATGTTTAAAAAAAATCTCAATTTAAAACGTTATACAGCTATCCCGCAAAGGAGACTAGATTAATAACGAAGGAGGGGGGAGGGGGGGTCAAGGTATATGTTGCGGCTCAATTTTATCCTTGGTTTAATAAATTTTATAATTTTCCTTTATTTTGGGGTATGGTAATATATGATAATGAGTTGGAAACAAAAAAATACAGTGAAACCTCTATTAAGCGGACCCCCAATTAAAGCTAATTAAGTGGACACCCTCTATTCAGCGGACACTAAGCGGGGCCCCGAAATTAGCGTCTTATATTTCCCTTTATAACGAGCCCGTATTCAGCGGACACCTCTATTAAGCGGACGCGGACACTAAAGTAAATTGGCTAATTTCTACTCGTTAATAATCTCTATTAAGCGGACACCGGACCGAATTGACAATACTAGTATTAGATTACGTCCTTGAAATACGTACTGTAGTCGATTAATAAAGATAAATCATTACATTTAGTTGTCAATAAAATGTAGATTAGACCTTAAGTCTTGCACAAAGTATAACACAGCTTCCTTAGCTTCCTTAACAACATGGAAGTTTATCACAGTACAGAGTAACCGTTGAAAGTTAATCGTTAACAAACATTGTGCAATTTTTACAAGCGGACACCCTCTATTAAGCGGACACTTGGGAAGGTCCCGAAGGTGTCCGCTTAATAGAGGTTTCACTGTAATAAAATTTAAATCTTAAGGATAAAATTGAGCCACAACACATACATCAATACAAATAATCATCTTTGCATAAATTGGTTTGTATATATAGACTGTAACACTAGGCGGTTGGATAAAAATGAAAAAATATTGTAAATAATTATAAAAGTCGTCAATTGGAAATAGCTTTGTTTACTTTTTAACTAAGAATGTTTATATTTTAGTGCTAATTCAGTAAGAGCCACTGACAAGCCAAGTTCAAGTTGGTATTAAGGTTTCTTCATTATATAGTCATAAAATTTGTTCTTTCTTAACTTTCGATAAACAAGACACTATTTTGACTCCCATCAACAAAAAAATAGCCACGGTTTATTGCCATCAAAACGTGCGAACACTGCTATCCAGTGAATTGGTAAATAATCATTATTACTGTTGTTTGAAATGCAACAGCATGTTTGAAATAGTAATCATTTTCATCATCATTCTGATGATTCGTCTTATTTTATCAGTGGCACCAGTCATAACTGAACCTGAGGAAGGCTACGCACATCTTTCACTCAAGATTGGTGAACCACTGAACATAAGCTGTGTGGCGGTAGGGAATCCTGCTCCCAGTGTCACGTGGTTAAAGAATAGTACAGGAAAGGCAGTCTCACCAACCTCAATCAACTCCCAGCGATTGATCATTAAATCAATGGAAGACAAGGATTTTGGACTCTATAGTTGCATTGCCAGTAATAATTTGAGCCATACGATGGCTTCCGTTGACATCAAGAAAAGTACGTTCATTTCACATTTTGGTGCATACATAGTTTGATTGCAGAGGTGAAGTTTCTCTGAAATATGTTTCATGAGCACCTGAGTTTGCTAGCGGTTATTTCCTTCACTTCTTTTGTTTAAAGAAAATTTAAAAAATTAGAGGGAAATTGTTTTTTTCTTATTTTCATAAAAAACGTTATTGCCTTGTAGCCGTTGATCGGTTTTTAAGAAGGGATTTAGGATTAATTAACTGCCCACCTACAACTCCCCTAAGCCAACATTTTGCTTTAAGTGAGAAGTAAGTGTTAATGTTAGCTGAGGGGAGGGGTGGTGGGCAGTTTCCCAGAAACCTAAATTGAACCCTGATTTAAACCCTTTTTTCTCCAGGTGTGCCAACCGCCCTCTTTCCCTACCCCTCCCCCTCCCCCAGCAAAAGCTTGGATTTTTAACTTTAATTCAGTTTTATTAAACAGCAGTTCAAGGCCTCATTCAATTTTCAATTTAGACTTAGTAGGTACAAACAAATTGAATTAATCGATGGCATCAATGCAAGCAATTAAATCAATGATTTTAAAATAGGTAATCGTAAATTTTGTACTCACTAGTCTCATAACTAAGACGATAACTGCAACTTCCAGAAAGTAATTAAAAGTAGTACCATATTGCCAAATAGATTCTTGTGCTAAAAATATCCTTAATAAGGCACGCGACAATTAGTGACTCCGATCATCATTCAAAGTTATTAAACTTATACCCAAGAAGACTATCCTTAAGTTATTTTGTGCTATATTGAAAGCTTAAGAAATTAGACTAACCCCCCGTCCCCGCTGTTTTTGAGGAATTAGATAGAAGACCCATGCCTTAATTTTCTTGAGTTCCACTCAAATATCAAGGAGAGTGCGACAGCCGCCATTGTTATGGAAAATTAGCCAGGTGGTTTAAAACAGTCAGTGATGGTGAGATATCTTTCAATAAATGATAAATTTATCTTTTTTCCTCTTTTCCAGAGGAATCAATTCCAGTTGTTCTTGATGGTGGACTAAGCACTGGTACGCTGGTGGGCATTGCTACTGGTGTGAGTGTATTTGTTCTTATCTTGCTAGTGGTGTGTTGTTGTCTGTATCATCGGCAGAAGAAGCAGATAGATGAGTATAAGCAGCTTTATTTCCTGAAGACATCATCAGACTACAAGGTATATCGCAATTTATGATCAATTGTACTTTCTCTCGGTATAATTATACTTCTTTGTTTAAAAGTGTGTAACTATTTCTGTTGCTTTTCCTCCTCCACCACTACCACCACCCTCTCCGGCGGAAAAACAATAGAAATGTGGTGGTGGTGGCAAAGGGAAACAATAGACATGTGATGATGGTGGTGGAGGCTAAACAGTAGAAATGTGATGATGGTGGTGTTGGTGGTGGTGGCAGTGGAGGTGGTAGTGAAGGGAAACATTATAACTAGACGGTGGTTGTAGAGGTGGATGGAAAACGATGGAGGTGTAATGGTGGTGGTGGTGGTATTTAGCTTCACTATTCACAATTGATATCATTACAAATAAACTGTGTTGGAACGAATGCGGTTGTAGGTTCAATGTGGAGTCGATGTAAGGACGATTTAGGGTCGATTTGGGGTCAATGAGGGGCGATGTGAGGTCGATATAGGTTCCATAATGTGTGGGTGGCGGAGAAGGGAAAACAATAGAAATGTGGTGGTGGTGGTGGGAATTAAAGTAATGGAAATGCGGAGAAGCAAGAAGGGAATGAAAGAAAGAAGTAGAAGAAAGAGGAGGATTTCCTTCTTTGTCATTAAATATGCACAATTTGCGCGCCAAGAATCAGTGAACCGGAACTGGAACAATTTGTTGGACAATGAAAGCGGCAGGAAATAGAACTTGAATGTATAATTTAAATTACTTTACAACTCAATGACTTTAAATTACTAGCGAGTTAGAGCTTATTACTTCGGCAAACTGAATCAACCAATGAATACTTTTCTCACAGTTTCAGTCAGCCAATTAAAAAGCAAGCCCTTCACTGATCGACTTAGGAAAAAACTATAAAACCCGTCCATCGGATTTAACTACTTAAATATAGCGCATGATCTTATCTTAATGAGAATCTACCAAATTTTGTTCATGGGAGAAAGACAAAAGGCAATGACGTCATCGGCGTTAATGTTTCCATCATAAATTGATGAGATTCTCCCCCAAGAAGGTTAATTTTGGTGCCTACTATACTCCTCACTTACCTACCTAACTATCCACCTACCTAACAAGCTACCTAACCACCTACCTACCTAGCTTCCTCACTGCCTCTTTACCTACTCACCTAACTACCTGATTCGACAAGTATTTTTCCTGAAAACGTGCTCCAGGAGATTAAAAAACAGACAGCTCAGACTTATGCAAAAACAATGTGCCTTGTTTTAGATTGACCCAGATCGCAGCCTGCTGGAACAGTGCAGTGATTTACCTTATGACCCAGACTGGGAATTTCCTGAAGAAAGACTCATCCTTGGAAATGTGCTTGGTGCGGGAGCTTTTGGACAAGTTGTTGAAGCAGAGGCCATTGGTATCTTGGCGCTAAATCCGCGAGACAAGAGCGCAGAATCTTTTAAACGACGCTCAAAGATCCGTCGGTCTTCAGTTGCAAAGGACCTGAAAAAGGAAGGTGGTGGCTCGGGATGGAAGAATGTTAAAGTCCCTGTTGCAGTTAAAACCTTGAAAGGTTTGCAATTGAATTGAAGAAAAATAATTTTAACCTTTTTAATGTTTACACAACATTGTTTGTAATACGTTTTGTTTCTTGTTGTAGAGGGTGCCACTGAGGCAGAATACAAAGATTTGGCTTCAGAACTCAAGATACTCATTCATCTTGGACAGCATAAGAACATTATCAATCTTCTTGGAGCCTGTACAAAGGGAAAACGCCTAATGGTGATCATGGAGTTTGCTCCACATGGCAGCTTGCTCAACTTTCTTAGAGCGAGAAGGGAAACATATGACGCGAGTTGGACTAAGACCATGAACGAGCCAGAGAAGGAGTTCACTTTAGTAGATTTAGTGATGATAGGTTTCCAAGTTGGTCGAGGAATGTCTTTCTTGGCGTCCAAAAAGGTAAGAGTAGTAAGGTTGTACATAGTTGGGCTTTTTCCTAACAGCGCCAGCTGTTCTTTTATTGACTTCTATCATTGGTACTCTTTTTTTCCACTGGTTTGTTTTCAATGGTCTTTTTTATGAAAGGTTGATCCGCTTTTTGGTCTTCGGCCAGTCACCTGATATAATTTGAGTTCGTTCTGTTGCCCCAACTTAACGACAAATTTACACGGTATGATATACCTGATTCAATAAAGGGTGGTTTGGAAATTGGGCAGTTGCTCGTGCATTATTTATTTATTAATTGACGTGTGCATTTAGTTCGTTAAATAACGTCTTAATTTTACTTTGCGTTATTTTCCTTGCTTATAAGTGTTGTCCGTGACTCTGCTCACATTGTGGTGGCTCCTCCTAAAATGTTCTACAATTTGTATAGGATTTAATGGAGCCGAAACCAGTTGTGGAATTGCACACATTTTAGGCATCCTACTGATGAACGGTCACGACACGTAGATATATTTTTTTAGCAACTACTATAATTTGCAGTCTGTCCACTTTGAATTGCTTGGCGCTCACTGAGGCGAATCATTAGAGAGTTTAAAGCTTCACGTATACGGCAAAAGGGAAACGTCCGATTCAAGTTGAGACTTTTTTTTTCAGAATAGAAAATGATCAGATAAAAACAGCTCAAAACAATTCTTATGGATAAAAAAATTACGTCACACTTCTAATTTAGGTGTAGAAATCATGAACAGTAACCGACAAGACATAAACGTGATACTTAACCTCTCTATTGCAGTGAGTTCCGTATGCCCAATTCTCAATGTCCCATTGCCAAAGCAGCCTTTTTTGCTGGAGATTAAGTAAATATCGGGCTGAACTTTCTGTCGATTTATAGGAAAAGGCCACGATAAATATTTCCGTCAAGTCAGGCTGATTTGTAAAATCTGTCTCAGTGCAAAAATCATTCTGGTCGAAACTCCATGTGTGCAACTTCTCACATCTGAACACAGCGCGTAAATGAGACAAGCTACCTCAGATATCCAAATTTTTCCAGTCAAAGCACTATAGCTGGAACTTCTTGCAGAGGGCCACCTCTCGAAAGCGACTTCTACCAATTTCTAGGATTATGGTTTAAAGATTTTAATTGTTTTTAACCTCCAAGTAACGGCGTTGTACAGTCGTGTTCTGAGACTCCGCCCAATCTTACAAAGACAGCGAGTTTTGCTCTTTCAATACAGAGTCTTATTTCTAACCTCCGACGATAGCTTAACGTTAATACGCAGTATTTCAACAGACGAAATGGCATTTCATGTATTGTGGGTTGTACTTTTCTCTTCAGTGCGTTCATCGTGACCTGGCTGCAAGAAACATTTTAGTGGGAGATGATTATGTTATGAAGATAGCTGACTTTGGCCTGGCAAGGGACATCTATAAAGATGATCAGTATGTCAAGAATACGCAAGGCTTGCTTCCCGTAAAGTGGATGGCTCCCGAGTCGCTGTTTGACAGAGTTTACACTGAGAAAACAGACGTGTAAGTACACAAGGTTTCCTTAATCTCTTCACACACATTAACCCTTTGACGGCCGCTTTGGTCATTGGGATCTTTAGAGAAAGGTGCACATGTACCTGATCCTTCCACGGGTACAATTTATTTTGAAATTTTGACCAATCCTGATAGAGTTACACAAACTCCAGCAACGTTTTAGGGAAAAATCCACTTCCAATTTTGTTATTTACCTACTACTCTTTGCAGATTAAATTTGTCACTTTCCTGGAAAGTTAGCGAGAAAGAAATTCCACGCGAAAGATAGGCGATAAAGGGGGCAACAAAACCGGCTATAAAAAGGAAAGGCAAAGAGAAAAAAAGCGACAAAAATAAAAGAAGAGAAAAACGAAAAGAAGATCCGTAACCAAGTCCAAATTTTGTCTTATGTGCATGCGCAAGAAAATTTTAAAACCTCCCCTATATCCAATGCCAAAATTAAGAAAGTGGCCGGAAAAAGGTTTATACTAACTGTGAAATGCTTTTTTGGAAACATTTTCAGAAGCGAATATACGTTAAACAAACAGACCCAAATTGAATTAAATATACTTCTTTTTCTTTAGCGTGCAGTAACTTGAATTCCCTAAATTCCTGTAACGGGGTAGGACGTGATGACTTTCAATATTAATCTTATTTTGACAGAACTCTTCAGAGATGTCTACCGATCCAGCTTGATAGAAAATGAATCTCCTCAGTTTATCCAAAAAAATCACATTTTGGACATTTAAAAAAAATGTTTACCAAAGTCTTTGTCTCGTACCTTACTAGTTTTGGCTGAAAAGACAGGTATTGATCATGATCATGGTTATTCTTATCAAAAGGTGGTCATTTGGAATCCTCTTATGGGAAACGTTTACCCTTGGGGGTACCCCTTACCCTGGCCTCCCAACAGAGCTGCTTCTAGACTATTTGAGTGATGGCAAGAGAATGGACATGCCAACCAAGTGCCCTCTGGAAGTTTACACCATCATGAGAGATTGCTGGATTCATGAACCCGAACAAAGACCCCATTTTACAACCCTGATAGAGAGACTTGCCAAGATATTGGAGAAGCATACGACAACGGTATTGAATTATTGTTATACTGTTGGACCGATCTATATAACCGGTTAGCTTGCCAACTGACGGAATGGCTTACTCACCTGATCACCTGACTACCTGACTGACTGAGGGCTGACAGACCGACCAACTTACTTACTGACTTTTAATGACTGTCTGGCTGAATTGATAGGTTGACTGACCAACTATTGACTTACCGACTGGGTGTCTCACTACATGGCAAAATCAGTATTCGATTATGTACAAAGCAAAAACCTTCCCTTGGCCCTTCCCACGTTATTATGATAGTTTTGTGAATTGAGATCTTGAAACAGCATCTGTCAACTGCACTATCAGCTATTTATACGACAGCAACAAAAGCACCTTTTCTTTGTCACCGTCCATCCGCCTGACCTCTTGCAACGACTGATGGACTTTGCGCCGGGAAAAGGAAGTTCCTCTGCTGAAGTTTTATTTTTTTGTTTCACAGGATAACCCTTATTTAGCACTGCAAATGGACGAGGAGGTTCAACCTAGCTCAGGTTACTATCTTCAACCAGTTGATAATGCAGGCGTTCGCGAATTCAAACGATACGTGAAATCACCAGTGCAGTCCCCCACAAGTGACACACAAGAACCCCCACAGTTTGAAGACTTGGAAGGAGGTCAATACAGGTGTGTTTTCTATGATATTTTAAATTCTCGTACATGTAGCTAACTACACAGTTCTGATATCTCGCGAGATCATAATCTCTTTTTAATGGATACTTCTGGTAGTCTTTTACTTAATTTGATTACAATGTACCAGAATTCAGTTTGTTTTAGCTTTCTAATTGAAAGAAAACAAATAGTATGGTGAAACTTGTTTTACATTACTCTAGCTGGTCTGTGTATCATCAAAACTGGAGAGTAGCGAAATGACTTTTCTGAAACAAATGATACCCTTTATACAAAGTCTAATCTCATTATTCTTTGTTGCTATTCTCAGGTATGATTCCCCATTGCCCACTTTGCCACCAGGCCTGCCCGCCTCGAGCGACGATGAAATTCCTACGGAACCGCTCCCTCAAACCCCCCCTCCCTTCGAAAACGACGTCATGGATGAAAGGAGGTTTCTTGAAAGGGAAAACAGCGCAGGATGGGAGAGTGGTATTGACATGGACCCAACGGATGATGGTTATGTTGACGACGTTCAAGTTGCCACCCCATTTCTGCCCCGTACGGGTTATACACTGGTCGGCATAGACATGGAGAACGTTTCTGAACCAAATGTGTTCTCTAAAGGCAACAGAGAAAAAACCGAGACATCAGTTTGAGTTTTGGAAGTCCGATAGTCCCAATGTTGCCGGTAAAGCTTTCACTGCCAAGGTGCTCAAATATGCAAGGACGACTGTGGGGAACGACGCTACATTCTTCATTCGGTCCGGATAAACGAAATTACTTTTAAAAGTGGTAACCAATAAATCAGTAAAAGAGTGTGCATTGACCGACACAAAACGCAACGATAGTTGGCTTGATTATTAGGGACATGGTTCTCTATATTTCGCGGAGAAAAAAAAAATAATAATAATATTTAATATTTATATAGCGCAAATTAACATACAGGAGGATATGATCAAATGCGCTTTACATATGAAAATTGAATCCAAAATTACTATGTGACCTATTGACAATTTTGAATTTACAGTAAAATGCGAAGATGTATACTATATGAAACACTAGAAAGAAATTAAAGGCCTCTCTAAAATAGTGAGTTTTAAGCAATGACTTAAAGGCGTTAAAATTTTGCTGTGACTGTAATGATTGCGGGAGACTGTTCCAAATCTTGGCGGATGCATTGGAAAAGGCTCGATCGCCAGGCGTTTTTTTCGATCGTCGTGAATTATCTTTCGACTGGATACTGGTGCTCGAGCGGAGGTTGTATGTCGAAGTCTTCTTGATGGTGACCATGCGTTAAAGATAACTGGGGGCGTGTCCATGAATGCACTTGAAACAGCATAGCAATCTTGAAATTGATTCAAAACTTAATCGGCAGCCAGTGAGGACGTATAAATGACGATGTGACGTGTTAATGTCTTGGCAATGAGCGCACCAATCGGTCTGCCGCGTTTTGCACCGGTTGGAGCTTGCTAAGGTTGGTAGCGGCAACACCATACAATAAGCTATTGCAATAGTCTATTCTCGACATCACTATTGCCTGAACAATCGACTTCCTATCTTCAAAGCTAAGAAATCTTTTAATGCGCCCAATATTATGCAGATGGTAAAGTCCCGATTGACAAGTCTTGTTGATGGCGTCCCTAGGTTCCGAACGTTCCATACTGCAGACACTTTCACGTGATCAATACTGAGCTCTGATATGCTTATCTTGTCCAACTGCGCGCGGGTTCCGATTACAATTTATTCCGTTTTGTCATCATTTAGCTTAAGTTTGTCAGCCGTCATCCAAGTTTTGATGTCTAGAATGCAATCTTGTAATGCTGTTACCGCCTCCAATTCACTCGCACTGGAACCAGGCTTAAATGAGATATATAACTGGTTATCGTCTGCGTATGCATGAACTTCTGGGAGGTGGCTCTTCACTAGTTACCCCAAATGGCTTGCTGGCATAAATTGTAAAAAGCAGCGGCCCCAGACACGAACCCTGCGGTCCACCATGCGGTAGAAAGAATTCCTCTGAGAAGCTACCATTAAGTAATACACGCTGTGATCTACCAGCTAGGCAGGATCTGAACCACTGAAGTGCAGTATCTGCAATGCCAAAAGCTACCTCAAGACGACGGAGAAGTACTTCATGATCTACAGGGTCAATGCTGAACTCAAGTCTAACAGCACTAGTAGAGTGACCCTCTGGTGATCCATGTTAAGCAAGATGTCATTGTGTACCTTAAGGAGGGCCGTCTCCGTGCTTTGGCCTGCTCGATAGGCTGACTGGAGCGTTCAGTACAGCTCTGATCGCACTAAATGCTCTTGGGTTTGTTTGTACACTGCTCTCTCCGTAAGCTTCGAAATAAATTGGAGATTGCTCACAGGTCTAAGATTTGAAAGGGAGGCGCTTTGACAAGGTTTCTTAAGCCATGAATCAACTAGAGCAGCTTTCCACGCAGCTGGAAAGTGTCCAAGAGTCAAGGAACAATTAACCATAGAAGTGATTATTGGAAGGAGTTCGTCAAAGCTGGCCAGTAAAATAGGAGTTGCAAAGGATCGAGCATACAGCTTTTCTTAGCTGAAGCCTGAATGAGCTGGTATACATCCTTCTCTGTCAGTTCCTTGAAACCACACAGTGGTTCAAGATTTGAGCTGAAAACAGCGTCGTCCATCAGGTCACCACATCTGTTCTGGGTAACATCGATACCGCATAGCTCATTGCGAATATTAAGGATCTTACGATGGAAATAGCGGACAATGTCATTTTCCAGAGCCACGTTATCATGACAACTGGGGAAACAGATTTCATCATTTGGCATAAGGAGTGCCTTTGTTGCCCTGAAGAGTTTTCGCTGATCACCACCTTGTTCCTTTACAAAGCCCACATAAAACGTTCTCCGTGCCTGGTTACATAAGAAAGTAACGTGATTTCGCAAACTCTTGAACACCAGCAGGTCTTCAGCGGACTTTGTGTTTCTCAACGTTCGCTCAGCCTTGCGTCACTTTTTTTTTCGCCTCGGCAAATTCTTGGTTGTAACAGGGGACCTGGGGCCTTGACCCCACTACTTTTGATTTCAGGGGTGCATGACGATCTAGTATACTGCTTAGGGTGGAGTTGTAACTTTGTACAAACTTGTCAAAATCTTTTCAAGAGGATGGGCACCCAACACAGCCTTGCAAGCACAGATCTGACTTCGCGATATCTTGCTTGAGGCAGTCAAGATCAACAGACTTGGGGTGCGTTCCTTTGGGATGATCCGGAACATGGTAGATCAAGTGAACGATGAATCCACTCTGGACAAGGATTCTTCGGTTCATTTGATCTACCATGATCCGAGTGATCTCGGGTCACTGATCCTGATGCGGATCATGCCAAAGGAACGCACCCTTGGTGTTCCTATAAGTCACCCTCTTGGCTTGGGGCGCAGGCTTGTTTATGCGAATACTACAACGAACAGCCGAATGATCAGAGAGGTAACGAAAACTGCGTGGAGTTGACCCCAGCAGTGTCTCAGTTAAGTTACATTTACACACACATCTCGTGATAACGAGATCTAACGTGCGACCAAATATATGTGTCGCTTCGGTAACGTGCTGTTCAAGTCCAAGCGATTCAAGCAGATCAAGGAACTTCACCGCATCAATATCATTTGGAACGTCCACGACTCGTAAAATTCGCTGTATTCTCAACGATAATTCTTGAAAAAGCCAGATTATAGGGTTTTCCAACGTGAAAAAAAGCCCAGGACTGCCTCTGAGATGTTAGACAGCTATCTCCCGCGTCATTTCTACTATAGATGCTCGCTAAAAGGAACAGCGCGAGTAAAAAGCCGGAGAGCAGAGTGTCGTGTCTGACCTTCATTGTGCTTCACAAGGATGTAAATATATTTATTTAAGGAGCGAAGTAAGGCAGTGCCCTCTGTACTACTAACCCTTCCCTCCCCATCTGGATAAGGTACTAAACCGTACCTTGCAGGGGTACCCTAAGCTACATAGAAGGCGTTTGCGCTCGATTTCTTTGAAGCAGCAGGACTCCGTGTTCCAACTAATTGAAGTAATTTTTGAGATTATTGAATTGGAATTCGTTAAGGTTGGTTTTTGAGGATAACTAAATCCCATTTCCCGAAGAAAAACTTCTTAAGGCAGAGAAAGAGAACCGAGAACGTTATGAATCTACCAGTGGTCTGGATTTGGGATTCCAACCCGAGCTGCAGTGACCAGAAGCAACTGTCCTCACCATCCACCTCCTTGAAAACGATTTTTCCTCCTGAATTAGCTGTAAGGGGTTCATTATTCAGAGGAATGCAAACGAAATTAACATTACGGTTTGGGGATTGGAACGATCGAGGCGTTCGATAAACCGTAAATGCTAGATATTTAACCACTGTAATTCTTTTCTGTCAATAACGTTCTTTAATATTCCACACAGAAGGTACAAGGAGACTGGCGTAAATTACCTTTTTTACAGTTTGCTACGGTAAAAGCGCTCATGGCTCATAAGTAGAACGGAGAATAGCTCTTATACCTATGAAATTCAGCCTGGAAATCTGAACGCGCAATTTCTTCTAACGCGGGTATTTAGTGGATAAAACATTCGTTTCTGATTACATAAAGATTATACCTAGCCGACTATTGAAAAACCAACCTAACGAAATTTGCAGTCATTGGAGTGAAAAGGCGTCAAAAGGCAGGCTTTTGGGGCCCGATAAGCTCCAAAATCACACTAACAAACAAAAAGGAAAGGAGAAAAAGAAAGAGCGAGGAGGAAGAAAGGAGGTGACGAGAGAAAAAGCAATGGTTGCATTCTTAGTTTTTAAAATGACTCCTCTGGAGATTGTTGTTGGCCGATAAAAACTATTGGATGCGAAAGGTTTATTTGGAGTAACGTTTTCAAAAATTCGACTTGATATAAATCTAATATTAAATAGAACAGTCGCACGACTAGTTTTATTATTGTGACGCATGGCGTCACACGCTGAACATGTAATACTATAATATGCAATACACTTGATCGTTGCAATTTTTTACTCCCATCCTAAGGAGTTTTCTTACACAGCCTTTCTATAATACTTCCTCATGGGGCATATTCTAATCTATAAAATAACTAAGACAGGGCACGCGTTCTGATTGGTTAAAAACCCATGGCCGGTACCACACTTTCTACGGGTTACCGGAGTGATATCCCACTTAGGATGTTGGGAGAACACTCGAAAAGCATGTAAATCACCTGCCTTCGGCTCGCGATTTACAAGCTTTTCTCGTGTTCTCCCAACATCCCGCGTAGCTTATGACGCCGGTAGACCCATAGAGAGTGTGGTGTATTACTTAAATAATCAACATGATAAAATCCTCTGAATATACAATTGTAATACCCCTCATATATCTTATATTCACCATTTTCACATAGATCATGATGCACCTCGACTACGAGAAACCAGTGTTTTTAAAAATTTCCCCATCTGACAAGCGTTGAATATGGGGTTTTCGGTGAACATTTTTAACGGACGTGTAGATAAAAGGTTTAACAATAAGGATACGTGCACCCTGGGTGCCAGAGACTTTTTCATGCGCGGTTTCCGGTTTCGGCCCGAAGATCTATCAGCCTGCGCCCGAGACCGAAGGATCCCGCCGCAGGCGAGAAAGTTATTTGTTCTCAGGGTAGCAAAACGGGCCCTAAATGCACAGAGTAGGATACAAAGAGTATGGTAGGCCTGTGACGAAACGCTTCATGGAAAATCAATGCCAAAAAGGCTTCACTTGAATGGTCACACTAAGAATATGTCCACAGACTTACATGTAAAAATTAAAAAGATTGTAAAAACCTAGGAATAGATTAACATTCGGTTCAGACGAGTGTATTTCTATAACTGGAGTCTCTCGCCTTTCCTGTAGAGTGAGCAATAGGTCTCAGTTCCACGGCCTCATCCTGCTCAACTCCAGTTTCTTCCAGTTCTATACCGCTCTCATTCCCCGACAAAGTACCGTTATCTTCTGGTTCCAGCATCTGCTGTCTCTCGTCTGATTCCGGTTCGGGCTGATTTTCCATGTCCCGTGGTATTGGAGGCAACGGATTTTGGCTTGATCGCCTACAGTTAAAACATAGTTCAGAACACAGTTCTTATTGTTATTTTGCCCTATCACCACACTCTTTGCAACTGAAGAAACCTCATAGCTAGGCTTCTTTGGTTCCTTAAGGGAGAAGGTTCATAAGCGCCCACTTTTGCCGCGACCTACCCGTCTTCTAACCCGCATTTGGCTCATTGGAGTTTAATTAACAGCTGGATACTCATTCGAAAGAAGAGAGACCATTAGATTCTAAGACGAGTACAACTATGAGCACGAGATGTTCTCAATACTAAGGAGTGCTCGCGCGTGAACCAGCGTAATTTTGGCGGGAAAACGTGATAGACGTCGTCACTTTACTACGAGGTTTTGCAAGAATGTCGTGGTGGCGGAAACGAGCTATTAAATGTTAGAGCTTTTCTGATTTTACGACCGGGAGGGGGCTTAACCTCAGACTTTCAATAACAGATAACAGTGCTAACTTTTCTGGTGCAAAAAAGTACTATGAAACTTTCCGGGGTGTCCATTTTTTACGATCATGCGAAAAAAATTTGATGCCAAATCTCGTACTCGAATCTAAAGTTCTCAACGTACTAACCTGTCATAAACAACTGCTCTCGTCAGAGGAATTGTTGAGTCTGAATCAACCGGATCAAGGTAGTAATCGTGTCTGCCATAGTTGTTATCTTCTGTTAACTTAAGGTACCCGGATGCAACCCTCTGTTGAGAAAAAAAGACGCCCAGTTTCCATAACACCCATACCTCAGTGCATAAAGCAGACAAGAATTACACAGAAAATCCCAAACGTTCCTTCCCCTATTTTCTCTTAAAAAAACTTTTTATGTTGAGGAAATTACCGATAGCTCCGCAGGTGCCTGATTGATACGCTGCATTTAAACACTGGCAAATGACGACACATGACAACCGTTAAAAGAACAACGGTGCATTTGCGTATGCGGTAGCCTACACAAACTGTTTGTGCAACCACTTGTCGCATTACTTACTCCTAACATTATTGTAACAGAGGTTAGAAGTTTCTTAGAGATATACAAACTACAGTCGACCAAGAATTGAGAAATTGACGAGGCCAAAAGAATAACAGTACATCACAGACAACCCTGCCTGCGAGCAGCTCTTCGGGGCATCCTGGCGGTGGGGCGGGTAAAGGAAGGACAGCTTGCAATTTGAATTCCACCTACAATTCCCCTGCGGCTCCCCGTCGACTGAGCATTTTCAGATTTCCGCCAATCAGAGCGAAGGGGAAACGAAAGCGAACGTAAACAACATTGAAAAACACGTACCAAGGGTAATGACGTCATTACTAATGTCATCTCCGCCAATCAGCATTTCGCATCGACTTTTTCGATGCAGATATTCAAATTCCAGAAACGTAGTTGCAAGCTCTCCTTCCCTTTCCCGCCCCGCCGACAGGGCGCCCCGGACAGCTTGCTCGCAGGCTAGTATATTTACTGATCCATTCTGAGAATAGGATCGATTACTAGCCACTGTTCGGGAAATGAGCCCGCCCTGACCCGAGAGAGCAGCGGAAATATAGCCTATCTTGAATACTGATCGATATCCACGCATATATTTCAGGAACTTTTGCTGTACTATTCACACTCAGGTAATGTTTTATTATCCCGTACCATGACGTATCCGAAAATTGTAGTAAGCCACCTTTTAAGGAAAGTAAAACAAGTGGTCCCTCGAAAAACTATATACAGTCGAACCTCTCTAATACGGACACCGAAGGGACAGAACGAAGTTATTGTATTAGAAAGGTGTACGTATAAAAGAGGTCACTATGATCACGTCACTTTTACGACTCCACTTGAAGTTTAAAGTGTTCAGTACCTAAAACCATGCTCACACTCGTCTTTAAACTGCATTTAAAGTTATTAATTCACAGTACAAAGACACTGTCTTTCAGTGGTATACAACATTGTACATCTCAGCTACAGACAAATTACTGTTTTAAAACGAAACGAGCTACAGCGCAATGCTGCATGTAAAGAGTTGCAACGTTAACTGACAATTCTGAAAGCGTCTTTCGCTATTTTGCAAGTTCAATAAACAGTAACTAGAGAACAAAATGTAATAGAAAAGATCTTTATGGTATCTGTAGTTATTAAAGCCTTCAAAAAGTCGGTTATGTTCTTCTGTACACCTTTCGCAAATCGTTGTTTGGTATACAGCGACTAGGCTTTATATCATGTTTGCATCAGCTTGTGCCTCATCAGCCAGACTAGACGGGATTCACCCTGGGCAGATTCACCCGATCGGGGATTAGGGATTCACCTGATCACCGCAGTGTCCGTAATATAGAGGTTAAGTTCAGTTTATCTGAATTTACTCTCTGGGCAGAGATTTAGTGTCCGTTGCCGCATTAGAGAGAGTCCGTGTTTGTCGGGACATTGGAAACTATCCGTAACGGTCAGGTGTCCGTACCGAGAGGTTCGACTGTTTTATTTCCCTCAAATCTTCATGTTTTAATAGCGGAGCGTGAGGTGTTTATAAATTAACTCAAAGAATCTCCATGTGACCCCAAAGTATGATGTGTTTGGAATTATGGGATAGATCTAGAAGGGGTTCATAACCAATATTGTCTACTGTGTCGTAAACTATCATTGTGCCAAATTTGGTGCTTTAACCATTTATACTACTACATGACAAATTTCTGCAATTCGATTGGCTTAGAGCAGTGGTATTTCAGCATAATTTGAAATACCTACATGTCAAAATTACAAACCTTTTGTGGGTAGTTGTATAAACAAATAATAGCATGATTTGTACGTGATATTTGGCATAAATACCACTTGTGATATTTCAAAATCGTCTCAAATTTCACACGCCTAACGGCTCGTGAAATTACGTATAACAACTTTGAAATATCATCCGTGGTATTTATGCCAAATATCACCACAAATCATGCTATTACCTACACAAACTCCACAATTATTTCACCATTCTTCTGGACTGAAAGGACTCACCTGGGAAGCACGTTGCTCGAGTATTTTGCCAATCAAAATGCTGATCTGAGCAAATTGTGGTCGCTTATCCCGATCCTCCAGCCAGCAATCCTGCATAATGTTATAAATCTCCATGGGGCAGTTTTGAGGGTTTTCCATACGCTTTCCATCACAGAGAAAGTCGAGGAGACATTCCATAGGTAAGGTGGGATACGGTGTCCCGCCAAGTGTAAAGATCTCCCACAATAAAATACCAAAAGACCATCTACAAAGTTAAACCCCAAAGTTTAAGACAAACTCTCTAAGCAGAAGAAAGGGAATAAGACTGCATTTGGAAACAGATGATTAAGCCGCTTCTTAACTCTAGTACAGCGGACTGAAAGCAGGCATGCAAAGTAAATCAAGGATCAACAGTTTTTTTTTCTTTCTCGCGTACTATAAAAAGCGCATGAACGCGAGTGCATTTCGTGATTCATAGGCACGAGTCGAGTGCAAATTTGAGAACTTAAAAAAACTCGCCACATGTAAGGAATCCGGATTCCGGATTCAAGAATCCGGGAAATTTGTTGCTGGTGGATTCCAGAATCCGGAATCCGGGTAATTTGTTGCTTGTGGAATCCAGAATCTGGGAAATTTGTTGCATGAGGAATCCGGAATCCGGGAAATTTGTTGCTTGTGGATTCCAGAATCTGGGAAATTTGTTGCTTGTGAAATCCGGAATCCAGGAAATTTGTTGCTTGTGGATTCCAGAATCCGGGAAATTTGTGGCTTGTGGAATCCAGAATCTGGGAAATTTGTTGCTCGTGGAATCCGGGAAATTTGTTGTTCGTGGATTTCAGAATCTGGGAAATTTGTTGCTCGTGGAATCCGGAATCCGGGAAATTTGTTGCTTGTGGATTCCAGAATCTAGGAAATTTGTTGCTTGTGAAATCCGGAATCCGGGAAATTTGTTGCTTGTGGATTCCAGAATCCGGGAAATTTGTTGCTTGTGGATTCGAGAATCGGGGAAATATGTTGCTTGTGGAATCCGGAATCCGGGAAATTTGTTGCTTGTGGATTCCGGAATACGGGAAAAATTGTGCTTGTGGTATCTGGAATCCTGGGCTTTGGTGTCCCGAATATAGCTCAATGAACCCGGAATCCCACTAACGATTGAAAGCCAGAATCCATGCTTCAAAGCTTGGAATCCACTAACTAGAATCCGGTATCTAGAATCCAAAACTGTCTTGAATTTCCTTACATGGGGCGAAAAAAAACAGATAGCACGCAAAACCTCTAATTTCATTGGTTCTCCATAAAACGCAGCTCCATTGTTTTACGGATAGATTCATTTTTATATTTCTATGTCTATTGTTTTCACAACCAATACAGTGAGGCCTTGTAAAGAGTTGCGTGGCGCCCTGAAAAAACGCTTGATTGCGCAATATATTAGTTGCCTCAATACACATACCCCTTCAACACTTTTGGTATGTTACTTGTACTTACACATCACTCTTCTCTGAGTACTCCTTCTGAAACAACGATTCCAGAGCCATCCACTTGATTGGCAATACACCACTTGTTGTCTTCACATACAAGTCACTCTTGTAAATATCGCGCGCGAGACCAAAGTCAGCGATCTTCATAACGTAGTCTTCTCCCACGAGGACGTTTCTGGCTGCCAAATCTCGGTGAATACACTAGTCGAATAGGCAGGCAAAAAAAGAAAAAAGGTAAATAAATAAACAAACAAATAAGAAAGAAAACAACAACAAAATTAAACCCCAAACATTTTCCTTCTACGCATGCCCGGACTTTGGAATGGGGCGTCAATTAGGTCATTTTTGGTTATCTCAAACACTCAATTGTCACCACAAAACAAAAAACCGGGGGAGGAGTTCTGCCATATATAGGCTAGATAGGTACATGCCGCCAGATAGGGTATGGTTTTTAAAGGCCTCCATCCTTAAAATAAATAGGATATCTTTTCTTGGCCTTATTGGCATTGCGTCCCAGGTGGTGTACATGTGATCGTTAAATAGGTTACCTAATTTGTAACAGTTAAGACTCGAGTGAGTAACTGCCCAGCTAACCAAGAAACAAATCATCTGTTAAAAACTGGACTATTTCTTAGAGTGTTACTAGGAGAATGGTTTAATTAAGGTTTGTGTGTTGCCATTAAATTTTTAGTTTTTGTTTTCCCCTTAAATGGGGCCTCATGATCCGAAATTTATGAGAGTTTAATCATACGTTTCTGTGAATCTGCTCACCTACCCCTTCCCTAAGCCAACATTTTGCCCTAAGTGAGAACAAAGTGTTAATGTTGGCTTAGGGGAGGGGTAGGTGGGCAGTTTCCCAGAAACATATAATGATCCAGTATCTCTGGCGAATCTTCTCTTGTTGCTTTCCTTTTATAGCATGTGCAACATACGTTTATGGCTTTTTGTGCCATTCTTCCCAAAAGTCTTTGAAGAACAGTGAACCCAAAACCACCCACAAGACCTTTCGGGATTGTCGCGTGCACTTTTTCCGACAATCTTTCTCGAAATAGCTGTATATTGCAGGTCGCTAAGACCACGCGCGGTACTTGCGCTTCGCGAGAATAATTACATTTAACTCGGCGCAAAACAATAAGCCCAGACTGTCAGTCAAATTAACGAATAAGATCACGAAAACGGCCAGAGAACAAGTGCGCGCAAATAACATTCAAATAAATGAGGGCGTCTGATTTTGTTTGAGAAAAGTGGTTAGGTCTTTTACCTTTTTAGACGCCAGGTATTCCATTCCACGGGATATTTGGAAGGCATACCCCACTAGATCTGATATATCTAACCGTATTTCTGGGTCACTGGTAGTCGTAGACCAGGTTGCTTCATAAACATCTCGCTTGCCTCGTAAAAACTTTAGTAAACTCCCATGTGGTGCATATTCCAGAATAACAAGGATACCATCGCGCTTGATACAAGCACCGAGAAGGTTTACAATATTTGTGTGTACTCCAACGTGCATAAGAATTTTCAGCTCTGAAGCCAGGTCTCTATACTCCTCTATAGTAGCTCCCTCTGCAGTGCACAAATGTAAATAGCATGTAAATAAACGTTGCAGGAATACTGTAAACAACATGTAAATTACAGAAGAGAGCTTTCTTGAACCTGTAAACAACCTTGTAAAAAGTCTGTAAACTGAGAGAGGGGCACTGATTTGACCCTGTGAAAGCTTTGTCAATTGAAAAAGGGTGAAACCTGTCGATGTGAAGTCTGATACCCTCCCCCCGCCCCTCCAAAAAAAGCAACTTTCAACCTCCAGCTTCGTTAATCTTTAGCTGATCATAAATTCTCTCAGTAATGTACTCAGAATCCCCTCCCCCGCCTCATTCTCGTCTCCATACATAATGTTTGCTTAGTGAAGAATTTAAAATTATCACAACATTTAACATTGGATGGCAGAGAATTGAAGAGGGCTGCCGCGCTATACTGAGAAGTGTCCGAGGCGTGGGGAATAACTAGATTTATGGTACTTGATGACCGTAAATTTCTGGCATGTCGTACTTGCTCAAGCTGAAGGTTTCTGGGCCAATAATGAGAGTATATAGCTTTGTGCGCGGCCTTTAGAACGTGCCATTCTCTACGTTCTTTCATAGGCAACCACCCTAACTTAAGAATAGAGTCAATATTGTTCACATAGCGTCCAAAAACAAAACTGGCTGCCGCAAACTGGATGCGCTGTAACCTTTTTAAAAGGCAATCAGTAATTGGATAGAAGATTATATCATTAAACAACATGTAAATTACAGAGGAGAGCTTCCTTTGAACCTGTAAATAACCTTGTAAAAAGTCTGTAAACTGAGAGAGGGGCACTGATTTGGCCCTGTGAAAGCTCTGTCAATCGAAAAAGGGTGACACCTTTGACCCTGTAAACCTGTCGATGTGAAGTCTGATACCCCCCCCCCCCCACCCCCGCTCCAAAAAAAGCAACTTTCAATCCCCAGCTTCGTTGATCTCTAGCTGATCATAAATTCTCTCAGTAATGTACTCAGAATCCCCTCCCCCGCCTCATTCTCGTCTCCAAGTCGATGTTTAGGTTACTACCAGCCAAGTTCATTTCTCCCTTCCACCACCCCCAGCAGGAAATTCAATTTAAAAGACGTTTCAGTCGATATTTCTTAACGGCATTAAGTGCCAAAAAACTTTATTACGTTACCTTTAAGGGTCTTTACAGCAACAGTGGTCTTCTTAGAAGTGCTAACTCTCGAATCGTGGTACGTTTTACTGCGGTTTACGTATCGCCGGAGCAGACTGAGTCGCGGTCCCCCTTTTACTGGACTTTTGTCTCTGGGACTAAAGTCGTCTATTCCTATGGCCTCTGCTTTAATGACCTTTCCAAAGGCCCCTGATCCCAGCATCTCCCCAAGAATGAGCTTGTCCTCAGGAAACTCGAAATCAGGGTCATAAGGAAGATCATTACATTGTTCAAGCAGTGTGCGATTAGGATCAATCTAAAACAAGACAATGAATGTTTTAACACTATGTTCATTATATTTTACAACATCCCAACAAGTTGCCGTAAAATTCCGAAAATAAGCGCCTCCAAATATAAGCCCCCCAAACCGGTAACGCAAAAAAAACCCTCCGTTGAACCGCCCCTCCAAATATAAGCCCCCCGGTGGCTTGTACTTGGAAATTGCCCTCAAATACAAAGTAAAACAAAACAAAAACGGTAAATTTCCTTCCAACTATAAAGCTCTGAAACGCAAATTTCCCTCTGTAAATAAGCCCCTCCGAATATATGCGCCTCCAATAATAGGCCCCTCAAAAAGGGCGTTTGAAAAAAAATAAGCCCCGGAGCTTATTTTCGGAATTTTACGGTATTTTTTATTGTCTTCACCTGGGGTGCTTACCATTTGAAATAAAATTTCGGAAATTCCGGATGGAAGGTAAATGGTAAGGTCACTTTTCGGAAATTCCAACCGAAAATTGAGGAGTACGTTTTGAGGTAGTCCTTTCATTCCGGTTGGTACGAGCCAAACGGAATGTTGCTTACCATTTACCAATTTCTCGGTTCCAGACTCACACTACACAAACTCGCCCCTTTTTTGGATTCAAACCGTAACGGATGTGGCAATTCTGCGGTAAACTAATAAATCGCTTACCATTATGCTTTCGACATCCCAACCGGATTTTTTTGTCAAATGGTAAGCACCCCTGTATTAAACGGTCACTTGGACAAGATGTACCGTACTTGTGCAACAGATACACTGTGTGTCGTTTAGTGGTATTTTACTTCCTTATTCATTTTGGCACAAGGAGTGGTAGAAACTGGTAAACAGATACTGGTAAACCGTTTGAGGTCAATTTGTCGTGGGTGATACTTCGCTCTTTGACCACCTTCATTGGATAACTTTTACGCTTGTCAAAGCTGTCAGTAAGCTATTCCCCAGCGGTGACCGCCTAATACAGGTTTGAATGTTCACTTTTGGGCGGATATTTACCTGGTATTCCTTTGAGTGTTGCACAAAAAACTGGCTACGATACCCCGCAATCTGCTTTTGTTGACGACGAATAAAGCAACAGAAGGTGAAGGCCAGGACGATACAGAGCAACACGATTGCTCCAACTACGGAAAGGGCAACAGTGGCTTCCTTACTAAGACCTCCCGTTGCAGATACTTCTGAAAAGTTGCTGAGTGCTGTAAAACATTAAAGATGATATCACCCATTCCTTCAGTACATATGGGGGGAAATTTCGGCTGGCATTATATCAGCAGTATGTTGCACAAGGATTGTTAAGATGGCCCACAATCAAAAGTAATAAAGTAATAAAAAGGCCAATTCTTTTGAGAAAGATGTCGTTCTATTTCGTTCAGTAACAAAGGCGGCTGGCAGGAAACCTTACGAATACTCTCACGTTTTCAACAGGCTTCAAACCTCTGAACTGTTGGGAGTACTCCAATTTTTCCTTCCACGCCGCCTGTGTCCACTGCGGACTAGAAAACATCTTTACCATGTATTCACCACGCTTAAAATTCATCATCTCTTTTTGATCATTGTGCCACATTTTTCGACCTTCTGGTTATATGGTCCACGTGAACTTCCTCTGAGTTACAAGAGTAGTGAAAGTAAAGGCCATCAAAGTAACAACAATAAAACTAACTGCAATAATGGGTATTACCAAGAGCCATAATATGGCTCTTGGTATCACTCATGTACTGTTTCTCACATAAAGACACCGAGAAACTTTTCAGTCAAAAGCTTTAACCCCGCAGTCATTTCTTATGTTAAAATAGACGGCAAATCTTTAATTTCAGATACAGGCCTCAATAGTCTTCATTGCAGCCGTTTTCAGTGCCATCGCGCAACGCTCCTGACGTGCGTAGTGTCTCAAAAATGGCTGTGAAGGAGACTAAAGGAAGAGTTAGGTCAGACGGTAGAGCGCTTGACTGCAGAGCTGGAGGTCGTGAGTTAGATTCTCAAGCCGGATCAATACTCAGGGTCTTAAGATAGCTGGCTCACCTAGCTTGACATGCGCAGTCGCAACGTCCTGGGAATTTTCTGCCACACAAGTGTAGTTTCCCAAATCGGCCTCAGTAACGGGTGATATGGTTAGCATCACAACTTCAGGGGCACGGCGTTTTGGAGTGACATCCTCTTGTGTTTTTTCTTTTCTCCAATGCACAAATGGCATTGGGTTTCCTGTGGCTTTGCATGTTACATTCCACAGTGCCCCCAGCTTCACCTGGAAGACGTCCTTGCTTGGGATAATAAAAACGTTTGGGTCCTCTGTGAAAAAAAAAAAAAAATATTGATGAACAAACGACCCTCGCTGCATTAAGTTCAGCAAGAGCCACAACAGCCATTTATTAAATTCAACATGAGCTGAGCCACAAGAGAACAGCTTTTCCAATTTTTAAATAATCAATGAGAAACTTTTTCAAAAGCAGGACTAATTCTAGAGTGCATGGACTCAGAAACGCAAGCATCTGATGTGGACACAATAATTATGTAAAAAATCGTCGACTTTCAAATCACATCATTGCAGCTTGAAAGGGGAAATTAGTAATCTCGCCGGGGGTAACTCATATCATGCACAGCTGCTAAGTAGGGCTCAAATTTCAAAGTGTGAACAATTACTTGACGTGGCTGATTCAAATAAAATTACGACATTACAAATTGTTTTTAAATGAAGATATGATCGTCGCAGTGGTAATTGCAATTCAACCAATTGCAAAGTAATCCGAGAAAAAATCTGGGACTTGAACGGAGTTCGGACCCATGACCTCTGCGTTAGCGCTGCAGTTCTCTAACCGATTGAGCCATGAAGACCCATACACTGGGAGCAGGGCATTTTGCTAAAAAAAAAAACATTCACTTCTCGGATTTTCTTGGGTTAATTTCCAATTAATTTAATTACCACTACGATAATCATATCTTAATTTTAAAAAATTGTATTTCCGCAGTTCACATCATTTTCATTACTTCATTCGATTCACATTCATTTATCTTTTCCTTAATTTTTGTCAGTCAGCGTTTTTTTATCTATTCAATATATTCATTTTTATTTCATACGTTGAGAATTGTGAAGCGCTTCGAACAATCTGTATAAGCGCTATAGAAATGTTTTCAGTTACTTATTGTTACTGCTAATACTCTCAGAAAAAGGTGCTAACTTTGGTTTTCATTGGCTATTATTATCATTATCGTTATTATTATTATTATTATTATTATTATTGACATTACATCGGAAAGTGCGCAAGCCAGATTTAAGTAGTAACTTTTTATCAGTTTGAATTATTATTTTTAAATAGTTTTAATTTTTTTTATTAACTTTTTGATGCTTTTTATAATTGTTATTAGTAGTCTTTAGATAGTCATTTTACGACAATTCTCTTTCGTACACAAGAAGAATGTACATAGGGTATATATTTTAATATTTCATATTCTTGAATCTGTAAATAGTCTATTTTTTTAAATCTATGAATAAAGTTTTGTTTTATTATTAAAAAAATATTATTATTATTATTATTATTAATTTTATTACCTTGTGGTCGTGCTCAATCAGTTTCTCCCCTCCCTTCTTTTTTGAGCATGTATGTTACAACGTCATAGCTTACTATAAGTATAAGTATACTGTACTTGCTTTATCGTTATTATTCCAATGTTCTGAATCTTTGTCATTGTGAATGGAACGCGGGGGCGCTGGAGTAACTTTTAAACGAGTTCGTATCACATTGTTTCCCTATCTTCTCGGTAGATTGCTAGTTTTATCGTGTACTACGTTTAAATACTGCAAATAACTAAATAACTAACAGACTAACTAAATAATAAATAAACAAATGAATAAATGCATAAATAAAGAAGTATTTGAAACAACAGACTAATTTTGATATACGCTCGAACCTTCCATAAGCGACATCCAAAATGCAAGATTGAGTTGTCGCTTACGGGAGGTTAGTCTCCCTCGCAGCCGTTTTCTAGATGTCACGCAATTTGGGGGAGCGTTGCGTGACATCCAAAAAACGGCCGCGAGTGAGACCAACGGGAGGTGGTCGTTTACAATAATCGAACCAGAGGGTTCTCTTCCGCGAAGAGGTCCAGGCACATCTACTTTATGGAAGATAATTTATTGCATGCAATGTCAAAGGTAGTATATACTGTGTACATGTAGTTCCATGTCGTCACTAAGATTCTTCGTAAATTCTAAGTAACAGAGTGCGCACAGCAAAAATACAGATCAGAAAATGCGTCAAGTGGTTGCTTACAAGGGGTTAAAAACAATGGAAAATCATTAACCGTCAGGCCCAAAAAGTGGTCGCGGTCGCGTACAGGAGGTGGTCGTTTACATAGAGGTTCCAACTGTAAGGCTTTGATTGGGAAAATTTAAAATTTTGGTGTTTTGGATTGACAGTCGCTGATGGGAGGTGGTCACTTAAGAGAGGTGGTCGCACATGGAGGTTCCACTGTATTTAAATTCATACTTGGCTTTGAGGCTTGGGGTAAATAGAACAAAAGAATCTATTCTTCAAGTTGATTTTAATATACAGAAAATGGTCAATATACAGCATTTACAGCGCGAGGAGTAAACGACCAGTCTGTATTATTTTAAGTGCACAAATTCATTTAACCGTCCTTAAATTAGCCCTTACCCAAAACATCCAAGAAAGCCGTGGCATTACTTGTCCCTTGCCTGTTAGTAGCTTGACACGTGTAAAAACCAGTTCGATCAGCATGTGAAGGTGAACATATCAACAGCTGGCCAACATAATTATCCACCTGATAGAAACCTGGACGAAGCTTTCTGCTTTCGCAAGAGTCCGACTCTCCCATAATGACTGGTGTCACTTCAGGAGACTTCCCGTCTTTGAACCACTCAACTGTTGGAGCCGGATTAGCAGAAATGTTGCATCTCAATTTCACGGTTGTGTTCTTGTACACTGTTTGGTTCGAAAAACTGAGAATCGTTGGCGGAAAAACCTCTGTCAAGGAAAGGAAAATTAACTAGTCAGAGACACAATGTGAGCGAGATTTAATATCAAGGAGTTTTAAATTTTAAAAGTCACGACAGCGACGGCAACGAGAATGTCAGAATACAAAAAAGAGTAAAAAGAGTAGGTTACTATGTGAAATCAAACAACAAGAAACTTTTCTTCCTCTTTCAAAACTTGGAGGCTCTCTGGAATTCAACTCCAACAGAGTAAGCCAACACTTGAAATAGTGAGGGAAGAAGAAAATTAATTAGCCTACAAGTAAGCTCTCCATTTGGGGTAGCCTTTGCCACAGACGAAATTAAACTTTGGTTTAGTCCTTCTGTGAAACTGCGCCAAAATCCTTGTTCTAGCCCCCCCACCTGTGTACCAGGATGTGAGTACGCGCCATGATTGGCCCGTTATAAAGCCATTGTCGATTTGCCAATCAGGTTGAATAGAACTTCGAAACGCATTTCTGGTAATTCTTTGAGACCGTTGGAGGCCCCAAACAAGGATTTCGGCGAAAAAGTAAAGCTCCCAAGGTACTGCAAACTAGGGGGGTCTGCTTCGCAAGAAAAGTTTTTAAATTTAGGGGCTCAAAACTGCCATATCCTCAGTAAAAAACGAAGGCAACAGTTTACATACATCTAGTGTTATCGGTAACGTACAGTGTTTACAGGACAAAGGGGTAAAAAACTGAAGTCATCAAGGAGGTTACAAAAAAAGGCGAGACGTCTTCCCTTCAGACGGGCAAAGACACCAATATAATGCGACAGATTTATCAATCATCCAGATTTAACGATAAAAATGCTTTCAGGAAATAAAAAATACATGTTTTTTTTTCCAGATTTCAGCTGTTCGCACGGGCGTATGTGCGTATCATGTGCGCTACGCTCCAGCCAATTAATTAGCTTGGTTTTCACGAATGTGAAAAGCTATTGATGAATGCCTGCATATACGATTTACAACTTACTTTTGATTGTAATGTTTATGGAATCAGTAAAGTGCTGTCCACTGTCATCTTCTGCTCCACAAGTGTACTCTCCAGAATCATTTGTCGCAACTCTCTTCACCACTAAGTAAGTCTGTGTCAGATGAGCTCTTACTGTTGATGAGATATTCACTCTCCTATCGGCAGCATGCGACAGCTGTTCGCCATCTTTGCGCCAAGTTATATTGGAGCCCTTCCAAAACATTTCACATCTAAGCGTCATAGTGTTGCCTTCGTCATGCTCTGTAGGTCTTGCGATTATTTTAATTTGTTTATCGTAAGAACCTGTAATGCGAAATAAGAGAAAATACTTTCTGCTTACAGTATGTAGTATATTAACATTAAGGCGATGATTGACGTACAGCAGTTCAATGACTGACAATATTTAAAAAGAACCGATAAAGAACTAGCCTGTGAACAGGCTCTCTGTTTGGGAAAAAAATAGCAAATAGACCAAAGGCCTGTTCACAGGCTAATAAAGAACGATCTACCATGTTTTTAACTTGCTTTTAAAGATTCAAGAGAAAACATTGCAAAATAAATTGAATAAAAAGACAGTAAAGGACAATACCAACAACAACAACAACAACAGCAAAAAAATAACAAAAAACCAGATAATAATACAGGGTTGACAAAATTAAACAAACAAACAAACAAACATATTTGAAGGACCTGTCGCGCAGCAGCCGGCGAATACAGCTGCTCTCTTCGCTCGTCGCCACTAGGAACGTTTACGGCAAGGAGCGAGGATAGGCGGCTCTATTCTCAGGCTAGCCAATCAAGCATATTGAGGTGAAAAAAGTAAATCAACCTACCACCTAAGAACCTCATGACATAATCATCAAAATCCATCGCATTGGTAGCTACACATCGGAAAAACGCAGATTGTAAATTCTGAGGGAAGGTAAGCTTGCTTACACCAGTTGCTACGTCCACGGCTGGAGACACAGAAAAGGGAACTGAGACGTCTTGCCATTTTGAATCTGACGGCTTACATTCACGGTTGTCATTTAAACAGAGTCCACTCTGATGTTGCCATCTGAATGTAGGCGGTGGATTGGTCCGGGAAACCTTGCAATTTATTACTGTAGTCGTGTACCAAATTTCTCTGATTTTGTCCAAAGTGGGTGGAGCTGGTAAGAAATTATCAGCACAAAATAATTCTTCACTTAAATAATAGTTAAACCATTTGTCCCTTAGACCTGGCTAAGAACTGCAATTAACAGTAAGGCAAACCATTGTTTTCTGAACTACATGTCCGCCGGCATTCAATTACTTCACTGGCGGAAACAGAAATACAGTTGGTGTTGTTTCATTCCAAATTTACTTTTTTTGCCCAGTATTTCTCGCCTGTTTGACCAAATCACGCAAATCCACATACTCAGGTTGAATATCAAAATTATTTTTGACATTAAATAGACTGAAAAAAAAAAACAGCCAACATTTCCCGAAGTTACCACTGGTTTCCCCGCGAATTGACGGCTGAGGAACGAGCGCAGAAATTCTATGTACTATGTACCAAGGTAGTGTTTGTGATTGGCAGAAGCAAATTCTCAACCAATCAGAAGCACTACCCATGACCTGGGTAATGACACGTCGACAGAATGGGATTCTGCGCTCGTTTCTCAGACGTCATTTGGCGGGAAAAACAGCGGTGGCGTCTCGAAATGTCGACTGTTTTCTCAAGTTATCATCATCCAAGATAGCATATCTCTTTGACTTGAAAACTGAGCCGTTTGCCCATGCTTTGAATATTACTATACTCGTGAAAGAAAACGGGATTATTGGTGGTTGGTTCTATGTTAAACCTAGTACGTGCACTAAATCTGAGTGTGCGTTTGAGCTCTACCGGATTAGCACTGAAAGTACGTTTGCAATTCCGTACATGTAGCCACCTTTTCTAATTTTTTTTTTGGTGTTGCATGAAAATGGATAAAAACCACCTTTTTCAGGTTGGTCTTGACCTCAAACCAAAAAAAGTTGTTCGTTAATTTACTACTTTTTTTAGAAGGAATTGTTGGAAGAGTAGGCCAAAAAAACTACGTTTGAACCCTGAATATTACTATTAAAGCTAGATTTCTACATGACATACAGTAAACAGAAATTTCCACATCTTTTGTTGCACTTTGCAATTCACTATTGTTTCCCACACAGGTGTAGTTCCCATGATCTCTGGGGTACTTTGTGTTTTTTATCATTAGAGAACTTTCCACGTAAGCAAACTTTCTGTTGCGATCTTCTTTTACTTGATAGCGCCCTCCGACACAGCCAGTACTGGAAGTTTCATTTTTGCACAATGGGATCTCGGTTCCATTGTGAAACCATCTTATTGTTGCAAGTGGATAGCCATCTGCTTTACATCTTAAGTCCACTCCTTTTGGTTCATGAACCACAGACAATCCGCCGTGAACTTTGCAATACTCAATCCTTGTTGCACTGAAATCTGTTAAAAACAAGTACAGATCCGTTAAAACGGAAATCTGTTACTACACTTTTCAAAGAAACACGAATACCGAAGTTCAAAAGCCAACGGCGTTTGCGTTTTTCGCTGCCGTCAATCATTTCAGTGGACCTCTTAGGAAACAGAACTTTTCTTCAACGGGTTCAAAAGGTCATGGTTTGTGATTTGTGATTAGTGGATTTCAATCCATTTTGTGTGTTTCTGTGTTTCAAGGTTCGTTGCTTGTGATCACAATTATGATCGACGGCAGCGAAAAACGCAATTGTGAAGGCGGCCTTTGAATCTAAGGCATTAGTACATGTCATATGGTGTCATCAAGGTGAAAAGGGTACCCATTTACCATCTTGATTTTTGCACTGTCTAGCCCTGGCCATGACATTCAGAGTTTTTACACTTAGTTCTATACTTCTCAAAGGTGTAGAAGAGTAGAATAGTCTAACAAAAGGAAGCTTGAGCAAAGGTGTTTTTGAGCGACGCATGTCTCGACCGGAAGTAGGGCTTTTTCCCTAGTAACATGTCCTGACACTTCTAAATTTGTAATAAACTTCCAAGTGTCTTTACTCTTATGGAGACGGTTTTCCCGCAATTTTTAAGCGAAAACACTTCCTTAGAATGCAAAATATCTTAGCGGAGAACAACAAGCAATTTATAGCCACAAGCATATTTATACAAAATTAATTTTACAAGCTTACACGCACTTTACCCCTCCATAAATATCAGTTTACAAGAAAACTGGAAACAACTTATTAAATTAACACTCAATTTATTACTTTGGCTGTTTTCCCATGGGAAACCACGGGATACCAAGGATAAACCACAGGATAACCAACATAAAATAATACCAACTTACCATGAACCACCAAACCAGCATCATAAGTCTTGCTATTCTTTAGTTTGTTTCCCCGATAAAATATCTCGCAGTGGTAATACACTCCGCCAACTGGAGTAACCTTGGCATTTTTAATCATTAAAAGTGAGCAACTTTCATTATATCTGCGTGTTTCACTGTCAGAAATTTTCACATAGCTTGATCCATTTTTCCTGTACCATGTAAAATCAAGGTATTTTTCTAGGGAAACAAAGCGACCACTTCTCATCTTAACACGACAAGCAAAACTTGTATTCTCTCCAGGCCTCAAAATAGCAGAGGAAGGATAGATGTCAGGACAGCACGGGGTCATCTCTAACAAAAAAACAAGGATTGGGTTTCAAAAACGAATTAAATAGACAAAAAAAAAATCTATACACTCTGCAGTCAACTCCCTCTCAGATGAACACCTTTAGGCAGGGTTGTCATTAAGAGCCGGGGGCCGGGGATTTTCCCCGGCTACTAAGAGAGTTGCCCCCAGCTACTTTTATTGGAAAGTATAAGAAAAATAGAACCAAAAGAAATCCCTAGCCGTTTGATTCCCCACCTACTTGTTGTATTTACCCAGCAACTTGAAATCTTAGTGACAACCCTGTTTAGGACCTGGCTCCAGTTGTTCAAAAGTTGGATAGCACTATCGCCCCAGGGCGGGGGTTACTTCCAGAAAAATTGGGTGGGAGTTTGTGGCATGCTTCCTGAAACCCTTACCCTATTTCAGACCCAAGTCTGTGATTTTTCCCAACCTTATTTCAGACCTGATCAAACATTTGATACCCTATTCCACACCTGCCTTAGTTATAATCAGTTCCCTAGGTCAGACAAATGTTAAAGGCAATGTTTATATTGTACAAAGTTTCGAGCTTAAAATTCCACACTACAAAGCAGGTTGCATAATGTGCCATCATAAGTACAGAATACGTTTCTACTTACCTAATTAATGTTAGTAAAAAAAAAAACCCAATTCAAGACTAGAGTGCACAAACCAATACCCTATTTCAGACCAAAATGGTCAAAATTGATACCCTATTTCAGACCAAAATGGCTAAAACACCATACCCTTTGTTGCTGCACATACCAATATAGCCTATATAAGGGAGTAAACCCCCCAACACCCCCTCCCCCTAGAACAACTGGAGCCTGCACTGTAGAGAGGATAAGTTGTTACTTTACAATGCCATGGTAGCAAAATTTCTGGATGACAACAAACTGAAAATGTCAGTGCAAAATATTAAAGTAGTAAAAACATTGTTATGTCACATAATTACTACATCAGGAGCATAGCATCCACATATGCACATAAAACAAACTAGGCCAAGTTTGTTTTGTTATGGTTTTGTTGCTACGCAACAGCAGAGACCAACCAAACTGACAGAAATACAGTGAAATGGCATTCACTTGCTGCTCATTTACCCATGCAAGTTCCATGCATAATGCGAATTCAAACTTGGACAACAATACAAACCTCACTTTTTGAGGAGTTGCATGTATTGTATTGAGTAATTATTCCCCTGAAAAACCTCTTTGGGTTGGAAATAATAAAAAGAGTATTTGAATTTTTAAAACTTATTTTTTTGTACTTTGTAATGTAAGTGACTGATTATTAAAACTGATATGATACTGGAATGACTTTAATTCCAGAATGAGTTTTGTTCCAGAGTAAAGTTAATTCTGCATTCACATAATAAAACTAGTTCAGATACACATGCGCCACTCGCTACAGACTACACATTATTTGCAATTTTAAATCTGGAACGAAATTTGTTTTCAGTTAATACATGATGCAAAAATGAAATTTCAAATGTGAACGACAGTTTCATTGGGAAAGAAAACCAGATTGACTTGTACAGAAACGATATGTTTTTTTGGTATCATGTAAACAAATAAAGAGAAATAATTATGAAGATAGAATGAGTGATTCTGGTATCATATGGATAGCCCCTTAGAGTACACAATGATTTCGCCCTCTTCCACATACACTGACCAGTAATTGGGAAAAACAGACATGAAAGCCATTTACCTTCCTGAACGATAAGAACCACAGTCTCAGATTCAATTGGCCCAACACCCGCGTGACTGCTTGTAGCCTTACATTGGTAATACCCAGCATCAGTCTTCTTAACACCATAAATGGTATAGACTTGATTATCTAACAAAATTCTGCCACCAACAGGTTGTTCTTGAAAATTGAAAAACAATGTTGTAGAAGCATTTGGGTCATCTGTGCGACAGCTGATTGACTGATTAACTGCAGTCTTGTTGAATTCTAGTACCACCCGTCGAGCAATTGGATCTGTTGTGTTAATGAATTCAAAGCTTTCTGAAAAAAAAATGTTTCCAAGTTTGGGGAAAAATGGGCTATAAACTTCCAAACTAAAGAGCAGACAATCTCAAAAGTTGATTTTTTCTAAGATTTGGTGACAGGAGATATAATAATAATAATAATTTATTTCTTATTACGAGGCACAAATTAACATTTGAATATGATCACATGCGCCTTACAACCTGTAATAATTGCAATAAAGTATACTTAAAAATACCTAAAATATATAATCTAAAATCTATCAGTCTAACTATAACAGGCAAAAGCCTTCCTAAATAAATAAGTCTTTATTGTTCGTTTAAAAACCAAATAGTTATCGATGTCTCTGACACTTGCAGGCAGACTGTTCCACAGTGCAGGGGCAGCTATTTGGAATGATGTGTTGCCCAGAGTTTTCTTTGTTTTTCCCATGGGCAACTGCAATAGTAGTTCTTCAGAAGAACGAAGCTGGTATTTACATTTCTCCTTTAATCGAACTAGATTGCAGATATAGGATGGCGCAAGTCGATATATTGCTTTAAACGTTAAAACTAAGATTTTAAACTCGGTAGGGTAGGCAACAGGTAGCCAATGCAAAGAAAATAAGACGAGTGTAATATGATTAACCTCGGAGTTGAGCATACAAGCCGAGCAGCACTATTTTGAATGCATTGTAACTTACTCATGTGTACCGCGGGAACTTTATAGGAGACGGGGAGATTGGAGCCATATCTGATATCTTTTGCTGTTTTTCTAAAGTTTCCAATCCCCTCAAACTGATTTGATGAGTTCTTACCCCAATATAAAAGGGCAACCTTGTTTCCAGGCAGTGGTGTCAGATGGCCTTAAGCCTAGCTGTTTATGCGTGAGTAAACTCAAACTAATGTTGAAAGAGTTCACGGCTACCCAAACACGAAGTTGCTGAATTTTCAACCAAAACTGAACAGGAGAATTTCAATATGCCATTGCCCTATAGACGTCAGTTTTTTTGGAGAAGTATATGCGTGAGGAAAAAAACAAAAAACATAAATCCTGAAGTTGACAAACACAGCAATTATGCTTTGGAGAAATTTTGAAGGGGAGTTTAACGTTGAACGAATAATAAAACAATAATTGCATTCAGCTTCTGTATGATAAAAAGACTAAATTAAGCAGATCTGATCAGCCTTAAGCCTAAGTGGATAACATCTCCTTGATCAATATACATGTATATCTAGCCTTAGAAAACAGCTGACATTTGGCTACGCTACCACTGGTTTCCAGGCTTGTCAAAATGATTTCAAGTGGCAGGAGAATACAAGTAAGTACGCGGCACTGGGGGCCGGAGCCCCCACCAGGCAGGAGGTGAGGGGGTCTTGGGGTCTGGGTCCCGGGCCCCCAGTGGGTTACAGGGGCAGCGCCCTGTTGGGGTTCCAAGGGGCGAAGGCCACGGGAGCAAAATGGATTTGAGGTTTTTGTGCTAGCTGAAATTGGCTCTCCTGAGAGCAATGCTAACAACCCTGAGTATCTGTTTTTGAACGAAAATCATCAATCATCTTTTTTTTATTTTTGATTTCATTATTTTCTAAGATGCCATATCCTAGTGCATGTTAGTTCCATATTTTTTTGTTAACAATAATAATGTTTATTATTTGACAGTAACATTTTTTTAATGATAACAGATCATTTCTTTAGTTTATTAAGAGTGACCAAGTTGTGTGACTTAATTAATTCACTATTATAAATTAGATTCTGTATGGGTGTACTTGTCTTCAATCAAATAATTTATCATATTCATAGGGAAGCAGAAGGATTCAAATAACTACAAAATTCACAATTACATGTAATATTAATACAAACCAATTCAGTAATGCTATAATAAGATTTATGAAACATTTGCATGAAAGCTACCAAAAATCATGATCACTTTCACAGTCAAGCAAAGGAAAAAACAGACGTAAAATCACTGCAAAGAGAAAACTTAACTGCTGGTCATCAAAAACTATTTTACTTTAGAACACTTTTGCATCAAAATATCAACAAACCTACACCACTTCTTCACTTCTTGCTAATTTTGCTAAAATGTTGACCAGAGAGGACTGTTGTTTAGCCATTTTCCCACACAAACTCTGAATACAAGTTTCCCAAGACCACATGTGGATTGAGATAGTGTAACTGGATACCAAGAGTGGGAATATTCATTCGGCGTTATCAGCACGTGCGAAAGTCAAACTTTGATGCAGAATTAAAAGCCCTTTCTTACGGGCGACTTTCCGTATAAGAATGAAGTTTCAGACAACTTTCCTTGGAAGATACACATGTACCATGCACATCTCTTTTTTTAGCATCAACCCATAAAAAAAAAATTAAACGATGTTCTACACGTCTGACAAATTAACCAATGTTTTCAAATGCGTCATGTTTGTCAGCCAGTTTCATATAAGATAGGTACTTTAATATATTGCATGACTTCTTTCAATTTCAAATGCAAACTCGTGCCAGATGAGTTCGAAAAACCACTCAAAAGCTTTCAGGTGTCTTTTATTCTTCACTCTAAACAAAGGATTCTTTAAAGACTACCTAAACAAAACCCGTTGCATGCATCAATGCTATTTTTATTCGCTTCGCAGTATCATAATTATTATGGGTATGGAAAGAACTATTAAGTGGGAGTGGATTAGAACACATCTTAAAAATCATGAAAAAGAACATTCAGGGCATGATGAAAACAATTTCTTTTTCTATTCTATTTTCTCCAACAATTAACAGCCGGTGAAAAGTACAAAGTAGCCGGCGATAGCGCCGGTCGCGGCGCATTTTGACAACCCTGAGTTTCCCCGCCAAATGACATCTGAGAAACAAGCGCAAAAATTCCATAATGATGATGCATCACTACCAAGATCTGGGTAGTGCTTCTGATTGGTCGTGCCACCTGGGAAATTTGATTCAATCAATCAGAAGTACGCATCATTAGTATGAAATTTCTGCACTCGTTTCTCAGACGTCATTTGGCGGGGAAACCAGAGGTAGCATCGCCAAATGTTGGCTGTTTTCTCAGGCTAAGGCATTTCCAGAGAGTACTGAATTACTAACATTCAGTCACAGTCATCATGGCAGGGTATTTAACAGTTACTACCCAACTCGACTGTTTTTAAATTCAGACAGAGAAAATCTATCAAGAAATTTCAATAAAAAGGACATTGCCTGTAAATCGCTTTTTTTTTTATCGTTTTTGAATAATTATATGTACTTAACCGTGTGTAAAACACAGGGAAACCATAAACCAGGACAAAAACCCGCGCAATACCACACAAAACGTATGCATGCCATATTTAAGCTTAAGTAAACCTCTCGTTCCTTGTTATAAACAAACAGCGAACTCTATGAATAATAAATAGGTCTAATTAAATTGGGTGTTTTCTGAATCTTAACTCATACTGTTCATTCTGGTTAGTTATTCGTAAATAAAAGACGTGTCGCACTTACGAATAAAATGTAGCAAACACATCTCATTTTATTATTAGTATTTGCCGACGACATATATAAAAATCAAAATTCAAATTAAGAACATCATAACTCAAGTTTATACTCACCAGCTGATCTAATGAATATCACGCTCATCAACAAAACACATGCCTCACGTACGAAAGCGATGGCATACAAAACTGAAACCAAAGACGAAGAACTCTTCGATTTGGCCATCCTTGCAAAGATTAGAAAAGTGTGTACATCGATGACTTATTCTAGCCAGTTCGGCTGTGCTAGGCAGTTGTCTGGAACATCGTGTGGTTCACGAGGCATATTAACCAGTCTGAAAGAAGAAGAAGTTTGTACGCCATTGACTTTTTAGAGAAAATAAATCCAGCAGATCCTAGACAAGCAGACGATAAATTCAGCGAATGCGTAATCGCTTAAAAATATGTCCAAATAACCGGCGGATGGAAGGTATTGCCCACATTTATGTCATCAATTTTCAAGCTTCCTTGTTCCCTCTCACTTTCGCGCCCGCGCCACAACAGGGTCAGTTTAAAGTGTCAACTTCGTATATGAATGTCACACTCCGTGACACACTCCGTCACAAGTCTGTTGACATATCCCCTCATCTTAAAAAAGGCGGATAAACGCAGGCTTCACCGCCCTTCCTCCACTTTCTCACAAAAGCGACGTGAACCGTGCTCCAAAGATAACACCAAAACAATTATCATTTCAATCAATCCTCCTAGACTGTGAATAATTTTCTCGGTTGCTGAGATATAAGGGAGGTTAGGTCTGATGGAAGGTGCGGGATCAAAAATGTTCTTAGACCGTTCCGCGTTTAAACGATCACGTGCATAAAGGGGCTACTGATGGCTATGAGTGGGGCTTACTCAGGGCTTTTAAAAACGTTAAATCTGTGACCCCCGAAATCAAACATAAACCTTTTTTTGAAGGATTTCTGATTCACACCCCAAGGTCATATCCTGTGCTTATCCTGAACGTGCTTCTTGTGTTTATTTTGTTGTCACACCCTTTAATTCAACACTGGGACATGATATATCGCGATTCGTCCCTGTCCAACCATAAAAAGTTTCCCATGTAGCATTTTCCAGACTCCTTGAGAACTGAAGTTACAAAATAGCTTGTTGTGAATGATTTCATAACGTTCGAATGATTAGGGTGTATTTTTTAGTTTGTAATCGACCGCGATTGTTTCCTAAGGTTTCCACGCTAACCACTTAGGCTAGTGGAGTCGTGCTGAAGCCTGAATAACGTCTCTAGACTCATCAGATAGCATCAAGTCCATTTAAAATAGGCTACTTTCTAGTCTTTGTGGAATGTCTGGTCAATATTCAGTTTTTACTTTGAAAATCGGTTTTTTTTTCTCTACATAACATTGAAAACCAATAGACGTTATCATGGTTTTCGACGCAATCTTGACGAGTAAGGCAAACGTGTGAGAAATTACAGTGTTTCTATTAGAATCTGATGTCGAATAATTTCCTTAAAAAGGTTGTTCTGAAAAAATATCAATTGTAAACTAAAGCTACAAAGCAAAGGATTGTCATAAACAATTTTGGGGGCGAGTCACAAATTATGTGTGATACACACTGGATACAATCAGTTCTTTGTAGCTTTAATTCTTCACTCCCTTAGCTTGAAAGTATATTTCTTCACATGTTCATATTTTAGAATTCTGTACTCTGTTCTACACTTAAAGGATTCATCGACATCAATTCACGTAAAGTTTCGATGATCTACACTCAAACAAGACGCTCGATCAGCTCCACAACTCAGAACGACTACGCAGTTCCTAGTCTCTAGTGCAAAGTTCACTTTTCAGATCACGTGACGAGTTTTCCCGCCACAATGACGCAATAATTTTCTAATGCAATTCCTGCCTTGATTGACACAGGTCAATCAACAAACGAAACGAATGAAAGAGGGGGGTGAATAGGTCCGCCGATCGGCGGATTTGGCCTTAAAAAGCTCACGGATTGTGGATTTCGGCGATAAATCGAGCGGATTCGCGGATTTTAAAAATACCGTGGATCGAGGATCAGCTGAAAGTTTTGGCCCGGTTTCCGGATTCTGTCAGTCTAGAAGTTCGGATCGTGGATCGGATCATCAACTTTCGGTCGGCCTTCGTCAATGTGCTGGTGTTTTGTCGGTTAACGTTCCACTTCCGAGGTTTCCGGAAGAGACTTTCTCGTTACCCGACTCAAAAAACATGTATTCCAGTATAGACAGCGTGACGGAAATGACGTCAGGCAACCTTGTGCATGGTTCCTGCATGGTGACACATGGTTCAGGTAATGGCGGTAATGCTAAGTGACCTGACAAGATCTGTGAATGCGTTCGTGTAAATTGTCTAAATTGCAAAATGGAAACTAGGGAACTATCGAGTGTGTAGCCTTTGTCTACCACGAAGGTGCTAAAGGCGATGACTTTATTCAAAAAAGTAAGTTTCGATGCTCCGTCGATTCCAGTCAGTGGGGAAGTGTGGTGAAGGTAGGCGAGCCCGTTCGGTAAGTTTTATATTTGGTTTATACATGAACTGATATAAATTATATTCTTCGAAGCTATTTCAGCTAGTTTGCTTGTCTTGATCGTTAACTTAATAGACCTTTTGACGGTTTCTGTCGCCATCTTGGTTGAGGGCAAACACGGCAAAAGATGAACCATGGAAAATACTAACTGGTAAGCAAATTACCATAAGTTAAGTTCTGCCTCTTCCGAATTTTGCGGCTCCACTAGAAGCAGGGGGGTTCATTAAGGTTTTGAACAGGAGGGCAATTGAGTTTGACACCCGGGCAAAGAATTGGCAAGGCCCGGAGGGCCTCGCTCCCAAGGGGGGTCTGGGGGCATATTCCCCCGGAAAATTTGGAAATTCTATAGTCGCAGGGATGTGTTTTCCTGCATTTTGAAGCTGCAGACAATGACTTTCAACAACCAAAAAAAGATCACTTTTCTAGACAATTTAATCATGATTTGAATCACAAAAGTATTAGTTTAACAACTTATCTTTAAAATTTCAATGACTAGACGGGAGGATCACTGTTTTAACGTGAACGCACCGAAAATTAATTCATTGGCGTAAACCATAAAACGAAAACAAATGACGCTTCGCTTCGTTGAACATGATAATTGAGCCATTCAATATATACAGGCAAGTAAAAGGTTAAATCACAAAGAAGTCTACTCACCTCTTGGCCTTTTCTCTACTGGAGGCCCTTTGGTTGAAGCCCAAAAATAATCTGCTATCGAACGCGTTCTTTTCTGGGCCGCCATGTTCACGTGCTCGCAACACTGATACATTTCAGGTGGTCGTTTATGAAAGACAGTTCTTTTCATTATGTGTTATCGGGCGATTCTTCTTTTTAACACATAACGAACGAGGGGATTTCATGCCGCGTGTAATAAAGTGGAAATTGCACGGCAAAGTATGTTTTACACTCGATTAGACTCATCAAGAAAAGGGCACTATTGTAACTTAAAACTGTTTTTGATCGTTCCTTGTATTAAAAAGAAGTTCTTTGAGATGTAAAGCAGCCGGGCAAAGTCGTGTTCACAGCCGGTCAATTTGCCCGGTGCCCGGCCCTTAATGAACCCCCTGTTAAATAATAATAAATAAGAAGCATGTCCAAAGTGATGTCAGCAAGCAAATTTATTGAAAAATCTTATACGCAATTCCAGATAGTTTCATTTTGCAAGCTTGCAGACTATTTGATTAGTCAAATATGTATTGTTGAAAGAAACATTATAAGCTCTGTCCTTTATGCTTAATGTCTTGAAGCTGTAACGAAAACTTTTTAAACATGAAGTCCCGCATCTGTTGCGATTACAGAATAACTATATTAAGTAATTCATTTTTTCATGCTACAACGCTACTTTCTATATACCACGAAAACTTTTTAAAGTAACGCGGATTCGGATTTGAACAAAAATTAAGTCGGATCGACGGATCGGGCCTAAAAATGCCACGCATCGGCGGATTTGCATACCCCTATTCACCCCCCTCATGAAAGCAAAAGAGTTCGCCTTTCTTTGACTTAATCTTCATGTTCACTAACACGCTCCTGTTCAGCATTTTCCACGAAGGTAATAGGAAAATCAGTGTTGCTGTTCTGACGCTCTTCCCGCACTTGTGATTCAACTTCCACAGGGTAAAGCCTATGTAGGGGTCTTGTCATTTCCACGACTCGATCTCCAATACGCACTCTTACAACAGCTCCTCTGTGGTAACTATCTCGTCCTATAATGAGAGATTTGACGACTCCATACTCCAAAGCTGTCTCAGCGCTTTGTCCTTGTAGACGCAAACAACATCTCCGACCGTTGACTTCCTCACGGTTACTTGAATTGCAATTGAGATGAACACGTAATTCTGTTAAGTATTCCTTCTGCCATCTTTTCCAAAAATGTGAAAGTATAGTGTTCAATTACTTCTCAAGTCTTGAAAGATCGTGCACAGTGTGTCCCGCACTTGGTTGTTTAGCGCTTCCGTTTGAACTCAACAAGCGACGACCAATAACATGTTGCGACGGTGTACTTCTTGTTTGTAACCTTTGCCCTGATCTAACCCTAACACTATCCCTAACCCTAACCCTAATATATATTTAACCCTAACCTATCCCTAGTCCTAACCTATACTTAACCCTAACCTAACCGTAACCCTAGCTCTATCCCATCCCTAACCCTAACTCTATCCCATCTCTAACCCTAGGTCTATCCCTAACCCTAACTCTCTCCCTAACCCTAACCTATCTAATTCTATCCCTAACGCTTCCTCCCCCTCCCCTACTCTTGCATTTAGTAGTATACAGTGAGAACTAAGTAGCTGTTGTTGTTGTTGTTGTTATTTTTTAAAGTTAGCCTCAAAAGGCTCTTATAAAATTTGTGTTTCTTGGAACTTAGGCTGTTTCACTTCTCAAATTATAAGGTTCTTATTTTGTTGGGGGAAAAATTAGACGTGTTTCGAAGAGTATTAGTAGTATTAATGATGTTTGTACAAAATAAGCATTTTATGTCTAAATAACTTCAATTTAAGCCAATAGAAACTCTTAAGTTTGCAATCAGGTTCTCTCAAAATATTAGCCTAAAGGGTTTTGGTTCTTATCTGTGGGTTTTCGCTGTATTACCTGACATGAAAACAAGTGTCACATGCATGGTTCACTGTTTTTTTTTAGATGAAAGAAAATATTGGTTTGGATTGTGTTTGTTGTAATGGGTGCAATTAGAGACTTGATGAAAACTAACTACACTGAAAATTGAGAAGATCTGTTTCAGCCCAAAAGTGTCAATTCAGCCCTGCAGGCCAAAGTCTGATTCAGCCCTTCCTGGAGCCATTTGAGCAGAATTTAGGGCAAAAAAGCTCAATCAAAAGGCTATTCCAGCCCACGGTAGGGCCCATTTCAGCCCTAGCTAATTGGACAGTATTGGCCCTGATTTAAGGGAGCCAAATTAGACTCAAAAATAGGACTGTATTTTACTCACCAAAACGGCCCTAATTTTAAGGCTAAAACAGATCTTTTTGATTTACCGTGTAAGGTTGGTTTTTGAGGAGAGGTGAAAGCCCATTAACCAGAGAAAAACTTCTTGGGGCAGAAAAAGAGAACCGAGTACGTTCTTAACCTACAAATGATCTGGATTTGGGATTCGAACCCGAGCTGCAGTGGCGAGAAGCTACTGTCCTCACCATCTTGCCATCCACCCTTTGTCCTTTAAAACGATATTTACTCCCAAATTAGCTGTTAGGGGTTCATTATTCAGAGGAATGCAAACGAGATTAACATTACGGTTTGGGAATTGGAATGACCGAGGCGTTCGATAAACCGTAAATGCTGGGCTCCTTTAGATATTTAACCACTGTAATTCTTTTCCGTCTATAAGGTTCTTTAATATTCCACAAAGAAGGTACAAGGAGACTGGCGTAAATAACCTTTTTTACAGTTTGCTACAGTAAAAGCGCTCATGGCTCATAAGTAGAACGGAGAATAACTCTTATACCTATGGTGCTTTGAAAAAATTCAGCCTGGAAAACTGAACCCGCAATTTCTTCTAACGCGGGTGTTTAGTGGATAAAACATTCATTTGTTTCTGATTACTTTACGTATATATCTAGCCGACTTTTTGAAAACCAACCTAACGAAATTTGCAGTCATTTGAGTAAAAAGCCGTTGAAAGGAAGGCTTTTTGGGCCCGATGAGCTTCAAAATCACACTAACAAAAGAAAAGGAAAGGAAAAAAAGAAAGAGCGAGGAGGAAGAAAGGAGGGGAAGAGAAAAAAAGCAATGGTTGCATTGTTAGTGTTTATAATGGCTTCTCTGGAAATTTAGTTTTTGGTTGATAAAAACTGTTGGACGCAAAAGGGCTATTTGGCGGTAACGTTTTCAAAAATCCGGCGAGATATGAATCTAATAAATAGAACACTCGCACGACTAGTTTTATTATCGTGACGTATGGCGTCACACGCTAAACAAGTAATACTATATGCAATACACTTGATCGTTGCAATTTTTTACTCCCATCCTAAGGAGTTTTCTATGATACTTCCTCATGGGGCATATTCTAATTTATAAAATAACTACCAGAGACTTTTTCACGCGCGGTTTCCCGTGTCGGCCCGAAGATCTATCGGCTTGCGCCCGACACCGAACCATCCCGCCGCAGGCGAGCAAGTCATTTGTACTCAGGGTAGCCGAACGGGGCCTTAATGTACAGAGCAGGACACAAAGAGTATGGTAGGCCTGTGATGAAACGCTTTGTGGAAAATCACTGCTAAAAGAGGCTTCAATAATATTGAATGGTCACACTAAAAATATGTCGACAGACTTACATGTAAAAATTAAAAAGACTGTAAAACCCTAGGAATAAAAAGATTAACATTCGGTTTAGACTAGTGTATTTCTATAACGGGAGTTTCTGGCCTTTCCTGTAGGTCTCAGTTCCACGGCCTCATCCTGCTCAACTCCAGTTTCTTCCAGTTCTATACCGCTCTCATTCCCCGACAAAGTATCGTTATCTTCTGGTTCCAGCATCTGCTGTCTCTCGTCTGATTCCGGTTCGGGCTCATTTTCCATTTCAGGTGGTATTGGAGGCGACGGACTAAGTGCGATATTTTGGCTTGACTGCCTACAGTTAAAACATAGTTAATAACACAGTTCTTTTTGTTGTTTTGCTCTATCACCACTTTGCAATTGAAGAAACCTCATACTTAGACTTCTTTGGTTCCTTCAGGGAGAAGCTTCATAAGCGCCCCCTTTTCCCGCCCCTACCGTCTTGTTACCCGCATTTGCAATTGGCTCACTGGAGTATAATTAACAGCCGGATACTCATTGGAAAGAAGAGAGACTATTAGATTTTAAGACGAGTACAACAAAGAGCGCGAGATGTTCTCAATACTAAGCAGTACTCGCGCGTGAACCAGCGTCATTTTGGCGGGAAAACGTGATAGTCGTCGTCATTCTACCGCGAGTTTTTGCAAGAATGTCGTGGTGGCGGAAACGACCTATTAAATGTTTGAGCTTTTGTGATTTTGCGACCAGTAGGGGGCTTAACCTCTTTGAATAAAGATGACAGTTCTAACTTTCCTGGTGAAAAAATGTACTATGAACCTTTCCTGGGTGTCCTTTTTTTAAGATTATGTGAAAAAACTTAAAGCCAAATCTCGTACTCGAATCTAAAGGTCTCACTTACTAACCTGTCATAAACATCTGCTCTCGTCAGAGGAATTGTTGAGTCTGAATCAAGCGGATCGAGGTAGTGATCGTGTCTGCCATAGTTGTTATCTTCTGCTAACTTAATGTACCCGGATACAACTCTCTGTTGAGAGAAAAAGACGCCCAGTTTCCATAACACCCATACCTCAGTGCGGTATAAAGCAGACAAGAATTACACAGCAAATCCCAAACGTTCCTTCCCATATTTTCTCTTAAAAAAACTTTGTAAGTTGAGGAAATTACCGATAGCTCCGTAGGTGTCCAATTGATACGCTGCATTTAAACACTGGTAAATGACGACAGATCACAACCATTAAAAGAACAACCGGGCATTTTCGTATGCGGTAGCCTACACAAACTGTTCGTGCAACCACTTATCGCATTACTTACTCCTAACATTATTGTTACAGAGGGTATAGAAGTTTCTTAGAGGTATAAAAAAACCGCCGCCCGGCTAGCTCAATGGGGTAAGCGCCGGTCTGCTGAGTGAGAGGCCGTTGGTTCAAACCCCGGCCGGACCAACACTCAGGGTCTTTAAACTGAACTGTGAAGAAAGTGCTGCCTTTGTAAAACGGTTTGACTTTCTAGTCTTCTCGGATAAGGACGATAAACCGTAGGCCCTGTCTCACAAGCCCTTGCACATGTAATAAATCTGTGGGACGTTAAAGAACCCACACACTCTTCGTAAAGAGTAGGGCACGTAGTGCCCGGTGTAGTGGTCTATGTCACTTTCACACTCATGTATGGGGGCATCATTACTCATTCCTTCAGTACTTGTAAACTGCACCTTAAGCAGTCTGGCAAAGTCCCCCAACCAGTGTTGTAAATTATCCCTGAAATGCCCTGAGGGGAGTGGATAATTTGATAATATGATAATGATAATATGAAATACAAACTACAGTCAACCAAGAATTGAGAAATTGACTGATCACCGCAGCGTCGGTAATATAAAGGTTAAGTTCAGTTATATGAATTTACTCTCTGGGCCGAGATTTAGTGTCCGTTGCCGTATTAGAGAGAGTCCGTATTATAGAGGTTTTTTTTTAAAATAAAATGTATGAGAATTTTGTCAGGACATTGGAAACTGTCCGTAACGGTCAGGAGTCCGTATTAGAGAGGTGTCCGTACCGAGAGGTTCGACTGTTTTATTTCCCTCAAATCTTCATGTTTTAACTCAAAGAATCTCCAGTATGCTGTATTTGGAATCATGGGATAGATCTAGATGGGGTCCATAACCAATATTGTCTACTGTGTCATAAACTATCATTATGCCAAATTTGGTGCTTTAATCATAAACCCCACAATTATTTCACCATTTTGCTGGACTGAAAGGACTCACCTGGGAAGCACGTTGCTCGAGTATTTTGCCAATCAAAGTGCTGATTTGAGCAAATTCTGGTCGGTTATCCCGATTCTCCAGCCAGCAATTCTGCATAATGTTATAAATCTCCGAGGGGCAGTTTTGAGGGTTTTCCATACGCTTTCCATCACTGAGAAAGTCGAGGAGACATTCCATAGGTACAGTGGGATACGGTGTCCCGCCAAGTGTAAAGATCTCCCACAATAAAATACCAAAAGACCATCTGCAAAGTTCAAAGCCAAAGTTTAAAACATAAACTCTCTAAGCAGAAGAAAGGGAATAAGATTGCATTTGGAAAAAGTTAAACTGTGTACTTGTAGAAACAGATGATTACGACGCTTCTTAACTCCAGTACAGCGGACTGAAAGCAGGCATCAAACTGGCATGCAAGTAAATCAAGGATCAACAGTTTTTTTCTTTCTCGCGTACTATAAAAAGCGCATGAACGCGAGTGCATTTCGTGATTCATAGGCACAAGTCGAGTCCAAATTTGAGAACTTAAAAAACTCGCCACATGTAAGGAATCCGGAATCCGGCAAATTTGTTGCTTGTGGATTCCAGAATCCAGGAAACTTGTTGCTTGTGGAATCCAGAATCCGGAAAATTTGTTGCTTGTGGATTCCAGAATCCGGAAAATTTGTTGCTTGTGGATTCCGGAATCCGGGAAATTTGTTGCTTGTGGACGGCGCTGGTAACTGTTAGCTACAGTTACCAGCGCCGTACAAACTACTTATTGACGAGATCAAGCAAAACTAACTACGAGAGAATGACAATTTGACTAACAATAGACGACTGTTTAACTGTGACAATAGACGGATCGAAACGCACCAATTACTGATTACGAGTCTTCATAGCCAATAACATCACGTCTTAACTGACAGACGACCAATAACATCGCGACGTAATTGACCAATCAGATCAATAACCAGAGTATAATACCATCAACTGACGTGATACAACTCACTTTGACTCTGAAGATGACTACCGCACAGGTTGTCGAAACGTCAGTCACTGTCAACAACAACAGTCCTATTCAGGACTACGTTCACCCGGACGATCAAACTCAACCTACTTTTGAAATGACTCCTGGGTTCAAACCTTTCACAGTTTCAATATAAACACATACCCCTTCAACACTTTTCGCATGTTACTTGTACTTACACGTCACTCTTCTCTGAGTACTCCTTCTGAAACAACGATTCCAGAGCCATCCACTTGATTGGCAATACACCACTTGTCGTCTTCACATACAAGTCACTCTTGTAAATATCGCGCGCGAGACCAAAGTCAGCGATCTTCATAACGTAGTCTTTTCCCACGAGGACGTTTCTGGCCGCCAAATCTCGGTGAATACACTAGTCGAACAGGCAGGCAAAAAAAGAAAAAACGTAAATAAATAAACAAACAAATAAGAAAGGAAGCAACAACAAAATCAATCCCCAAACATTTTCCTTCTCCGCATGCCTGGACTGTGGAAGGGGGCGTCAATTAGGTCATTTACGGTCCTCTCAAACACTGATTTGTCACCACAAACCTAAAAACCGGGGGAGGAGTTCTCCCATATATAGGCTAGATAGGTACATGCCGCCAGATAAGGTATGCTTTTTAAAGGCCTCCATCCTTAAAATAAATAGGATATCTTTTTTTGGCCTAATTGGCATTGCGTCCCAGGTGGTGTACATGTGATCGTTAAATAGATTACCTAATTTGTGTCAGTTAAGACTCGAGTGAGTAATTGCCCAGCTAACCAAGAAACAAATCATCTGTTAAAAACTGGACTATTTCTTACAGTGTTACTAGGAGAATGGTTTAATTATGGTTTGTGTGTTGCCCTTTAATTTTTAGTTTTTGTTTTCCCCTTAAATGGGGCGTCATGATCCGAAATTTATGAGAGTAATTATACGTTTCTGGGAATCTGCCCACCTACCCCTTCCCTAAGCCAACATTTTACCCTAAGTGAGAACAAAGTGTTAATGTTGGTTCAGGGGAGGGGTAGGTTGGCAGTTTCCCTGAAACATATAATGATCCAGTATCTCTGGCGAATCTTCTCTTGTTGCTTTCCTTTATCATGTGCAACATACGTTTATGGCTTTTTGTGCCATTCTTTCAAAATTCTTTGAAGAACAGTGAACTCAAAACCACCCACAAGACCTTTCGGGATTGTCCCGTGCACTTTTTCCGACAACCTTTCTCGAAATAGCTGTGTATTGCAGGTCGTTAGACCACGCGCGGTACTTGCGCTTCGCGAGAATAATTACATTTAACTCGGCGCAAAACAACAAGCCCAGACTGTCAGTCAAATTAACGAATAAGATCACGAAAACGGCCAGAGAACAAGTGCCCGCAAATAACATTTAAATAAATGTGGGCGTCTGATTTTGTTTGAGAAAAGTGGTTAGTCTTTTACCTTTTTAGACGCCAGGTATTCCATTCCACGGGATATTTGGAAGGCATACCCCACTAGATTTGATATATCTAACCGTATTTCTGGGTCACTGGTAGTCGTAGACCAGGTTGCTTCATAAACATCTCGCTTGCCTCGTAAAAACTTTAGTAAACTCCCATGTGGTGCATATTCCAGAATAACAAGGATACCATCGCGCTTGATACAAGCACCGAGAAGGTTTACAATATTTGTATGTACTCCAACGTGCATAAGAATTTTCAGCTCTGAAGCCAGGTCTCTATACTCCTCTATAGTAGCTCCCTCTAAAGTGCACAAATGTAAACAACCTTGTAAAAAGTCTGTAAACTGAGAGAGGGGTACTGATTTGACCCTGTGAAAGCTTTGTCAATTGAAAAAGGGTGACACCTGTCGATGTGAAGTCTGATACCACCCCCCCGCCCCCTCCAAAAAAGGCAACTTTCCACCCCCAGCCTCGTTAATCTTTAGCTGATCATAAATTCCCTCAGTAATGTACTCAGAATCCCCGGCCCTCTCCCGCCTCATTCTCGTCTCCAAGTCGATGTTTAGGTTACTACTAGCCAAGGTCATTTCTCCCCTCCACCACCCCCAGCAGGAAATTCAATTTAAAAGACGTTGCACTCGATCTTTCTTAACGGCATTAAGTTCCAAAAAACTTTATTTCGCTACCTTTAAGGGTCTTAACAGCAACAGTGGTCTTCTTAGAAGCGCTAACTCTCGAATCGTGGTACGTTTTGCTGCAGTTTATGTATCGCCGGAGCAGACTGAGTCGCGGTCCACCTTTTACTGAACTTTTGTCTCTGGGACTAAAGTCGTCCATTCCTATAGCCTCTGCTTTAATGACCTTTCCAAAGGCCCCTGATCCAAGCACCTCCGCAAGAATGAGCTTGTCCTCAGGAAACTCGAAATCAGGGTCATAAGGAAGATCATTACATTGTTCAAGCAGTGTGCGATCAGGGTCAAACTAAAACAAGACAATAAATGTTTTAACATTATGTTCATTATATTTTACGACGTCCCAACAAGTTGTTTTGTTATTGTCTTCACCTCTATTAAACGGCCACTTGGACAACACGTACCGTATTAGTGCAACAGATACACTGTGTATGGCGTTTAGTGGTCTTTTACTTCCTTCTTTTGGCACAAGAAGTGGTAGAAATTGGTAAACAGAAACTGGTAAACCGTTTGAGGTCAATTTGTCGTTCTTTCACCACCTTCATTGGATAACTTTTAGGTTTCTCAAACTTGTCAGTACGCTATTCCTCAGAGGTGACCGCTTAATACAGGTTTGAATGTACAGTGAAACCTCTAGTAAGCGGGCCCCCAATTAAACAGACACTAAGCCCGATGCCGGCCTTTATAACGAACCCCTATTCAGCGGACGCCTCTAATAAGCGGACGCCGACCCTAAAATAAATTGTATTTGGCTAATTTCTACCGTTAAAAACCTCTATTAAGCGGACACCGGACTGAATTGACAATAGTAGTCTTGGATTATGTCCTTGAAATACATACTGTAGTCGATTAATAAAGATAAATCAATACATTAATTTAGCTGTCAAAAGTTCACCTAAAAGTCTCGCACAAAGTACAGCACAACTTCCTTAGCTTCCTTACCCACATGGAACTTTATCACAGTACAGAGTAAGCGTTGAATGTAATCGCTAAGAAACATTGCGCAATTTTTACAAACCTCTATTAAGCGGACACCCTCTGTTAAGGGGACACTTGGGAAGGTCGCAAAGGTGTCCGGTTAATTGAGGTTTCACTGTAGTTGTTTACTTTTGCACGGATATTTACCTGGTATTCCTCTGAGTGTACTTTGAAAAACTGGCTACGATGCTCCGCAATCTGCTTCTGTTGACGACGAATATAGCAACAGAAGGTGAAGGCCACGACGATACAGAGGAACAGGATTGCTCCAACTACAGAAAGGGCAACAGTGGATTTGTCACGAAGACCTCCCGTAGCAGATACATCTGGAAAGTTGCTGCGTACTGTTAAACCTATAAAGATAATATCACCTACTGCTTCAGTAAACATGGGAAAAATTTCCGGTGACATTACATGGATCATTATAGCTATACGTTTCTGGGTGCCCACCTACCCCTCCCCTAAGCCTACATTAACACTACTTCTCACTTCGGGCAAAATATTGGCTTAGGAGAGGGGTAGGTGGGAAGTTTCCCAGAAAAGCATAATGATCCCAAATGTATTAGCAATGCGTAGTACACGGATTGCGAAGATGGCCCACAATCAAAAGTGGTAAAAAGGCCAATCTTTTAAGAAAGATGTTCTATTTCGTTCCGCAATTATAACACAGGCGAATACTCCCAAGTCTCCCAACAGGATTCAAACCTAAGAACTGTAGGGAGTACTCGAACTTTTCCAGTTCCGAGCCGCCTGTGGCGGCGGACTAAAAAAACATCTTTATCATGTATTCACCAGCCTTATAATTCACCATCTCTTTACGATCATTGTGCCACATTTTCTTTTGTTAAATAGTCAGCTGGAGAACTAACATAGATATAATTTCACTTGCCACTCCACAGGAAGAGGGATTTTTTTTTTACCTTCTGGTTATATGGTCCAGGTGAATTACTTCTGAGTTACAAGAGTAGTGAAAGTAAAGGCCATCAAACTAACAACAATAAAACTAACTGTAATGAATTAATGGGTATCACTCATGTACTGTTTCTAATATAAAGACACAGAGAAACTTTTCAGTCAAAAGCTTTTAACCCCGCAGTTATTTCTGATATTAAAATAGACGGCAAATCTTTAATTTCAGCTACAGGCTTCAATAGTCGTAATTGCAGCCGTTTTCAGTACCATCGCGCAAAGCTCCTGAAGTACGTAATGTACTAAAAACGGCTGTGTAGGAAACTACAGCAAGGGTCAGGTCAGTCGGTAAAGCTCTTGACTGCAGAGCGGGAGTTCGTGGGTTAGATTCCCGAGCCGGGCCAATACTCGGGGTCTTAAAATAACTGGCTCACCTAGCTTGACATGCGCAGTCGTAATGTCCTGGGAATTTTCTGCCACACAAGTGTAGTTTCCCAAGTCGGCTTCAGTAACGGGTGATATGGTCAGCATCACAACTTCAGGGGCACGGCGTTTTGGAGTGACAACCTCTTGTGTTTTTTCTTTTCTCCACTGCACAAATGGCATTGGGTTTCCTGTGGCTTTGCATGTTACATTCCACAGTGCGCCCAGCTTCACCTGGAAGATGTCCTTGCTTGGGATTATAAAAACGTTTGGGTCCTCTGTGAAAAAAATATAGATATATTGAGGAACAAATGACCCTCGCTGCATTAAGTTCAGCAAGAGCCACAACAGCCATTTATTAAATTCAACATGAGCTTCGCCATAAGAGAACAGTTTTTCCAATTTTTAACTACTCAATGAGGAACTTTTTCAAAAGCAGGACTAATTGTAGAGTGCATGGACCCAGAAACGCAAGCATCTGATGCGGACACAATAATTATGTAAAAAATTGTCGACTTTCAAATCACATCATTGCAGCTTGAAAGGGGAAATTAGTAATCTCGCCGGGGGTAACTCATATGCACAGCTGCTAAGTAGGACTCAAATTTCGAAGTGAGAACAATTACTTGACGCATAGATTTTATCAGGGCTGATTCAAATAAAATTCATACGACATTACAAATTTTTTTTAAATGAAGATATGATCGTCGCAGTGGTAATTGCAATTCAACCAATTGCAAATTAATCCGAGAAAAAATCCGGGACTTCAACGGGATTCGAACCCATGACCCAGGGCGGATAAAGGTTGGGCGGTGAAACGAGCGCTCCGCTCTTCATTTAATGTGTGATGCGGAGTAGGACTGGCACGAGCGCTCTTTCCGCGCTTCCGGTGCGCTTGAAGGCCGGCGAAATTTTCCTTTTTGCAAACCGGAAATCCTATTTTCTTTCTGTAATTTCAGGCTACAATGTTAAATAGATAAATTCGTTTCATAACAATATCAATAAACAGTTTCATATGTTTGCGACTGTACGTCTATAGGTCAAACTTGTTGGTCGTATAATGCCAAAATTTGAGTTTAATTTGAAAGTGTTGAATACCTCCTCCTTCCACTAAATATCACCTAATCGTCTTTCACCGTTTCGTTTGTAAAAGCTTAACACTTCTTAACCTCAATTTTTAAATATGTTAAAGGGGGATAAATTTTACATAACATAACAAAAAATTAGATTGATATATATTGATATAGTGGCGTTGCACTTCTTCAAACTTTGCTTCTCGTTTGCAACGCGACATGGCGATTCGCGCAATGCGTTGCAAATCCGGCAACCGAACGTAAACAAAATTTATTGAGGTTAGTTGTAAGGTTTTTTCTCCGTTTTTCTCTCTAAAACAAAACAAGGTAAACAGTAAAAACTGAGGGGAAATATAATTCAGTGGTAGAGTCATGGAAGTAATAAAAGAAACCCTTTGAAAGAGATGTTTGTCTACTCCAACTAAACCTCCCGCAAAAAATAGCAACATTTGCCTCTCGGAGACAGCGTACCAGCACAAAGGAACGAGGAAGAAGTGCAAGAAAACAAATCAAGGCGCCATAATTCAGTGACAGCGGCAGTGTCTTATGTACAAACCACATCGCAAGCCCCGACCGAAGTCGAAGACAAGCAACATTTCTAAACATAGTCCCAGTCCACTGCATCACACCTTTTTGCTCGGACGCGCTCGTTTCACCGCCCTACCTTTATCCGCCCTGCCATGACCTCTGCGTTAGCGCTGCAGTGCTCTAACCAATTAAGCTATGAAGACCCATGCATTGAAAGCAGGCTAATTTGTTGAAAAAAAATCGGGACTTCTCGGGTTTTCTCGGGTTAATTTGCAATTGCTAAAATTGCAATTACCACTGCGACGATCATAATTATCCTCATTTAAAATATTTGTATTTCCGCAGTTCACATTATCTTCATTGCTTCATTACATTCACGGGTTAAGATGAACTCATCAAATTAACCAGCTCCCAATGTATGCAGAGGCCATGGGTTCGAATCCCGTTGAAGTCCCGAAATGTTTTTTCGGGTTAATTTGCAATTGCTTAAATTGCAATTGCAACTGCGACGATCTTCTGCAGTTAACATCATCTTCGTTATTACAAAATCTATATGGCAATTCAATAATCTCCAATGATTATATATAACAACATTAGTGTTGAAAAGAATATTTCTCTCGTTCGCTGCGCTCACTCGTGAAATATTTTTCAACACTCGAAGAGAAATTTCGTATCTCCGGGCGGCCATGTAATATCCTCTATGTTTCCTTTAATCTTCTCAGTAGATTGCTAGTTTTTTCGTATACTACGTTTTAATCGGCAAATAACTAACAAACTAACTGAATAATAAATAAATGAATGAAAAATGCATAAATAAAGAAATATTTGTAACAACAGACTATTTCTTATGTACAGTCGAACCTCCCGTAAGCGACCACCCAAAATGCAAAGATAGAGTTGTCGCTTACGGGAGGCGGTCGTTTACAAGAAGCGAACCACAGGGAGTCTCTTACGAGAAGAGGTCGAGGAACATGTACTTTATCGAAGATAATTTATCGCATGCAGTGTCAAAGGTAGTATATGTGTACATGTAGTTCCATGTTGTCTCTAAAGTTCTTTGTATATTCTAAGTATTATAGTGCACACAGCGAAAATAGAGATACACCAAGTGGTCGCTTACAAGAGGTTAAAAACAATGGAAAATCATTAACCGTCAGGGTCAAAAAGTGGTCGCGGTCGCTTACAGAAGGTGGTCGTTTACTAGAGGTTCCAACTGTAAGGCTTTGACGGGGAAAATTTTAGTGTTTTGGATTGGCGGTCGTTTATGGGAGCTGGTCACTTACGAGTGGTGATAGCACATGGAGGTTCGACGATATTTAAATTCATAATTGGCTTCGAGGCTTGGGGAAATAAAACAGAAGAATCTATTCTTCAATGCCGAGCTTCAAGTTGATTTTAAATTGGTCAATAAGCAGCATTTACAAAGCGAGGAGTAAACGACAAGTGTGGATTATTTTAAGTGCAAAAATTCATTTAACCGTCCTCAAATAAGCCTGAATTTCATCCGACTACTTCGAGTCGCTATTACTCCCTCAGCAACGACGTTGCTGAAAGGAGAAAACGACTCGAAGCAATCGGATGAAATTCAGGCTATCCTCAAATTAGCCCTTACCCAAAACATCCAAGAAAGCCGTGGCATTACTTGTCCCTTCCCTGTTAGTAGCTTTACACATGTAAAAACCAGTTTTATCAGCATGTGAAGGTGAACATATCAACAGCTGGCCAACATCATTATCCACCTGATAGAAACCTGGACGAAGCTTTCTGCTTTCGCAAGAGTCCGACTCTCCCATAGTGACTGGTGTCACTTCAGGACGCGTCCCGTCTTTGAACCACTGCACCGTTGGAGCCGGATAAGCAGAAATGTTGCATCTCAATTTCACGGTTGTGTTCTTGTACACTGTTTGGTTCGAAAAACTGAGAATCGTTGGCGGAAAAACCTCTGTCAAGAAAAGGAAAATTAACTAGTCAGAGACACAATGTGAGCGAGATTTAATATCAAGGAGTTTTAAAAAGTCACGACAGCGACGGCAAGGAGAATGTCAGAATACAAAAAAGAGTAAAAAAAGTAGGTTTACTATGTGAAATCAAACGACAAGAAAATTTCCTTCCTCTTCAAAACTTGGAGGCTCTCTGGAATTCAACTCCAACAGAGTAAGCCAACATTTGAAATAGTGAGGAAAGAAGAAAATTAATGAGCCCACAAGTAAGCTCTCCATTTGGGGTAGCCTGTGCCACAGACGAAATTAAACTTTGGTTAACAGGGGCACCCAACGGCAATTTTCGGGAAAATATCTGTTAGGAAGACGATTTGAGATCTAGGATTTTCGGAGCATTTGTTGTAAAATTTCTTGCTTGCCTGCATCTCCTAGGATTTTCGAACATCTACAAAATGGTATAATTACTCATTTTTAGCGGATTTTGACCCTAAAAAAAGCCACCTAGAATTTTCGGGAGCCTTTTCCTGGCTGAAATTTTCGAGAAGGTAAGTTTTTATCCCTATAATTTTCGGATCACTAGATTTTCAGCTAGGAAATCCGAACAGATGAACAGTTTTTAGGGGATAAAAATATGGCTATATCTACCGTTTGAATACTAAAATACGTTCAACCATAGTTAATTGAGTGGAACTATGGTTCAACAATGCTGTGTTAAGTGGTTTTGAACTATATCCTCGTTGGGTGCCCCTGGGTTAAGTCCGTCTGCGAAATAGAGCGCCAAAATCCTTGTTCTAGCCCCCATCACCTGTGTACCAGGATTTGAGTACGCACAATGATTGGCTTGTTAAAAAAGACATTGTCGATTTGCCAATCAGGTTGAATAGAACTTCGACGTCTTCCCTTCTGACGAGCAAAGACACCAATATAATGCGAAAGATTTACCAATCATCCCGATTTAATTATAAAAATGCTTTCAGGAAATAAAAAAATATATTTTTCCGGATTTAAGGTGTACGCACGGGCGTATGTGCGTATCATGTACGCTACGCTCTAGCCAACTAATTAGCTTGGTTTTCATGACTGAGAAGAGCTACTGATTAAAGGGGCTGTGTCCATTTTGTTTAGTTTTGCGAATTACTCGCCCTCAATCGCTATGGAACTTAAAGTAAGCAAAGAAATTACACGTAAAAATCGCGTAAATGACAAACAACTATGACAAACAAATATGTCTCCTGAGCATTATTTTTGAAGTTGCATTGCAAGCAGCAAGGATCAACTTTGAAAAACTGTTAGGCTGAACAGTTTTCAAAAATCCTAATTTCAATCCGTTTCAATCTTCTTCAGTTTTGCCCATCCGTGGCATCTGTTGTTTCTGTTATGTTATTTTAACCTTCCTTTAAAGTTTATTTTTATGTTTCTCTTAATTTAACAGACAATATTATTTGTAATTTCCTAATTTGGCTGAATTTCGTGACACAGCCCCTTTAACGCCTGCATACACGAGTTATAACTCACTTTTTATTGTAATGTTTATGGAAACAGTAAAGTGGTGTCCACTGTCATCTTCTGCTCCACAAGTGTACTCTCCAGAATCATTTGTCGCAACTCTCTCCACCACTAAGTGAGTCTGTGTCAGACCGGCTCTTACTGTTGATGAGATATTCACTCTCCTATCGGCAGCATGTGACAGCTGTTCGCCATCTTTGTGCCAAGTTATCATGGAGCCCTTCCAAAACATGTCACATCTGAGCGTCATAGTGTTGCCTTCGTCATGCTCTGGAGATGCGATTGCATTTATTGGTTTATCGTAAGAACCTGTAATGCGAAATAAGAGAAAATACTTTATGCTTACACTATGTAGTATATGAACTGGTATTAAGGTGATGATTGACGTACAGCAGTTCAATGACTGACAATAAAAAAGAACCGATAAAAAACGATCTACAAGACAGGAGACAGGAGAGGAAAATACCAACAGTACCAACAACAAAAAATTAAAATAATAACAAAAACAAACCAGATAAAGATAAAGAGTTGACAAAATTAAACGAACAAACAAACATATTTGAAAGACGTGTCGAGCAGCAGCCAGCTAATACAGCTGCTCGCTTCACTCATCGCCACTAGGAACGTTTGCAGCAAAGAGCAAGGATAGGCGGCTGTATTCTCAGGCTAGCCAATCAAGTATATTGAGGCGTAAAAAGTAAATCAACCTACCACCTAAGAACCTCATGACATAATCATCAGACCCCATCGCATTGGTAGCTACACACCGGAAAAACGCGGATTGTAAATCTTGAGTTAAGGTAAGCTTGCTTACACCAGTTGCTACGTCCACGGCTGGTGACACAGAAAAGCGAGCTGAGACGTCTTGCCATTTTGAATCTGACGGCTTACACTCGTGGTTGTCATTTAAACAGAGTCCACTCTGATGTTGCCATCTGAATGTAGGCGGTGGATTGGTCCGGGAAACCTTGCAATCTATTACTGTAGTCGAGTACCAAATTTCTCTGATTTTCTCCAAAGTGGGTGGAGCTGGTAATAAATTATCAGCACAAATAATTCGTTACTTAAATAATAATTAAACCATTTGTCTCTAAGAGCTGGCTAAGAACGGCAATTAACAGTAAGGCAAACCATTGTTTACTGAACTACATGTCCGCCGGCATTCAATTACTTCACTGGCGAAAACGGAAACACAGTTGGTGTTGTTTCATACCAAATTGACTTTTTTTGCCGCGTATTTCTCGCCTGTTTAACCGAATCACGCAAATCCACATACTCAAGTTGAGTATCAAAATTATTTTTGACATTAAATAAACTGAAAAAAAAACAACAACAACAACAGCCAACATTTCTCCAAGTCACCACTGGTTTTCCCGCTAATTGACATCTGAGGAACGAGCGCAGAAAATCCATACTTCTATACTGATGACGCGATAGTGTTTCTAACTGGTAGAAGCAAATTTTCAACCAATCAGAAGCACTACCCATGGCCTGGGTAATGACACGTCGTCAGAATGGGATTCTGCGCACGTTTCTCAGACGTCATTTGGCGGGAAAAACAGCGGTGGCGTCTCGAAATGTCAACTGTTTTCTCAAGCTTTCTCAAGTTATCTTCGCCCGAGATAGCATATCTGTTTTACTTGAAAACATTTGCGAATAAGCAGTGAAAATTTGTGAAAGAAGATTATAATTTTTCAAGAATTTGGAGGGAAAAATTTCCCATGTTTCTCATGCTTTGAATATTACTATACTCGTGAAACAAAAGGAGATTGTTGGTGGCTGGTTCTATGTTAAACCTAGTATACGTGCATTAAATCTGAGTGTGCGTTTGACCTCTACCTGATTAGCACTGAAAGTACGTTTGCACTTCCGTACATGTAACCACCTTTTCTGTTTTTTTTTTTTTCTTTTTTTTTGCTTGAAAATGGATAAAAACCGCCTTTTTCAGGAAGGCCCTGACCTCAAACCAAAAAAAGAAGCTGTTAGTTAAATTACTGCCTTTTTTTGAAGGAATCGTTGGAATAGTAGGCCAGAAAAACTACGTTTGAACCCTGAATATTACTATTAAAGCTAGATTTCTACATGACATACAGTAAACAGAAATTTCCACATGTTTTGTTGCATTTTGCAATTCCCTATTGTTTGCCACACAGGTGTAGTTCCCATGATCCCTAGGGTACTTTGTGTTTTTTATCATTAGATAACTTTCCACATAAGCAAGCTTTCTGTTGCGATCTTCTGCTACTTGATAGCGCTCTCCGACACAGCCAGTGCTGGAAGTTTCCATTTTGCACACTGGGATCTCGGTTCCATTGTGAAACCATCTTATTGTTGCAAGTGGATAGCCATCTGCTTTACATCTTAAGTTCACTCCATTTGGTTCATGAACCACAGACGATCCACCGTCAACTTTGCAATACTCAATCCTTGTTGCACTGAAATCTGTTAAAAACAAGTACAGATCCGTTAAAACTGAAATCTGTTACTGCACTTTTCAAAGAAACACGAATTCCGAAGTTCAAAAGCCTACGGCGTTTGCGTTTTTCGCTGCCGTCAATCATTTCAGTGGACCTCTTAGGAAACAGAACTTTTCTTCAACGGGTTCAAAAGGTCATGGTTTGTGATTTGTGATTAGTGGATTTCGATCCGTTTTGTGTGTTTTGTTCGTTGCTTGTGATCGTAATTATGATCGACGGCAGCGAAAAACGCAATCGTGAAGGCGGCTTTTGAATTTCAGAGTTAGCGTATTTTCGAAAAGCGCAGTAAAACCCAGATCATTAGTACACATCATATGGTGAGATCAAGGTGAAAAGGGTACCCATTTACCATCTTGATTTTCGCGCTATGTCTAGCCTTGGCCATGACATTCAGAGTTGTTACACTTAGTTCTATACTTTTCAGAGGTGAAGAAGTGTGGAATAGTCTAACAAAAGGAAGCTTAAGCTTTAAGCAAACATGTTTTTGACCCGGGGGGGGGGGGGATTTTGAATTAAACCCCTCAAGGAGACCGATCTGGGCGTGGCCCAAGCTTTTTTGGATCCCTAAAAGAGACCATGTTAAAACACAGACAAATGAGAAAACTTGGATTATATGAATGGAGGAAATAAAACTAATTAAAAATACACATATCAAATATATATTTTTATATGTTTTCGCGTGCAACCCTAAACTAGACCTTCACGGCTAAATAAGATGGCGTTTTGCCCAGAACACCCTAAATGATGACCAAAATCCGAAATTTACACCCCTAAGCGAGACGACGAGCATCCCCACCACTTTCATATCAGAGTCTGCCCCCCGGGGTTTTTGAGGGACGTACGTCAACCGCAAGTGGGGCTTTTTTCCCTTGTAATCTGTCCTGACACTACCAAATTTGTAATAAACTGCCAAGTGCCTTTGCTCTTATGTCCACTTCCGGTTGACTTGCATCGCTCATATACGTGTTTGCTTAAAGTTAGGTCACCTTTGTCCCATTATAAGCCTATGTAAGTCTTTACTTTGTCTAATCATTGAATTGCTCCTCTTGTCTCCCAGGAGACAACGATGGGCCTAGATCTTAGGGGAGAAGAAAGAGCAATTGATAGCCAGAAGCACAAATATGACAAAATTAATTTTAAAAGCTTACACGTACTTTAAGCACTCAATTTATCACTTTGACTGTTTTCCCATGGGAAACCACAGGATATGAAGGATAAACCACAGGATAACCAACATAAAATAATACCAACTTACCTTGAACCACCAAACCAACATCATAAGTCTTGCTATTCTTTAGTTTGTTTCCCCGATAAAATATCTCGCAGTGGTAATACACTCCGTTAACCGGAGTAACCTTGGCATTCTTAATCATTAAAAGTGAGCAACTTTCATTATATCTGCGTGTTTCACTGTCAGAAATTTTCACATCGCTTGATCCATTTTTCCTGTACCATGTAAAATCAAGGTATTTTTCTAGGGAAACTTTGTTACCACTTCTCAACTTAACATGACAAGCAAAACTTGTATTCTCTCCAGGCTTCAAAGTTGCTAAAGGAGGATAGATGTCAGGACAGCACGGTGTCATCTCTAAAAAAGCAAGGACTGGATTTCAAAAAAGAATTAAATATACCTGCAGGAAAAAAAAAACACTCTATACACTCTGCAGTCAACTCCCTCTAAGATGAACACCTTTAGGACCTGGCCCAAGTTGTTCAAAAGTTGGATAGCACTATCCCCACCCTCCCCCCGACCCCCCAAAGCAGGGGGTACTTCCAGAAAAATTGGGTTGGGGTGTGCGGCATGCTTCCTGAAACCCAAAGTCTGTGATTTTTCCCAACCCTATTTCAGACCTGCCTTATAATCAGTTCCCTAGGTCAGACCAATGTTAAGGCAATGTCTATATGCTTTTATTAAGTAGGATACAAAACTGTCTATATGCTTTTATTAAGTAGGATACAAAACTGTACAAAGTTTCGAGCTTAAAATTCCACACTATAAAGCAGGTTGCATAATGCGCCATCATAAATACAGAATATGAGCCTACCTAACAAGACTAGAGTGCACAAACCATACCCTATTTCAGACCAAAATGGTCAAAATTGATACCCTGTCTCAGACCAAAACGGCTAAAAAACCACACCCTTTGGCGCCGCACAAACCAATATAGCCGATATTAAGGGAGTTGTGAGGAGTTGCATGTAATAATACATTGAGTAATAACAATATTTCTCTGAAAAACCTTTTGGGGTTGGAAATAATAAAGAAACTATTGGAATTTTTAAATTTTATTTTTATGTACTATGTAATGTAAGTGCCTTTTTATATGATACTAGAATGACTTTAATTCCAGAATGAGTTTTGTTCCTGAGTAAAGTTCAATCTGCATTCACATGACAAAATCGAACGGCTCAGCCGTAGGTGTTCTTGCTTACGTAGTTTTCGCACTAGTTCAGATATGCATGTGTCACTCGCTACAGACTACACAATTTGCGATTCTAAATCCAGAACAAAGTTTGCTTTCAGTTTACATGATGCAAGAATGAAATTTCAAACGTGAATGACAATTTCATTGGGAAAGAAAACCAGATTGAACTCATTCCAGATTGACTTGTACAAGAACAATATGTTGTTTTGGTATCATGTAAACAAATACAGAGAAATATATGAAGATAGAATGAGCCATTCTGGTATCATATGAATAGCCCCTTGGAGTACAAAATGATTTCCCCCTCTTCCACATACACTGACCAGTAATTAATTGGGACAAGCATACATGAAAGCCATTTACCTTCATCAACGATAAAAACCACAAACTGGGAAATTGGCCCAACACCCGCCTGACTGCTTGTTGCCTTACATTCGTAATACCCACGATCAGTCTTCTTAACACCATGAATGGTATAGACTTGTTTATCCAAAGAAATTCTGCCCCCAACAGGCAGTTCTTGAAACTTGAAAACCAATGTTGTAGAAGCATTTGGGTCATCTGTGCGACAGCTGATTGACTGATTAACTGCAATCTTGTTGAATTCTAGTACCACACGTACAACAGCTGTAGTGTTAATGAATTGAAAGCTTTCTGAAACAAAAGCACAAATTAAACAAAAAAGAGCTTTAAAATGCAAAATATGGCACATCGCTTAATTATTCTGTGATAACTTGCCTCCAATAAACACAAATTGACTGAGACCAAAGTATAGCATGGGTGTGGCTTTGAACATTCTATGAGGTCTTGCATTAAGTTAACAGACAAGGACCTAATACAGACCAGCAAAGTTCAGTGGCACAATATGTGCAAAAATACCCTAGAATTAAGAAATTTTTCCAAGTTTGGGAAAAAATGGGCTATAAACTTCCAAACTAAAGCCAAGACAATTCCAAAAGTTGATTTTTTCTAAGATTTGGTGACAAGAGACAGGGAGATAGGAGCCATATCCAGGAGATGTACTCCCAGGGAAACAGGAGAACTGGCATATGAGCATGTACATAGCTACTTTACTGATTTCATTCTAAATATCTTTTGCTGATTTGCTAAAGTTACCAATCCCCTCAAACTGATTTGATGAGTTCTTACCCCAATATAAAAGGGCAACCTTGTTTCCAGGCAGTGGTGTCAGATGGCCTTGAGCTTAGCTGTTTATGCGTGAGTGAACTCAAACTAATGTCGAAAGAGTTCACGCCTATCCAAACACGAAGTTGCTGAATTTTCAACTAAAACTGAACAGGAGAATTTCAATATGGCATTGCCCTATGGACGTCAGCTTTTTTTGGAGAAGTACGTGTGAGGAAAAAAAAACAAAAAACATAAATCCTGAGGTTGACAAACAGAGCAAATGCTTTGGAGAAATTTTTAAGGAGAGGTTAACGTTGCTGAAAAATTTAGAAATATTTTGAACGAATAATAAAACAATAATTGAATTCAGCTTTTGTATGATAAAAAGACTAAATTAAGCAGATCTGATCAGCCTTAAGCCTAAGTGGATAACATCCTCCTTGATCAATATACATGTATATCTAGCCTTAGAAAACAGCCGACATTTGGTGACGCTACCACTGGTTTCCAGGGTTGTCAAAACGATTTCAAGAGGCAGGAGAATTAAGTACTTAAGTAGGTGGCACTGGGGGCCAGAGGCCCCCCAGGCAGGAGGTGAGGAGGTCTGGGGTCCTGGGTCCCGGGCCCCCAGTGGGCTACAGGGGCAGCGCCCTGTTGGGGTTCCAAGGGGCGAAGGCCCCAGGAGCAAGACGGATTTGAGGTTTTAATGCTAGCTGAAATTGGCTCTCCTGAGAGCAAAGCTAACAACCCTGAGTATCTGTTTTTTAATGAAAATCATCAATCAGTTTTTTTTATTTTCCATAGATGCCATATCCTAGTACATGTTAGGTCCATATTTTTTTTGTTTACAATAATAGTGTTTATTATTTCACAGTAAGATTTTTTTACTTTATAACAGATCATTTCTTTAGTCTATTAAGAGTGACAAAGTTGTGTGATTATTAATTCACTATTATAAATTAGATTCTGTATTGGTATACTTGTCTTCAATCAAATAATTTATCACATTCATAAGGAAGCAGAAGGATTCAAATAACTACAAAATTCACAATTAATATTAATACAAACCAATTCAGTAATGCTATAATAAGATTTATGAAATATTTGTCTGAAAGCTACCAAAAATCATGATCACTTTTACAGTCAAGCAAAGGAAAAAACAGACATAAAATCACCGCGAAGAAAAAACTTACTGCTGCTGGTTTACTTTAGAACACTTTTGTATCAAAAATATCAACAAACCTGCCACTTCTTCACTTCTTGCTAATTTTGCTAAAAAAGTTGACCAGAGAGGACTGTTAATTAGCCATTTTCTCACACAAACTCCGAATACAAGTTTCCCAAGACCACATGTGGATTGAGCAAGTGTAACTGGATACCAAGAGTGGGAATATTCATTCGGCGTTATCGGTACGTGCGAAAGCTAAACTTTGATGCAGAATTAAAAACGCTCTTCTTACGGGCGACTTTCTGTATAAAAATGAAGTTTCAGACAACTTTCCTTGGAAGATATGTCACAACAAATTTTATGTCTGCACACGTAGCATGCACGTCTCTTTTATTAGCAACAATTCATGAAAAAAAATTAAATGATGTTCTACACGTCTGACAAATTAACCAATGTTTTCGAATGCCTCATGTTTGTCAGCCAGTTTCACGTAAGATAGGTACTTTAATAAATTGCATTACACTTCATTCGATTTCAAACGCAAACTCGTGCCAGATGAGTGCGAAAAACCACTCAAAAGCATTCGCGTGTCTTTTATTCTTCATTCTAAACAAAGGATTATTTAAAGACTGTGTAAACAAAACCCGTCACATGCATCAATGCCATTTTTATTCACTTTGCGGTATCATAATTATTACGGCTATGGAAAGAACTAAGTGGGAGCCGATTAGAAAACACCTTAAAAATCACGAAAAAGAACTTTCAGGGCATGATGAAAACAATTTCTTTTTCTATTCTACATTGTGTATTTTCTACTAAACAACTGTTTTTTAATCGTCCATTTTTCACTTTTCTCGAACAATTTACAGCCGGCGAAAACTACAAAGTAGCCGGCGATAGCACCGGTTGCGGACGCTTTTCGACAACCGTGGGTTCCCTGCCAAATGACGTCTGAGAAATGAGCGCAAAAATTCCATACTGATGATGCATCACTACAAGATCTGGGTACTAGTGCTTTTGATTGGCCGTACCACCAGGGAAATTTGATTCAACCAATCAGAAATACTACCCACATCTGGGTAGTGACATGTCATCAGTATGGAATTTCTGCGCTCGTTTCTCAGACGTCATTTGGCAGGGAAACCAGAGGTAGCGTCGCCAAATGTTGGCTGTTTTCTCAGACTAAGGCATTTCCAGAGAGTACTGAATTACTAACCTTCAGTCACACAGTCATCATGGCAGGGTATTTAACAGTTACTACCCAACTCGACTGTTTTTAAATTCAGAAAAAGAAAATCTATCAAGAAATTTCAATAATCAGGACACTGCCTGTAAATCGCATTTTTGAATAATGATGTACTTAACCGTGTGTAAATTACGGGGAAACCATAAACCAAAGAGCAAAAACCGGCATAATACCACAAAAAACGTATGCATGCCATATTTAAGCTCAAGTAAACCTCTCGTTCCTTGTTATAAACAAACAGCGAACTCTATGAATAATAAACAGGTCTAATTAAATTGGGGGTTTTCTGAATCTTAACTCATACTGTTCATTCTGGTTAGTTTTTCGTAAATAAAAGACGTGTCCCACTTACGAATAAAATGTAGCAAACACATCTCATTTGATTATTAGTATTTGCCGACGACACATATAAAAATCAAAATTCAAATTAAGAACATCATAGCAAGTTCATACTCACCAGCTGATCTAATGAATATCACGCTCATCAACAAAACACATGCCTCACGTACGAAAGCCATGGCATACAAAACTGAAACCAAAGACGAAGAACTCTTCGATTTGGCTATCCTTGCAAAGATTAGAAAAGTGTGTACATCGATGACTTATACTAGCCAAGTCGGCTGTGCTACGCAGTTGTCAGGAACATCGTGTGGTTCACGAGGCATATCAACCAGTCTGACAGAAGAAGAAGATTGTGCGCCATTGACTTTTTAAAGAAAATAAATCCAGCAGATCCTAGACAAGCAGACGATAAATCCAGCGAATGCGTAATCGCTTAAAAATATGTCCAAACGACTGGCGGATGGAAGATATTGCCCACATTTATGTCATCTATTTTCAAGCTTCCTTGTTTCCTCTAACTTTCGCGCCCGCGCCACAACAAGGTCAGTTGACAGTGTCAACTTCGTATATGAATGTCACACTCCGTCACAAGTCTGTTGACATATCCGCCCCTAGGCTCGATTTCCGCCGTCTCCAGGGTGCGGTCTCTGATCCTCCGCGAAGAGAGCTCTTTCGGGGGATGAGTGCGGGCTCATTTTCCCGAACAGCGGCTGGTAATCGAGCCTAATCCGCCCCCTCATCCTAAAAAAGGCGGATGAACGCAAGCTTCACCGCACTTCCTCTACTTTCTCACAAAAGCGACGTGACAACCGTCCTCCAAAGATAAGACCAAAACAATTATCATTTCAATCAATCCTCCTAGACTGTGAATAATTTTCTCGGTTGCTGAGATGTAAGGGAGGTTAGGACTCATTATACCTCGGCCGTTCTGATGGAAGTGCGGGATCAAAAATGTTCTTAGACAGTTCCGAGTTTAAACGATTACGTGCACAAAGGGGCTACTGACGGCTATGAGAGGGGCTTGCTCAGGGCTTTTAAAAACGTTAAATCTGTGATCCCCGAAATCAAACATAAACCTTTTTTTGAGGGATTTCTGATTCACACCCAGGGCCTGAGCCAAGAGCCATATGAACGTGCTTCTCGAGTTTATTTTGTTGTCACACTGGGACATGAATCGTCCCTGTCCAATCATAAAAAGTTTTCCATGTAGCATTTTCCAAACTCCTTGAGCACTGAAGTTACAAAATAACTTGTTGTGAATGATTTCATAACGTTCAAATGATTAGGGTGTGTTTTCAGTTTGTAATCGACCCCGATTGGCTCCTGAGGTTTCCACGCTAACCACTTAGGCTAGTGGAGTCGTACTGAAGCCTGAATAACGTCTCTAGCGAGGCTCCCCAGATAGCATCAGGTTCATTTAAAATAGTCTACCTTCTAGTCTTTGTGGAATGTCTGGTCAATATTTAGTTTTTACTTTGAAAATCGGTTATTTTTTTCTCTACTAGTATTGAAAACCAATTTTGACGTTGGATATTTCTTCGGCAAAAAAAATAAAATAAAATTGTCAGCATGTGGTCATGTTAGCTGGGCACTAAGAATAACCTCATAACAAATTTTGCTACGATTCATTGCTAGAAGTTCTGTTTATTTATATCTATCTATTTGCTTATTTAGTAGTCCTGTTCGTTCCTTTCTTCAGGGGCATTCAACGACGCCGCTTCCTCCTAAGCACGTTGAAAATACTCTTTAGGCTCAGTGTCCGGAGTACTCTTACATCTCTAGAAAAGCATTCTAAGCGGCGCTATAAAATTTGCATCTGTTCGGTCATCCTGGGGGAACTTGAGTCTTTTCTTCGAAATTACAAGGGCTTTAGTATTAATTTCCCGAAAATTTCACGTATTACGAAAGTGAAAATTTTTTTTATTCTTCTCTCCATCACGTTTTTGAATCCGATATTTTTAAGTTTCCTTTTTCTACGAGCCAAAACCTAATCAGGGGAGTAAAATGTAAAAAATTAAACTTCAGAAAATCGTATAGGGAATTTATTAGATAAGCTTCAAAAATTGAACATGAGAAATTTTGAGACGTCCTCAGGTCATTAAAAAGTTCTAGGCAATATTTTTGCTTCTCCGAAACAGAAAATAGTCGTTGGGTGCCCCTGATTCGAAACCTCTGCTTGGACGAATGAATGCTTACTTATGTGCCTACTTTTTAAGCATGGTTGATGTATGTTCCAGACCCATTTGTTCGCGGATTTGCATGTTTATTTTCTTCGGTTTAACTTTCAGCTTCTGTCTTTGACTGGAGTAGTAATACAGGCTCTTTCTTTTTTAGAAGAAGATATTTCATAAGAATATCGAGACTGAAATTTGCGAAATTTTAAGAATAAACCTGAGGCTAAAATTGTGACAAGAATATAATTTCGCGAGTTGAAAATCTGTAAATACAATACAATGATATGTTTTTACTTATTTAAAATTATTCCTTTCTCTAAACGGCGAAACTAGCCAACAAACGAAACACTCTTCACTAGCGATAGCCAAATGTTCAATGATGAGCAGTACATGTAATGTATTTGTGTAGTACAAAATATGTACAATCAGTGCGAAAGACATGAACGGAGATCGAACATTAAGAATATTACAAGAGTATTTTCAGCCTAAAATCGGCAGAGTGTAAGATGCAAGCCGTATGGCTGCAAGCCGTAAGGTTGCATTTGAAATGCTTTATCTTCTTTTTGTTCATTTGTTTAGCTGTCTCTTAACTTCTCAGAGAGAACTGGTATTTACATTGTCAGTGAAAATGGAACAGAGAGGATGGGAGACGGCTTTATTAGAATTCAAGGGTTCACTGTTGGGAATTTGTACTGTAAAGGAGGAGTTGGCTGAATATGGATGAAGTATTGAGAGGTTTACTGTGCAGTGGTTTACGGATCCGCCCAAACCATCCGGATGGTATCGCAAATATATAGAGAAAGAACAATAGAGGAGGTCTCAGCCAATGAGGAAGGATTGACGTCATCACATCTGATCAAACTGATTGGATAGTGCCTATTGTTTCAGTGAAACTAGGTTTATTCAGTAATTTGCAATTGAATGAGCCGAAATGGGGGACAATGAAATTTTATGTCGATTTGAAGGAATACAGAATGATTTTCTTGCTGGCAGGCAGTTTAAACAATTTAAGATGTTCTCGTTCATGAAAAGATACAGTCTTGATTCTGATGAAAGGCTCTTTCCTGATATAGGTCATATAGGTTCGCTGCGGTCGATAATAAAACTCTTCAACGAATCGTAGCGGTCGCTGAGGTAGACTTAAGTTTTAACCGAAGTCTAAAAAGCAGCTTTCCAGTATCACTGTTGCTGCGGTCGCCGACTATAGTTCAAATTGCTACTTTGTTCAGCGATCATGCTCAGCGCCATCAGAATAAAACCATTGCCCGTATCAGTCCAAGTTCATATCCTGCATTAACGAATGTGTAAACAGTCCGGACAACAACAACCAATTTACCAATTTATACGGGCTGGAAATGACAAAAACTGGACATGTACTGTGTTTGACTATTTTTGTTTTCGGGGTGTAAACACAAACCCAAATAGACTTTAGTTCCTATGATCGAAAACTAGCTGCACAACAAATCGATGAGAGAAAGATTTTTAAGGTTTTAAATCCTATCGGTTCACCTAATGGATACGGCTATTGTTTCAAAAATTCTTAAAACAACTACAATTCCCATAAGTTATAGTGCCTTTCTTTTGTTTCAACAAACAATAACCATGCAAATCAGCACTAAAACAACCTGACTATTAAGTCTCCAAACACACGTACCCCGCTTTTTTTGGAAAAAATATATTCACTTTCGGACAGCTATACTTACCACGCCTTCACAAACTCCCGTTTCAACTCCCAGACAAACCCTGTATTTTCACATTTCCGTAAGCGGGAAATGGCGGTAGCGGACACTTCTGAAATGTTTCATTTGGTGAAAGTTAAAAAATTGTATTTATAGTAATCTTTCGTGGGAGGAAGGATTTAACAAAAATCCGCCTAGTAAACAATTCCTCCCTAGTGCGCTGTTAAAACTCTCACAAATGACGTGGAGCTAGTGTCTATACAAAATCGTTATGGTTATGGCATTTCTTTTTCCCAGCTTGCTATAGTACGTGTAAGAGAATAAATTAGATGGGCATTAATTGGGAACTACGTTTATCTGCAATTGAATTGTGACAGCCCTTGGTGCTTTGCCTACGATAACGTAAATTATGCCTGCTTTTTACCAGCATTCTTCTCTGAGATGACCCACATCGAGGAGACCCATCCGGAGGCCTATGATTATCTGAAGTTTGGTGGATTTTAGGTCAAGATCGGTGACCCAAACCCTTAGCTTTTTGGTAGGGTTCCAGTTGATCAGCCATGTAAGGAGACGGAAGGACAAGGGACAGCAGGGGGTACCGAAGTCTTTAGCTTTAAAATAAGAGCAATTATCAAGTATTATCTAGGGAATTATGTTTAATAATAGTTGCTGAAGATCGAAGTATTTTTATAAGCAGCCGAGGGACCTGATAGATCTAAACAAATCCAATTCTAAGCATACTGATCGTAATAAAACAAGACTTGCAAAAAGAGACGGGGCTGACGTGAAGTCACTGATTGCTTTGCTAAAAAGCAACTGGATAAAACCATTTAGTACTGAGCAGTAGTATCTGCTATGTTTGACAAACAGAAGGGCACAGGGATACCTGTTGAACGCAAACGTTGTCGGGGAAAAAGCATACGGAGAATTTCGTGGGCAGCGCTTGGAGGCAAATCCGCCTAAGGTCGGATTTCACGCAAGTTGAAGACATCCTCTGGAGTTGAAGGGAAAATCAAGGAAAAGAGCTATAGAGATTATTCTAAAAGCGGAAAGAGTTCTTTTTGGTGAAATGGCCATAATAGCAAAAAACAGACAGCTTCATATGAGAGATGCCCTCTGTCGTCCGCTGGGACCACTTCTTTGGGCGCTATCCACAACAAATAGCTAGGTCACAGCGGAAAGATAGCGGGGCAGCACTAGCCATGAGCTGCAAAAGAACGCACCTGCTGCGGGAGAAATTTTCCAGCCATCTGCACGCGTCATTGACGGCACGGTACTAGTTCTAAGGTTGAAAGTGACCATAAGAAGTTTTCAGATATTGGTGAATCCTTGTCTAGAAGAGACTTGATGTTCTCTTTGGTGTGTATAGAGAGAATTCAGTTAAGAGGAATGCAGAAAGAGAGCATTGAAGGACTGTGTATAGAAATAAATTTAGAAATCTGCAACCCAACCATAAAGTGCAGCAGTGGAAAAAGTTCCCTCTTAATCTTCGGAAAAGAAAGCCTTAATAGTTTTTATTTTACCAAAGGACAAAAACAAGACAAGAGGTACAATTTCGTTTTTATAGCGTGTGTACTGGTTGCAGTTAGCTGGACAGCCTCAGCCGCCTCGGAAGAATATATTTATTTCTAAATAAATTTAGAAATCTGCAACCCAACCATAAAGTGCAGCAGTGGAAA